CACGGACCTATTTTCCAAACAGGTGCACTTTATCCCTTGCCAAAAAATTCCCAATGCAAAGGCCTTAGCAAAACTTTTTATCCAGCACATTTACAGATTGCACGGGGCACCCCAACGCATCATCTCTGATAGGGGAGTGCAATTTACGTCTACATTTTGGAAGGAAATTTTATCCCTCTTAGGGACCACTCAGGGACTGACATCTAGCCATCACCCTCAGACAGATGGACAAGCGGAACGCTGCCAGTCGGTACTTGAGCAATATTTGAGATGTTTTTTCAATTTCCAACAGAGTGATTGGACGGACTTACTTCCTTTTGCAGAAGTTGCCTACAATAATGCAGTCCACTCCAGCACAGGCTACACTCCTTTTCAAATAGCCAACGGCCAAAGTTTCAATCCTATGCCAGAGTTAACCCCAAAAGAACCAACGATCCCTTCACTGAAAGAATGGATGGAAAACCTACAAAACACCTGGCCAATAGTCAGAAAATCACTAGATGAAGCTAGGCGTGCATACAAAGCACAAGCCGATAAAAAAAGGGTTGAGCCTACACCATTCATTATAGGAGAAATGGTGTACTTATCTACAAAATACCTAAAGTCCCTACAGCCCTGTATAAAACTTGGACCAAAATATATAGGACCTTTTCCAATTAAAAGGATCATAAATCCAGTAACAGTAGAATTAGAATTACCCAAAAACCTCAGGCAAATACACCCAATTTTTCATTGCAGCTTGCTGAAAAGAGAGCATCTGTCACCTCTACGGCCAAAAATCCCCCCCCCACCACCTCCAATCATGGTGGAGGGGGAACAACACTTCGAAATAAAAGAGATCCTTGACTCTAGGAGATATCGTGGAACAACTCAGTACCTAGTTGCCTGTAAACACCTCCCTGCCTCACAAAATGAGTGGGTCCATAAACGTCACGTCAGAGCCCCGAAGCTATTGAAGAAGTTTCACACAGAGTATCCTAACAAGCCTAACTAAATTTTTTACTTGTGTTTTCTGTCAGGTGGATCTCTCTTATTGTTAAGAGGGGCCGGATGTCAGAATCCAATTATATTTCATCTTTAATTATCAAACATAGAAACTCCCAATTCTGCCTTCTCTGGCTTCTGCCATAAGAGGGAGAAAAGGGGGAGAGCAAAGGGGCTTTATGGCCCTCACTTCCTTCAGCACACTTCAAAGGACTGAATGTGTGTTTATTGTGGCCTCTAAGCTTTAACATATCAAAGAAGAGTAATTGCCTTTCATGTAGTTATCTGAAGTCTCCATCCAGACGGAAGAAGACAGGGGATGGAATTGTGATACTTGAAACTATCACTGGAAGGGGGGTTGATTGGGTGGGACTACTGGGGAAACCCTTAAAACCTTGAATGGAAGAGCTTGAACCCCAAGTCCTGTCTAGCATGCCTGCAACCATTTTCTCTTAATAAAGGATTCCTGTTGGAAGAATTATTCCAAGAGTTCTGTCTTCTTAAGATGCAAAGTGGGGTGCAACATAGTTTCATCTACATGTAGAAGTACAGACACATTCAAGTCTCCAATACTTCTTTGATGCTATTTCAAGTATTCTAGACATCTACCCACATACGGTATATGTTAAAGAATGAAGTGGAATATCACACATCCTTGTTTTATTTCCTGCTCAGCATTGGACTATTCTCTAAAAAATTTAATTTTTTTGCCATGTATCTTTTAATTTCTTCATTAGCTGCTTTCCGCAACTAATTTTCAACTTCAATTTCAACTAATTCAAGCTTTCAGCAACTAATTTTCAACTCCATACAGTATTCACAAACAACACTCTATAGATCTATTTATTATATATTTTCTCAACCAATAAACCTTACTTTCTATTGTGAAATCACTTTTGATGGGGACTATGAAACTGACCAAGTTTCCACAATGAATTAAACTAACTAACTAAAAATAGATAAATGTAGCAGAAAAAAATTGGGACAATTAGCTTCTTGGTGGGCTGGGGGTAGACAGAGCATGATGTTGTGTATCCCTCCCTTGAGAAATAGACAGTGGCTTGTACTCAGACTGGGACAATCTAATCAGGTGGGTCTTCTCTAAGTACATGCAAAATTCAGAAAAAAAATCAAAAATAAAATAATGCTTATTAAAGCTGACGCTTTCTATTTAACTGAATCTACATAAAAGAATTTTAAAAATCAGCAAAATAGAAGGATAGGAGCAGAACAAAGCAAATATGATTTTCTAAGTAAACCACAATAGGATGCATAGCTAAATGTCTATGGAGATTCTCAGTCATCCAGGACATGGTTGTCCCGAAGATGCTTTTTCAAGAGGCAACTGGACTTTCTTGTTTTTCTTTGAAGACGTTTCGCTTCTCATCCAAGAAGCTTCTTCAACATATTCAAAGAAAAAGAAAGTCCACCACAATAGGGTGGTTTCACAGAAAGCAAAACCAATGAAACCATGGTTCTGGGTAATGTCCTCTTTAGGTGTCCAAGCCTCCGCTCAGTGACAAAGCAGAGAAAGACCCATTTCCTTCAGAGGCAATTGTCCTGGTGCTTTGAAAATGGTGATGAGTTTGGAAGCTGAAATTGCCCTTTGGATTCCAGGACTTTGTTTTTCTGGTTTAATTCCAGATGCTCTAACTCCCAGATCCCTCCCTGTCTTTCTGAAATGAAGGTCGTGAATGCCATTCATTCCTTGTCCTGGTAAAAACGGTAGCACCAAGCAGAAAGGCATAGGTAGTGCCTGAAGCTAAGACCAGGGACTGGAGGGTCAATTTCCCATCCTCAAAACTCACTAGATAACTCTGTTTTCAATCTTACTTCACAGGGTCATTGTGGGGGTAAAGTGGGAGCTGGGAAGAGCCACAGGCGTCACAATCAGCCCTTCAGAGGGATGGCTAGAATGCTAACGGTGCATTCCAACAACACACAGATAAAAATTGTGTATGTATTTTTCTGTTTGGGCTGATTAGCTCTCTGATACGACCATCATGGTTAAGGCACAAAACCATTCCTTGTTTCAAGTTGCGAAAGTTGTGGTTTTCCCAGGAAGCATTTCAGAGATTTAGCCCTTGTGGGGAGGACCACTTCCTTGTAATGTGGAAACATCTGAGGCCTTGATTCTTACTCCAGGGGGATAGGCACCATGATTGAATGAGTACTCCCCAGCCCCTTAAGTTGCTGCACTCCAAGAGCCCTGTGGGCCTTTCAACAGCCTTGTGATGGGAGGAGGAGTTTCATTGGCATTACTATTGTGCCATGAGAAGGAAGGACTCACTGGAGAAGAGCCTAATGCTGGGAAAGATTGAGGGCAATAGAAGAAGGGGACGACAGAGAATGAGGTGGCTGGATGGAGTCACCGAAGCAGTAGGCATGAGCTTAAGTGGACTCCAGAAGATGATAGAGGACAGGAAGGCCTGGAGGAACATTGTCCATGGGGTCGCAATGGGTCGGACACGACTTCGCAACTAACAACTAATATGCCGTTGTTTAGTCAGAAAATTAGCATGGATGGAAAAGAAGCCAGACTGCCCCTTCCTGCAGGCTTACAGTCTGAATGTCAAGGCACAGGAGGAAAGATGGTCCCCTACAAAAAATATCTTTGAGATACCCGTTATTTCAAGTCTGTTGGGTTCCCCCCCCTTTTTTATTTGTAGGTCTTCAGATGCCCACAGCATTGCTTGTTGCTCTTCTAAAAATAAACTTTAGCCTTTCTCTTCTTTTCCCTAGTATAACAAGAGTCCTTCCCTACTGCATTTGTGTAGGGCTTTTCTGCCTTTCATTTTCTGCCTTCATAAATGTGTCAAAATTGTTTTGGAAGAAAGCCTTGTCCAGAGCTGGGCTGCAACTGCCCTGATAAATAGGCTGGCATTACTATGTCTCACTTTTTATGCACAGATTCTCCAAGGCTGGGAGAGAGTGGCTCAGACCTGCTGGATTTAATAATTATAAGAATGTATTACATTTACTAATAAAGGAGAATATTTGTAACTCAAGAAATGACAGGAGGGGTCCTTGGTGCTCTCTGAGCTTGCTTGTTTTCTTACAGATGTTTTATTAACCAAACCTGGTAACATCATCATCACTGCTTCCCCTAACACTGATGATGTTACCTAGTTTGGGTAATGAAATGTCTGCAAGAAAACAAGCAAGCTCAGAGAGCACCAAGGACCCTTCATGTATTACATTTATATGCTGCCTGATTCCCAGTGGCTCTGGGTGCTTTAAAATTGTTAAAATATTTAAAAACAGAACAGAATGACTGTTGGAAGGGACTTAGAGGTCTTCTAGTCCAACCCCCTGGGTTCTCAGGTAGGAAACCCTATACCATTTCAGACACATGGTTGTCCAATCTCTTCTTTAAAAGTTCCAGTGTTGGAGCATTCACAACTTCTGGAGGCAGGTTGTTCCACTGATTAATTGTTCTAAGTATCAGGAAATTAGTTCCAGGTTCCTTCTCTCCTTGATTAGTTTCCATCTGCTTCTTGTCTTGCCTCAGATGCTTTGGAGAATAGCTTGACTCCCACTTCTTTGGGGCAGCCCCTGAGATATTGGAACACTGCTATTATGTCACCCCTGGTTCTTCTCTTCATTAGACTAGACCAGGGGTAGGCAACCTTGGCTCTTTTATGACTCGTGGACTTCAACTCCCAGAATTCCTGAGCCAGCCATGCTGAGGGGAAAGGGTGAGTTTCCAAGCTGAGCCATGCGGGCCCAGGAATTCTGGGAGTTGAAGTCCACGAGTCATAAAAGCCAAGGTTGCCTACCCCTGGACTAGACATACAGTACCCAATTCCAGCAACCGTTCTGTATATGTGTTAGCCTCCAGTCCCCTAATCATCTTTGTTGAACGATTAAAAAAACCAACAACACTAGACAAAAAAAGAGTGATGACAAAGAAAATCCAGAGAGGAACAGAAAGGAAGAAACGGGCATTATTCATCTTCTTCAGAGGTCTGGGTGAAGACCCAGGTCTTTAAGGATGGGAACCGTTTGAATCTGGGTTGTGTGTGAGAGGAATCTCATTCCAAAGCTTTGTGGCGGGGATTCGAACTGGCACCTTTCAGCTCTCTCCATATACTTGGAAGTAAAATCCTAATGTCCTTTGTGGGGTTTTCTTTAAAGGAGATATACATTGATGCGATGCCCCATCTGTACCTGGCAGAGGTAGGTTTTAATCCCGCTTTCTCGGTGATAAGTAGCCGATTGAAAGGAGAGGGGAAAAAACAACTTTCTCCCATCCAGGAAAAACACGCCCAACAACTGATGACTCAGAGAAACGTCTTCTCTACTTGCCAAACCATTCCTTCTTCCTCGCCCAATCGTTACATCTGCGGCGCAATTAACTTCCGCGAATTTCCACAGTTCCTCGGCGGGGAAGTTTGGAGCGAGAGGGACGCAAAAAGAGCTGCTTCGCGCCGCGGAGCGCGATGGGGCAGCTTCAGTGGCGCCTCTGGCTGGTAGGAGCAGCTATTTTCCTGCTGGGAAACGCTTCTGGTGAGTAACTACCGCTACTTAACCACGAAGGCACGGAATCCCGTCTAAGGGTCCCGTACAACGCGAGCCAGGGACCCTCTTCCCCCACTACAACGCTTGAGCTGATTTTGGAAGCATTCCTTGATAGGGACCTCTTCCTTTTCTTCTGCAATCCCGATCGTGCAAAAGCCACGAGCCTCCTTGGGAAGGAAAAGGAACACTATCCTTCTTTCCTGTAAACATCACAGCCTTATGTATGTGGCTTCTTATTGTGTAATCACACTGATTTGTTTTTCTAATATTAGGAAGAGTCCAGGCAATTGTATCCTCTTGGAAACTCTTTTCCTCTTTCTCCTTGCAGGAAATGGGCAATTTTTCAGGGTCAAGGGCACCTTAATAGGAATGAGAGGGATGTTAAGGTTTACACAGTGAGTGAGACACAATTGCACTGACTGGAGGAATTGAGCTGTTTAGGAAATCCTGGAACATTCATTTGCCTGTTTTTTCCCTTTAATTTGCATGCCTATTTAGGATTTATAAGATAGTTTATGTTCAGGTTGCATCTCACAGTATTGGAAAGGAAACTGCCAGCCTTCCAATGAGTAGTTACTCTGAGGGCTATAAAAAGACTTGGAGACAGCAAGTTGCACTTTTCTGCAATTGTAGAACGTCCAGAGAGTTTATTTGCTTCTTTAAAAACATGTCTATATCTGTCCATCTTTCAGTCAACTATTTCTTATTTAGATTCCACCTTGATGCTCCTCCATTGATCATCTCCATGCCTTTCCTTTACTTTCTGCTGCTCTGGAATGACAGGGTGCCTTCTTGCAAATAATCGTTCTCCCAAACTGCTGATGTTAATATTCTTTAATATTAGGAAGTTAATACTGAGATCCAGCTTGGTCTACTCTAGTGGTTACAGCTTCAGGCTAGAAACCATGAGACCATGAGTTCCATTCCCTCCTTTGGCGTGAAAACTGTGTGACTCTTTCTCAGCCCAAACTAATTCACAGGCTTGTTCTGAGAAAACTTGGAGGAGGAAGGAAATATTAGTCATGTTTGCCGCCCTCATTTATTTATAAAAAATAAAGTGGGAATATAAATAAAATTATTTCACTTGCTTTGGGGGGGGGGGGCGGCTTGACCTGAAGGCAACAACAGCCATTTCTCTGGAAAAATGTAACTTAGCACACATAATTTTCCAGTGAATCATTTTCTACTGGAGATGTTGGAACAAAGGTCAAGCAATATATCAAGCAATTCCTGCTCCATACAACAACTCTGAACTGTAACTTGTTCAGATTTGTGTCTGTGTGGTTTTCTTTTTTGTCAAGAAGTAGGAGACTGAAGATACTTGGCGCTCTGTTTTTTCCCCCTTTATTTTATATTAGCCAAAGTTCCATTGTTTAACGCAGTGTTGGGAAGCAGAGAAGGAGGACAGGACGACATTTGACGTGAGTCTGCCAAGATTGGTGGAGGGGAGGCTCATTTCCAAGGCCCTATGAAACTTTTTCCTTCCACCTTCCAATGAACTTGTTTTCTATCTTCTAAGTAGAAGCTGAGTTACATCCTCCCAAGAGAGAAGTGCTTTTCCTTCCTGGCACAATCAGAGACTTGAAGGATTGGCAGGATGCAATGGAAGGGAGGCAGAGGAAGCATCAGAAATGTCACTAACTCCACCAAAAGCTAGTTTGGTCTAGTCTAGTGGTTAAGGCACCAGGCTAGAAAGCAGAAGACCTTGAGTTGAAGCCTCACCTTGGCTTAGCCATAAAAGCCAGCTGGGTGACTTTGAGCCAGCCATTCTCTCTCAGCCAACTCATCTCACAGGGGTGTTGTTATGGGGGAGAATAGGAGGAAGAATGTGTCTGGGTTTGTTTGCTGCCTTGAGTTACTTGTAAAAAAAATAAAAACAGGATAGAGGTAAATAAAATAAACAAAAAGTTTCTTTGAACCGGAATAAGAGAAGTTGCTCCCCCTCTCCCCATGCACTATTGCCATCTACAACAGCACTGCGCGCCGCGTCCTTATGATCGGGGGTCGCCGTATAAAAAGGTTAAGAACCACTGATCTACAACTATATTGGAGAATGATATCATATATGGAACAGAGGGTCATCCCCCTCTTCACCTCACTAGTCTATACTATAGGGTTTCCTACCTGAGCAGGGGGTTGACTTGATGACCTCCAAGGTCCCTTCCAACATTATTATTATTATTATGGATTATCGCACAGTCAGCCAGATGTTCAGACTGGATTTGGCATTTTGTCTACCTATCGAGTCCTTACCCAGGACCTGGGATAGGCAGATGTGGATGTTTGATGGTATTACAGGTATCGTTGCAGGATGGAAGCAGTTCCTAATAAGGCCGCCTTTTGCAATTGACTACTAGCAAATTTGTCAATGCCAATGGTGTTCAAGTGGTGCTCCAGTTGTTTTGGGATTGCGCCCAAGGAGCCTATGACTATTGGTACTACCCTTGCTTGCTTTTGCCACAGTCTTTCTATTTCTATTTATAGGTCTTTGTATTTTGTTATCTTCTCCAGTTCTTTCTCGTCTATTCTGCTATCTCCAGGCACTGCCACGTCCACTATCCAGACTTTTTTGTCTTTCTTATCGACAATTGTTAAATCTGGGGTGTTATGTTGCAGGTGCTTGTCTGTTGTTGTTGTTGTTATTATTATTATTATTATTATTATTATTATTATTATTATTATTATTAATCATCGCTCAGTCAGCCAGATGTTCAGACTGGATTTGGCATTTTGTCTACCTATCGAGTCCTTACCCAGGACTTGGGATAGGCAGATGTGGATGTTTGATGGTATTACAGATATCGTCGCAGGATGGAAGCAGTTCCTAGTAAGGCCACCCTCTTCTTGTTGGACTTGATCTGTAGTAACAGATCATTATTTCTTTGTTTTCCATCACTGTGTATCTGCAACGGGTAAACACCTTTTCTTCCAGTAGTTCTGCAGCTGCTGGCCCTGGTTGCTCAGCCAACAGTCCTGAGTCCTGTAACCCATTTTTCACCAGATATCCAGGAACTCAATATCTAGCGCGGACCTTATTAACCCGGGCGACATCCAAGCCGGTATGGCATTCTGTAATTTACGTCTCACCATATTTTTTATGGGAGAGACACTCTTTGTCTGACTCCTCTGATGAGACCTGTCCAGTATGGTTGATCCTCTGGCATAGCTCTCATCTTCCTCAGAGTACACAAGCCCCACAACCACGTCAAGGTAGTGCCTCACTGGGGGATTATTATTATTGTTATTATTATTATCATCATCTCCACAGGTGAATCATTAATGCACAGAGAAGTGTGCTGTGCCTGTCTTTTCTGAAATCAGCTTCAGGATCTGGCCTTCTAAAGAGCAGTCGGGGTTGATCTCTTTTAGGACTGACCAGTTTGAACGCCTTGCAGGCCAAGGGACTTAGTAATAGTAGTAAAGTTGGAAGGGACCTTGGAGGTCATCTAGTCCAACCCCCTGCTCGGGCAGGAAACCCTACACCATTTCGGACAAAGGGCTGTCCAGTCTCTTCTTAAAAACTTCCAGTGTTGGAGCATTTATTGCTTCTGGAGGCAAGCTGTTCCACTGATTAATTGTTCTCACTGTCAGGAAGTTTCTCCTTAGTTCTAGGTTGCTTCTCTCCTTGAGTAGTTTCCACCCGTTGCTTCTTGTCCTGCCTTCAGGTGCTTTGGAAAATAGCTTAATTCCCTCTTCTTTATGGAAGCCCCTGAGATATTGGAACACTGCTATCATGTCCCCCCTTGTCCTTCTCTTCGTTAAACTAGACATACCCAATTCTAGCAACCGTTCCTTATATGTTTTAGCCTCCAGTCCCCTAATCATCTTTGCTGCTCTTCTCTGTACTCTTTCTAGAGTCTCAACATCTTTTTTACATTGTGGTGACCAAAACTGGATGCAGCATCCCAAGTGTAGCCTTACCAAGGCATTGAAGAGTGGTATTAATTCTTCACGTGATCTTGATTCTATCCCTCTGTTAATGCAGCCTAGCACTGTGTTGGCCTTTTTGGCAGCTGCAGCACACTGCTGGCTCATATTTAGGTGATTGTCTACTAGGACTCCGAGGTCCCTCTCACAGTTACTACTATTGAGCATGGTGCCAACTATGCTGTACTTGTGCATTTGGTTTTTCTTGCCTAAATGTAGAACCTTGCTTTTTTCACCATTGAATTTCATTTTGTTAGTTAGTGCCCAATGTTCAAGTCTGTCCAGATCCTTCTGTTTCTTAAGCCTGTCTTCTGGAGTGTTGGGTATTCCTGCCAGCTTGGTGTCGTCTGCAAATTTGATGAGTTCTCCATCTATCCCTTCATCCAAATTGTTGATGAAGATGTTGAAGAGTACTGGGCCCAGAACAGAGCCCTGGGGCACCCCACTACACACTTCCCTCCATATAGATGTAGTTCCATTGAGGACCACTCGCTGAGTACGGCCGGTCAGCCAGCTACGGATCCATCTGGTGGTGGTTCTGTCTACCCCACATTTTTCTATCTTGTCAAGTAGTAGGTTGTGATATACTTTATCAAATGCCTTACTGAAGTCCAAGTAAATTATGTCCACAGCATTCCTATGATCCACTAATTTTGTCACTTGGTCAAAGAATGCAATAAGATTTGTCTGGCATGATCTATTTTTGACAAACCCATGTTGGCTTTTAGTAATGACTTTGTTGCCTCTAGGTGTTCGTTGATTCGTTGTTTGATTATCTTTTCCAGGATCTTCCCAGGTATTGAGGTCAGGCTGATAGGTCTGTAATTTCCTGGATCCATTTTTTTTTCCTTTTTTGAGGATGGGAAATACATCAGCTCTTTTCCAGTCCTCTGGTAGTTCCCCTGTGTTCCAGGATCTTTGAAAAATATAGTTCAGTGGCTCCAATATCACATCTGCCAGTTCCTTGAGAACTCTGGGGTGTAATCCATCTGGTCCTGGCGATTTGAACTCATGTAGGCTGGACAGGTGCTCACTTACCATTTTCTTGCCTATCTTAACTTGTGTTTCTATTTTGTTTTTTATGGCACTATTTTTGATAGGTTGGTCTGTTTTTTCCCTTTGTATAAAGACAGATGCAAAAAATGAGTTAAATAATTCTGCTTTCTCCCTGTTGCCTGTCACCTTCTTGCCACTTCCACCCACTAATGGACCAATCATTTCCTTCACTTCTGTCTTGTTTTTTACATGTTGAAAGAAGCTTTTTTTGTTATTTTTGACTTTGGTCACAAGCCTTAGTTCATTTTGAGCCTTGGCTTTCTTCACTTCATCGACAATGATCTTTGGTTTTTCTAGTGTTTAAAACTAGGCTGTTTTCTTTACACCAGTTTATCCCACTTTATGACCTTTTTTGCCACAACTGATATGTGAATCACTGCAGATGTTAAGTGAATCACCCAGTCGTTCAGTGAATCTGGCTTCTCCCATTGATTTTGCTTGATTGCATGGAGAATAAATTGCATGGGTGAGAAGAATTCTCCTAAGAGCTTGGAGGAAAGGTAGACGACACTAGAGATATACATTATATTTGAGAAAACACAGTTACATTTGTCCTTTGAAGTCTCTTGGCTATCAACTCTTTAATGTCCTTGTTTCCTCTCTTGCAGGCACTTCCTCCCCTTCACACTCTCTGCTCCACTTCCGCTATGCTATGCTCCTTGAGGGGTGGCCCCAATTTGTTGAGGTGACCTACTTGGATAGCCAGCCTATTCAACGTTATGACAGCAGCACAAAAAGAATGAGGCCTTTAACGCCGTGGATGAACCAAACATTGACTGAAGTTTACTGGAACTGGGAGTCTGATATAGGAACCTTTTTTCTGAAGGAAACTTTCCTAGAAGAATTCCGAAACTCCATTGTTTCACAGAAACATCACAATCAGAGCACGGGTGAGAAGACAAAACAGCATTATGAATCCCTCCCTTGTTAAATCAAAAGCCCAACTGAGTATCTTGAATCTAAGCATTCATTCATTCATAGATGATTCAGTTGAAAGTCAAACAGAGGCTCAAGATAGATGCTCAGGGACTGATCCAGTGTGGATCCTCTGTCCCTCCTTTCTTCTTAGCATATGGAAAGGAAATAAAAGACCCATCTCTGTTGACAAATGAGGCCTGCTTCTTTCACCTGATGGAAATGTTTATTGTGTGGGTAATAGGTCTGTAGCTTATTAGAAGAAAAGCCATTCTTTCTGGATATTTTTCAAAATTGGGGAAATTATTTAATTTTTTAAAAATGAAATGAGATATTGAACTGGTAAAAACAGATTATAAAAACGGTTTCTTACTCTAATTATAACCCTAACCTTATTTTATTCCAATCTATTTAATGCTGTGGATGAACCAAATGCTGGGTGAAGATTACTCGGAGGAGACATATATGGATTACCTGGACGAAGATAGCCTAGAATTCCAAAACTCAATTGTTCCACTGAAACATCACAATCTGAGCACGGGTGAGAAGACAAAACAGCATTATGAATCCTTCCCTCGCTAAATCAAAGGCCCAACTGAGCAGCTTGAATCTAAGCATTCATTCATTCATAGATGATTCAGTTGAAAGTCAGATAGAGGCTCAAGACAGATGCTCAGGGACTGATCCAGTGTGGATCCTCTGTCCCTCCTTTCCTCTTAGCATCTGGAAAGGAAATAAAAGACCCATCTTCTCTGTTGACAAATGAGGCCTGCTTCTTTCACCTGGTGGAGATGTTTGTTGTGTGGGTAAAGGTTTGGGTGAGGAAAAAGGCTGATGTCAAATTGACTTCCACTCAGAAGACAATATATTATCTGGACCCCTTCTAGTCAGGCCTGGGCATGGGACTGAAACAGGATTTATCACACTTTTGGATAACCACTGGTAGGCTCATGATAGGGATAATGCATTCTTCCTGGGTATTCAGTCTCTCTCAGCCTAGCCTGCATTACGGGGGTGAGTTGAGATTAAAATAAATTGTGACAACCATGCATGTCTGTCATCACTTTGTAGGAGGAAAGGTGAGCATCTCTTTTGAAAAGGGAAAGGCATGAAGTCTATCCTTTATACAAACAAAGTACATATCTCCGTTATATAAATGTATTTGCTTAGCACAGAATATTTTCTGAGTTAAGATTATATTTAGTTACGGGAATTTTTTAAAAAATTTAAATTCTGAGTGATCCAACTGAACGATTTGGATTAAAAAAACAAACTTTTCAAGAACAGCCCTTGCAGAGTACTTTGCAATAGTTTGCAATATAAATGACAATTTATATTAATGATTTTCAACAATTACTGATCAATTTCTCTTTACGATATGTGCACAAGTAGCAATATGAATGGAATAGAATAGAGCTGGAAGGGACTTTGGAGTTCTTTTAATCCAGTCCCCCGTTCAAGCAGGAGAACCTATACCATCTCAGACAGGTGACTATCTCTACCCTCTTCTTAAAAATCTCCAGTGATGGAGCGCCCACGATTTCTGGGGGCAAGTTGTTTCACTGGTTAATTGTCTTCAGTGTCAGGAAGTTTCTCCTTAATTCCGGGTTGCTTCTCTCTTTGTTCAGTTTCCAACCATTATTTTGTCCTTCCCTCTGGTGCTTTGGAGAATAATGTGACTCCCTCTTCTTTGTGGCAGCCCTCAAATACTGGAATACTGCTATCATATCATCCCTATTTCTTCTTTTCTTTAGACTAGCCAAACCCAAGTCCTGCAGCCGTTCTTCATATGTTTTAGTCTCCAGGCCTTGGATCATCTTAGTTGCTCTTCTCTGTACTTTTTCCAAAGTCTCAACATCTTTTTTGTAGTCTGGTGATCAAAATTGGTTGCAGTATTCCAGGTGTGGCCTTACTAAGGTTTTATAAAGTGAGAGTAATACTTTGTATGATTTTGATTCTATGCCTCTGTTTATTCAACCCAGGATGGTATTAGTTTTGACTGCTGCCACACACTGCTGGCTCATAGTCAAGTGATTGTCCACCAGGACTCCAAGGTCCCTCTTGCAGTTACTGTTTTAAAGCCAGGTTTCGCCCATACCTTTGATTTTTCCTGCCTAAATGTAAAACTTTGCTTTTTTCCACATTGAAACTCATTTTGTTGGATCGGGCCCATTGTTCAAGTTTGTCAAGATCTTTTTGGATAATGAGTTTGTCTTCTGGGAGTGTTGGCTGCTCCTGCCAGTTTAGTGTCATGTGCAAATTTGATGAGTTCCCCTTCAATTCCCTCATCGAAGTCATTTATGAAGATGACATTATCATTTATAATTTCTTCTTCATTTTGCACTTGGAAAGAGATAACATAAGGTATTCAACTGGTAAACTGTGAGTATCCTAGATCAAACCAAGTATGAAAGTGCCAGAGAATTCCCGGAAGCCTGGCACTCAGACAATTAGACCATAAACAGGCACATAGAGATAAACAATATTTACCTACCACTTAAAAGAGACAATGAAAAAACCCAAAAGGAAATAAAAAGACAAACACTTTCTCACCAGGAATCAACACCCATATAAGTAGAGATTAACACCAAGATTAACTATTAGTAACTAGACCAACAATCAAGTAAATATCCCAACCAAACAATTACCAATGCAGACCAAAAGCTTACAGTAATCAAGGAACCACTAAAAACAGTCCCACCAATGTTGACAGGGCAAGTCATTAGTACATAAAAATAAGAAACTCAACTCCCTTCTAGCATTGATGATGTTACCCAGTTTGGTAATGAAATGTCTATTAGAAAACCACCAAGTTCAGAGCATAAAGGACCCCCCCCCACAAAGTTTTTCTACCTTTCCCTAAATACAGGTAGTCCTTGACTTACAACAACTGAGCCCAAAATTTCTGATGCTGACCTTTATTAAATGAATCTTGCCCCATTTTACAATCTTTGTTGCCACAGTTGTTAAGTGAATCACTGCAGTTGAGAATCATAGTTGTTAAGTAAATGTGGCTTCCCTGTTGATTTTGTTTGTCAGAAGGTCATAAAAAGTGATTACATGAGCCCCAGGACACTGCAATCGCCATAAATATGAGTCTGAATTTTGATCACATGACGATGGAGATGCCACAAGGGTCGTGAGTAGGAAAAATGGTCATAAATCACTTTTTTTAGTGCCATTGTAACTTTGAACGGTCACTAAATGAACTGTTGTAAGTGGAGGTTTACCTGTATTATTCAGATTTCCAGTTCCTTACATAGGACATTCCTTCAGTAGCTTGCATAATGTAAAATCTATGAATTTGATGTTTTCTGCAAGCTGGACAGGTTTCGATATGCCACTTTTGCTAGCATCAATATGATCTTCCACATGCAAAGGAGGTAATGTTCTGGTCCCAACAGTTAGAAGAAAAAAGTATTGTTTCTTTTGTTTCTGCTTCAATCTTTTTTAAATGTTTCCTTGATCATCTTGATCATCTTAATAAAACACTAAGATATCACAATGGCAGAGAAGAGGTGTGGAAACTTTGTGTTTGTGTCACTAAACTGGTGCACATCTGTCTTTTTTTTAAGATCACATCTTGCAGTGTATTGAGGGGTGTAAATTCACAACTAATGGAGAGGAAATAGAAATTCATCAGGATGCTGTTGATGGAAAAGAGATAGATGGAGGGGAATTTCACAATAAAAGATTTTACTTGGACGGAAACTGCATTCAGTGGCTGAATAGGTACCTGAGCAACAAACCACAAAGGAAAGGTAGGCTTCCATATTCTTCCCACTTTTAATCTTCTTAAACTATCAATGATAGGCTCTGGAGGCAAACAAGACATTATGATGGTTGTAAAGACCTCAGTTTTTTTTTAAATGTACCTTCTGTTTTTATTTCATGTAGCTAAGTAAGCAAAATTGTTTTGGAACTAAATCTTTCAGCCCCCTGGAAAATGTTCTAATTGCAGAAATAATTTCTTATATATCAAGAATATTTAAAAATGCCAATCCAGTGTGAAGTGGTACCCTCCCCTCTGGCATCTCTCTACTATACTACTCTATTTGCAGAAATATCTACAATGCAATCAAAGTTGTCCAAGCTAAATTTTCACTGGGGTGAATTTTCCTGAATAAAGACATGCATATTTATTAATTAAATGTATTTGCTGCCCAACTCCATGTCCAGGGACTCTGGGTGGCTTACAACATCTTAAAAGCACAATATAAAACAATGAAATTCGCCATTAGTCAATTGCAAAAGGTGGCCTTACTAGGAACTGCTTCCATCCTGCGACGATATCTGTAATACCATCAAACATCCACATCTGCCTATCCCAGGTCCTTGGTAAGGACTCAATAGGTAGACAAAATGCCAAATCCATTTGTGTGATGATCCATAATAACAACAAGAACAACAACAACAACAACAATAATAATAATAAAGCTGGAAGGGACCTTAGAGGTCATCTAGTCCAACCCCCTGCTCAGGCAGGGAACACTATACCATGTCAGACAAATAGCTGTCCAGTCTCTTCTTAAAAACTTCCAGTGTTGGAGCATTCACCGCTTCTGGAGGCAAGTTGTTCCACTGGTTAATTGTTCTAACTGTCAGGAAGTTTCTCCTTAGTTCTAGGTTGCTTCTCTCCTTGATTATCACAGCTGCCTCTTTCTCCCCAAAACATTTGCAAAGTCTTGTGTATTTTTTTGGTGATACTAATCTTTCCTTTTTCTGAATTTATTTATTTAGAAAATTTATATGGCTGCCCAACTTACTGTCAGTGACTCTGGGAAGCTTACAAAGATAAAACCCCAATAGAGAAACCAATACCCCCCTCCATTGGGATAGGAAAGGGGGTAAGCTTTCACTGCTTGTAAATGATGCTCCTGGCATTTAGGAGAAGGGAATCAGAGTGTTCCTTGTGTCCAACTTATATCTGGATTGTGCAGGTGAAGCCATTCTATCCCAAATGATCGGTACTTGCAGGGTGGCAGTTACATAGAGCTTTATGAACTCTATAACCCTTGATTATCAACTGGAAACGAGCTGTGTTACAAAATCAGCCCTGTTCTTAGTGGCTATCTGTCAATCATCTTGATTATCATTGGGCATTCCAGATCTTAAATAGGCTATTTTAATGTCTGCGCAGTTTCTATATCTACCATAAATGCCGGCGTATAAGGCGACTTCCGCGAGCGTCGTATATGCCGAGCCGTCTTATACGCCGGAAATACTGGTAGTTTCCGGCGTATAAGATGACATTCTAGGAATGCGGCCCGGCAATAAAGACAGGGGTCGTCTTATACACTGGGTCGCCTTGTACGCCGGCATATACGGTATTTGTGTCTTGTAGAGCAAAAAGTTCCAACTAAAGTAACACCAACAGAAGTAATTGAGTATCCTTGCTTGCTGTTGGGAGGGGGTGGAATAGGGTCAGCAAAGTTTCCCTGGGGTGCTCCTCTGTTCATTTACAAAGTCTGCATCATGTCACTGTATCAGATGCTTGTGCTTTTGCTAGGCATCATCTGGCTATATGTCCAGGGGCTCTAGGAAACTATAGCCCCCCCCTGAACCCTTCTTCTTTGCTTCTCTTCTAATGACAGGTGTCTCTGCTTGCTCAGGTTTGCAAGGAGGCAATTGGGAAGGGGGTTATGGGGGGGAGATAGGCTGTAGGGTCTTTTCCTCTTATCATGCTTTCCCTGCCTCAAGTCTTCCAGTCAGGCTCTATTATTACCATACTTTCTGGCATATAAGACAATTTTCTAAAGCGTTGAAATCGGTGCCGAAGTCGGGGGTCGTCTTATACGCCAAGTCATCTTATACGCCGGAAATTAAGGTAGTTTCCGCCGTATAAGACAACTTTCTAGGCCTGCAACTCAGCGCCGAAGTTGGGGGTCGTCTTATACGTCGGGTCACCCTATACGGCGGAAAATATGGCACAGCATTGACACAACTTTTCCAGAGTATTTGGGTCCCTTGACTTACTAGCTTCTCTCTTAGGTCAGCCCTTCTCAACTAGTCAATCAGGGCGAAGTCATTCCACCTTACATCACTAGTAGGTAATTTGACTCTTCTCTTTTTGCCTGCTTTTGCTTTGAGATCTTTTGACTTGCAATAATTTTTTGGATGGGATCTCAGACTGTCCTTTGAAGGTATGCATTAAAGTTGCCCAGTACCCAATCATTCCCCTCAATGAATGATACTATTATCCATTTAGCTGCTGCTTCCTTCAGAAAACTCAGTACATAAGTTGCTTTGGTGTGCTCAATGAGAAACGTCACCGGTCTGCTGTCCAAAAACATTTCACACTGAGTTGCGAATGTCCAGAATTGATTCTGGTTTCCTTTGAACTTCGACAATCTCACATGGAATTGCAAGAGCCTTGGTAGTCTCCAAATTGTGTTGCTTCAGGTTGGAGCAAATTCTGCCTCAGCTGTTGCATTATCTGTATCACAGCATTCTGCAAATTGGTCATCTGTGCATCCACCTGCTGCAGGTGTTGCAACAACACTGCACCAGATGTTTGTTGGGTACTAGAGTTCCTTGAGAATCAGAAGCCATTCCTGAAATTCCTCCCTTTGGAAGAGAGGAGGAGATTTGTGTTGTGGGATAAACCAAGTAGAAACTTTGATCAGATAAGTTAATTCTACTTTATTCTGAGGTTAATTGACAGACTCTTGAAAGTCTGAAAGTACAGTTCTTTCCCATCTTCTTTACAGACTGAGAAATTAGGCATGGTCTCTTGTGAGCCTCTTGCCCCACTCACTACCCAGCTGTGGGTTACACTGTCTCTTATATGATCATTCCCTTGGCAGTGTCTATTTACCTAGTCTCCCAAGGTCTTTCCCACATACCTACAGGCCTGCATCCTGACTTAAAGAGATCTACATAATCTGCTTCATCCAGGGCCCACTGAAGCTGCTATACACCTTCCCCAACTTCTCTACTATCTTCCCCAGAAAAGAGAGGTTTGACACTAGATGAAAATTGTCCAGCTTTGTTGAATCCAACTGTGGCCTTTTGAGGTGGTGTATCACTGCCTCAAGAAGTGAGGTCTCAGCATGCCAGAAACAGGTGTGCACAAACGAGCAAAGCCCCTTCTGTAGGATGTAGGCAGCAGACAAAACCACGCCTCCACCGGTCTGCGGAAAAACCTTTCCACAGAACTGGTCCCTGGAGCCCAAAAGGTTGGGGGCCATTGTTTTAGTCCAACCCCTGCTCAAGCAGAAGATCCTATATCATTTCAGACAAATGGCTGTCCATTCTTAACCATCTCCAGTGTTGATGGTCTCCTGGGAAACTTTCCACCATTTCTGTTTAGGATTCTTGTATCACTCAGAGGAAGGCTGTCCTTTTCACACAGGCCGTTATTGCTATTTTGCAGAGCTTCCAGTAGTGAAAGTGACTCATCAGGAGGGCAGCATCAACAACCTTCAAGCCCTCACCTGCCAGGTCTATGGCTTCTATCCCAGGGAGATCAGTGTTAGTTGGAGGAAGGATGGGGAAATCTTCAACCAAACCAACAGTGCTGCACACATTGCCCCAAATTCAGATGGGACCTTTTACGCCAGGCTGAGTATTCAGATCAATCCCAAGAAGAGGAAACTCTACAGATGCCATGTGGAACATGTCAGCTCCAGCGAACCCCTGGATTTTGTCTTGCAGGAAACAGGTGAGAAATCACAATAGAGAAAAGGTCTGGGTTCCGGCTAAAAAGGTTTGGAGAACCGGCTGGCTTCCAGAAGTCCAGTCTAGGTCTTGGAGGCCTGGGGGAGGCTTTCCAGGCCTAGAACGGCCTGCCAGAAGTGCGTGGATGCCACTTCCAGAAGTCTGTTCTAGGCCTCAGAATGGCCCAGGCCTAGAACGGCCCACTAGAAGTTCATGGATGCCACTTCTGGAAGGCCGTTCTAGGCCTGCATCGAATAAGAGAAACGGTTGTTCAGGTATTTGAATTCCACTGCTACCTATAGGAGTGGGGAACGATTTTCTCAGGCACTACAAAGATCCTGGTCCATCATCCTTACTCCATGATCTTTGTGATTGCAGGCAGTCCTTGACTTATGACCACATCTGATACCAGAATTTCTGTTGTTAAGCAAGACAGTTAAGTGAGTGACGCCCAATTTTAATGATCTTTCTTGCCATGGTTTTTAAGCAAATCTCTTCAGTTTTTAATTGAATTGCATGGCAGTTAAATGAATCTGGCTTCCCCACTTGGCTTTGTTGGAAAAGGGAAGGTCACAAATGGCAGTCACATGACCCCAGGAAATTACTGCAGCCATCACAAATACATGCTGGTTATCAAGTGCCCAAATTTTGATCACATGAGCATAGAGATGCTGCAGCAGTCATAAATGCAAGAACTGGTCATAAGTCCCTTTTTTCAGTGCCACTGTAATTTTGAATAGTCACTAAATGAATGATTGTAAGTCAAGGACCATCTGCACATGAATTATTATAGTCAAAGGACTTTACTGTGTGGCCCAGTTCCAAATGGCTCATGGCTCAGTAGTGGACTGCAGCCCTGGGGTTGGGGACCCCTGACCTAGGCTTTCCAAGAGGTCACTAATTCTGGGCATTGGATACCCATTGAATAATGCCACTCAGTTTATTTAGAATTTAGAATAATGCTGGGAAAGATTGAGGGCAATAGAAGAAGGGGACGACAGAGAATGAGATGGCTGGATGGAGTCACTGAAGCAGTAGGTGTGAATTTAAATGGACTCCAGAAGATGGTAGAGGACAGGAAGACCTGGAGGAACGTTGTCCATAGGGTCGCGATGGGTCGGACACGACTTCGCAATTAACAACAACAACAAAGAGATGGAAGGGATCTTGGAGGTCTTCTAGTCTAGCCCTTTGCTCAAGCAGGAGAATTCTATATTATCTCAGACAAGTGGCTGTCTAGTCTCTTCTTAAAAACCTCCACTGATGGAGCGCCCACGATTTCTGGAGGCAAGCTGTTCCACTGGTTAATTGTCCTCACTGTCAGCAAGTTTCTCCTTAATTCTAGGTTGATTCTCTCTTTGGTCAGTTTCCAACCATTGTTTCTTGTCTTTCCCTCTGATGCTTTGGAGAATAATGTGACCCCCTCTTCTCTGTCGCAGCCCCCCAAACACTGGAATACTGCTATCATGTCTCCCCTATTTCTTCTTTTCTTTAGACTAGCTAAACCCAAGTCCTGCAGCCATTCTTCATATGTTTTAGTCTCCAGGCCTTGGATCATCTTAAGTGCTCTTCTCTCAATTTTTTCCAAACTCTCAACATCTTTTTTGTGATATGGTGACCAAAATTGGCTGCAGTATTCCAGGTATGGTCTTATAAAGCGGTATTAATACTTCGTGTGAAATATGTGCTTTAGTCTACAGAAAATTGTATTTCTCTAAAGGACCTCTCTTTGGAATTTTTTACATCTCAAGTATTTAATCAATGTGGGATATAGACTATCCAGTATAGGAGCAAATATGTACTTTGTCCTGCATTGTCAACCATAGGAATGACTATGTCTTCTGATGCTTCTATTTCTGCAGGCCCTTCAGCTAAAGTAACTACTCATGTGCTGAATGTTAATGATACCCGCTTGAACTGCTCTGTCTGCAACTTTTATCCTGAAGACATAGAAGCCACCTGGAAGAAGGATGGAGAGTTTTGGGATCACGAGATTTATCGTGGGGATACCATCCGCAATTGGGACGGGACCTACTGCACCTGGATTAGTATTGAAATTAACCCCATGGAGGAGGATCGCTACTGTTGCTATGTTGGACATGATGGCTTGAAGGAACCACTCTGTGTAAAAGGTAACAAACTGCAGGGAAGGGAGAACTCTGGGTGATGAATTTCTGCCTGGCAGTTCCCATAGGTGACCCTACCTTGGTTTTATTCTATTAAAATACTCTCTCTCCTTTTTTTTTTTTTTTTAGTTTTTGGACTTGCAATGAAGAGTCTGTACAATTTGCCTGGAGTTATTTAAAGATGGCTGAAAAATTCCATCACACTAACTTAGGCTAATTGTGATGAGATGTACTTGAACCTCTAATGTTCTCTTCCCAATTTACTGCCACTACTGTGGCATTAGATATGGTTTTACTATCTCCTATGCATTTTTTCCAAGCATGTTCACATTATAGATTGTCATTGTTTTAGTATTACAGTTGGGCATGGAGACAGTTATAAGATGGGGCAGTCATTAGAAAAGTTCCCATATGACTTGACTTGGTTTTATGTCCATTTTTTATGATAGTCATAAAGCAAGTTAAGCGAACCACATGGTTTTTAAGTGAATATGTAGTTATTATGTTAATCCAGTATTTTCAATAGATGGGTTTTTTTTGCCATTTTCCTGCCAGAAATGCATTATTTCATATTTTAGTTAATAGAAAAAAAACAGTCTTTTCCAAATGGAGAAATCGCATATTTCTTCAATCTAATTTTCAATATACTTTTCCAGTATAGCTATATTGGGAAGAATAATCATTATTCCTGCAAAAGAATAAGGTTCCACAATTTTGGAATATAATTCAAAATAACATTGACATTTTAAAAGACTGACATTTTAAAGTACTCTTCTACAAAGAACTGAATCTGGACAAGAAAAGTCACATGAGTCAATCTATCTTCAAATTTCTTGCACGTCCAACAGTGAGAATCTACAGGCTATCCTTTCTAATTCATTCTTTAACCACTCCAATAAAATTTTTTGATAGATAATTTCAACTTTAAATCTAAGGAAACAACATTCAAATGTTAAAAATGGCCTTTAAAACAAAGATTGATCCCCCGTCATCTGATATTCCAACTCATTACTCCATAACTCATTAACGTTTCAACTTTATAGTTGAATTCAATTATTCAAATTCAGTAATTTCAACCATAGTTATTTTTCCATTTCTGACATAATCCCAGTCAATTTGATTTAGGAAACAGACTCAGTTAACTATGATAGTATCTCAGTCTTCTTTGAGGCAACTAAGGAGTCTGGTCCATGCTGAAAAATCAAAACATACTTGAGTTGATTATATTGCGATTTGGGCATATATCACAAAGAGAAATTTATCTGTGATAGTTGAAAATCATTAATATAAATTGCCATAACTCAACTACTGCAAAATGCTCTACACAGGGCTGTTCTGAAGACCACTTGGAACCTTTTGCTGGTTTAGAATCCAATCAGAATAGAAATGGAAGGGACCTTGGAGGACTTCTTGTCCAGCCCCCTGCTCAAACAACAGATCCTATATACCATTTCAGACAAGTGACTGCCCAGTCTCTTGTTAAAGACGTCCAGGGATGAAGCACCCACAACTTCTGAAGACAAGCTGTTCCACTGGTTAATTGTCCTCACTGTTAGGAAATTTCTCCTTAATTCCAGGTTGTTTCTCTCCTTGATTAGTTTCCACCCATTGTTTCTTGTCTTGTCTTCTGGTGTTTGGGAAAATAAATTGACCCCTCCCCCTTTGTGGTAGCCTTTCAAATACTGGAAGACTGCTATCATGTCCCCGCTAGTCCTTCTTTTCTCTAGAGTAGCCAAATCCAAATCCTGCAACCGTTCTTCATACATTTAGTCTCCAGGCCTTTAATCATCTTAGTTGTTCTTCTTTGCACTCTTTCCAAAATCTCAACATTAATTAATCAGAATAGAACTGGAAGGGACCTTGGAGGTCTTCTAATCCAACCTCTTGTTCAAGCAGAAGACCCTCAACCATTTCAGATAGGTGGCTGCCCAGTCTTTTCTTAAAAACCTCCAGGAATGAAACACCCACAACATCTGAAGGCAAGATGTTCCACTGGTTAATTGTCCTCATTGTTAGGAAGTTTCTCCTTAGTTCTAGGTTACTTCTCTCCTTGATTAGTTTCCATCCATTGTTTCTTGTCCTGCCTTCCAGTGCTTTGGAAAATAAATTGACCCCCTCCTTTTTGTGGCAGCCTCTCAAATATTGGAATACTGCAATCATGTCCAGCATGATATCCAGCAGTGCAGTGAGACTCTTGATTAGTGATCTACACTGGTTGCCAGTTTGCTTGGGGTGGGGTGGGGTGGGGTGGGGTGGGGGAGTGATTCATGATGCTGGTTATGACCTATAGAGCCCTACATGGCATAGGCCCCAGTTTCTTGAGGGGCTGCCTGTCTCCCATGCTGTTTGTCCAGCCAAATGAAGCCGAGAGGGCTGCTTTAATCTTCTCCATAGACAAATACTACTTTGGTTTCCTTTTAATTACTTTGCTCTTTTTCCCAATTCAGCTTTAAAATTAGAAATCCCAAATGAGGAAAATCTAATATTCATCCTTTACTATACCATACCAGTCCTTGGCATCCTGATCCTTGGAATCATTGGAATTTTGTGCTACAGTAAGTATCATGTAAAATATCTTTGCTGTTGTGGGTATTAAGATGTGAAAGCTATTTTCCTTCCAAGTGTCCCTTTTGGGCACTTCTGTGCATCTTTCTTCCACATTTAGTAATAGTAATAGTAGTAAAGTTGGAAGGGACCTTGGAGGTCATCTAGTCCAACCCCCTGCTCGGGCAGGAAACCCTACGCTATTTCGGACAAATGGCTGTCCAGTCTCTTCTTAAAAACTTCCAGTGTTGGAGCATTTACTGCTTCTGGAGGCAAGCTGGTCCACTGATTAATTGTTCTCACGGTCAGGAAGTTTCTCCTTAGTTCTAGGTTGCTTCTCTCCTTGATGAGTTTCCACCCGTTGCTTCTTGTCCTGCCTTCAGGTGCTTTGGAAAATAGCTTAATTCCCTCTTCTTTATGGCAGCCCCTGAGATATTGGAATACTGCTATCATGTCCCCCCTTGTCCTTCTCTTCGTTAAACTAGACATACCCAATTCTCGCAACCGTTCCTTATATGTTTTAGCCTCCAGTCCCCTAATCATCTTTGTTGCTCTTCTCTGTACTCTTTCTAGAGTCTCAACATCTTTTTTACATCGTGGTGACCAAAACTGGATGCAGTATTCCAAGTGTGGCCTTACCAAGGCATTAAAGAATGGTATTAATACTTCACGTGATCTTGATTCTATCCCTCTGTTAATGCAGCCTAGCACTGTGTTGGCCTTTTTGGCAGCTGCAGCACACTGCTGGCTCATATTTAAGTGATTGTCTACTAGGACTCCGAGGTCCCTCTCACAGTTACTACTATTGAGCATGGTGCCACCTATGCTGTACTTGTGCATTTGGTTTTTCTTGCCTAAATGTAGAACCTTGCTTTTTTCACCATTGAATTTCATTTTGTTAGTTAGTGCCCAGTGTTCAAGTCTGTCCAGATCCTTCTGTATCTTAAGCCTGTCTTCTGGAGTGTTGGCTATTCCTGCCAGCTTGGTGTCGTCTGCAAATTTGATGAGTTCCCCATCTATCCCTTCATCCAAATCGTTGATGAAGATGTTGAAGAGTACTGGGCCCAGAACAGAGCCCTGGGGCACCCCACTACACACTTCCCTCCATATAGATGCAGTTCCATTGAGGACCACTCGCTGAGTACGGCCGGTCAGCCAGCTACGGATCCATCTGGTGGTGGTTCTGTCTACCCCACATTTTTCTATCTTGTCAAGTAGTAGGTTGTGATCTACTTTATCAAATGCCTTACTGAAGTCCAAGTAAATTATGTCCACAGCATTCCTCTGATCCACTAATTTTGTCACTTGGTCAAAGAATGCAATAAGATTTGTCTGGCATGATCTATTTTTGACAAACCCATGTTGGCTTTTAGTAATGACTTTGTTTGCCTCTAGGTGTTCGTTGATTCGTTGTTTGATTATCTTGTCCAGGATCTTCCCAGGTATTGAGGTCAGGCTGATAGGTCTGTAATTTCCTGGATCCTTTTTTTTTCCTTTTTTGAGGATGGGAACTACATCAGCTCTTTTCCAGTCCTCTGGTAGTTCCCCTGTGTTCCAGGATCTTTGAAAAATATAGTTCAGTGGCTCCGATATCACATCTGCCAGTTCCTTGAGAACTCTGGGGTGTAATCCGTCTGGTCCTGGCGATTTGAACTCATCTCGGCTGGACAGGTGCTCACTAACGATTTTCTTGCCTATCTTAACTTGTGTTTCTGTTTTGTTTTTTGTGGCACTATTTTTGATAGGTTGGTCTGTTTTTTCCCTTTGTGTAAAGACAGATGCAAAAAATGAGTTAAATAGTTCTGCTTTCTCCCTTTCTTCCTCGGCTCTCCTCAGGAGTTTTTGAACTCTTAGCTTCTTGCTAAGGATTTGGTTTAGTTGAAGGTTAGGACAATTCCAGTTCTTTTCTGCAACTGGGAAGAGGTATTGCAATTCTACCCTTTAATGGTTTGGGGCCAAAAAAGCAGCAGAAAAATATTTCAATAAAATATATATTTTTTAATCCAGCTGATTCTACCAATTGTACTCAGTCCATTGCAGAGGCAGTAGGTTTCCCACAGAGCAAAGGAGGTACATTTATATTTTGAAAAGCTTCCTATTTCTGCTTAATAGCAATAGCACTTAGAGTTATATACTGCTTCACAGCGCTTTACACCCTCTCTAAGCAGTTTATAGAGGAGTCAGTTTATTGCCCCCAACAACCTGGGTCCTCATTTTATCCACCTTGGAAGGCTTGGAAGACTGAGTCAACCTTGAGCCAGTCAGGATCGAACTCCTGGCGTGAGCAGTGAGTTAGCATGCAGTACTCTATTCTAACCACTGCACCACCAGAGCTATTCTAAAGGTAGTTTATAAGATAGTTTAACTATCTTAAGATAATTTCTTGGGTAAGCCATGACAAAGCAACTTTAGCAAGGTATCCTGGGCCTTTTTCTGGCATAAATGAAGAGATTAAATGGTCTCTGGTGGATTCTTTTTAGTTTTAACTCTCCAATATTTGTTCTTGCAGAGAAGTGTCGACGACGTGACTACAGAGCAGCTGCAAGTGAGTCATCTCTTTGCCTATTTGCATGATAGTCAGAAGCAAAAAAAAAAGGGACAGGAGGGCTCATACCATCAACATTTCAAAAGAACATGCCATAGAGATGTTTCTATGTCATCAGTAGAAGCCTGGGAGGAATTATAGCACTGGGATGCAGTGGAGAAATAGGAGTAAACATCACCAAATAAAGCAAAGAGAATTAGTGGACACTGTCAATCCTGCATACAACATTGTAAAAAGGGCAGAGAAAGATACATACTGCTCTGTTTATCAAGGAGGGCATAAATTCTAACGTATTAGTAAACATTATTCAATGTACAGAAAAGTAAGGTTTTACACTTAGGCAAGAAAAACCAAAAGTACAGGTACAGATCACCGCATCACAAAACAGATGTTGAGACTTTGGAAAAAGGGCAAAGAGCAACAAAGATGACTAGGGGCCTGGAGGCTAAAACATATGAAGGACAGTTGCAAGGACTGTGCATGGCTAGTCTAGTGAAGAGAAGGACCAGGGGTGACATCATAGCAATGTTCCAATATTTGAGGGGCTGTCAAAAAGAGAAGGGGGACAACCTATTTTCTAAAGCACCCAAAGGCCAGACAAGGAACAATGGATGGAAACTGATCAAGGAGAGATTCAACCTAGGAATAAGGAGAAATTTTCTGACAGTGAGAACAATAAACCAAATGGAATAGGTTGCCTTCAGAAGTTGTGGGTGCTCCATCACTGAAGGCTTTCAAGAAGAGACTGGACTGCCAACTGTCAGAAATGGTGTAGGATCTCCTGCTTGGGTGGAGGGTTGGACTAGATGGCCTACAAGGTCCCTTCCAACTCTGTTATTGAATAGAATAGAATTACTGGAAGGGACCATGATGGTCTTTTAGTCCTGCCCTGGCTCAAGCAGAAGACCCAATACTATTTAAGACTAGTGGCTATCGAGTCTTAAAAACCTCCAGTGATGAAGCTCCCACAACTTCTGGAGGCAAGTTGTTCCGCTGATTAATTGTTCTCACTGTTGGAAAATTTCTCCTTAGTTCTAGATTGCTTCTCTCCTTGATTCGTTTCCATCCATTGCTTCTTGTCCTGCCTTCAGGTGTTTGGGAGAATAGGTTATCCCCTACTCTCTTTGATAGCCCATCAAATATTGGAACACTGCTATCATGTCACTCCTGCTCTTCACTAGACCAGTCATGCCCAGTTCCTGCAATGCAACCATTCTTCAACTGTTTTAGCTTCCAGTCCAATAATCATCTTTGTTGTTCTTCTCTGCACTCTTTCTAGAGTCTCAACATCTTTTTTATAGATGAATGTAAAGCCTCTCTCTTTTCTCAACACGGACTCCATGTTCTTTTTTTCCTTCAGAGAGTGACCCCAATTCCAGCATGGATAATCCTGAAAGATCCCCACTAAAAGAGACAGAAGGAATCCCACCTCTCAACAACACTGCTGGTGAAGAAAGCAAGGGAGACTTTCCACCTTCTCAGGTTAGTTATACCTCCAGACACCTTTGCCTCTTTTGATTCACCTTCTCACTATGCTGGTTCGAGAGAAATGGGGATTGGATAGCTTATTAAGGTCCCTTCCAGCTCTGATTTTTTTTAATCTTGCTGCTCTAGGGCATCGGAGAGAAAAAACAGTCTCCTGAGAACCATCAAATAAGCGTCTAACTCTCAGAATGGAAAAGAATTGGATCAAATTTGATGTGGTTTGAGAAGCTCTCAAAAGGAAGGTCGAGTGCTAAAACGGACTCAAACCGGCACAAGAAAAAAAAAGCATTTCAGAAGAAATTCCCCCAAGGGACAAAGCTTTTATTTCAAGTTCTGTGAGACTGGGCTGTCTCACATGGAGCTTCAAGGACTAGGTCAGTGGTTCTCAACCTTTTTAATGCCGCGACCCCAACCGGTCGTAAGTCGAGGACTACCCAACCAGTTGTAAGTTGAGGACTTTCCCTGCCCAGGAGCGCCGCGCATGTGTGGTGCTGCCCCCTGCGCCGGCCGAGGCGTAGCTGGCAAGCAGTAGAGATGGAGCAGGCCGACCACCAGCTGGGCCACCAGCTGGCCCAGCCCAAGGGAGGTAAGGCACCCGCCGGGCCCCACACACGCCAGCAACCCTCCCTGCACCCGCTGGCCTCCCACCCCTGGCCCTCTTTTACTTACATTTTTAGTAGTTGCTCAGCAGGGAGGGGTGGAAACTTCCAGACAGCTCGCCTTCGCTGCAGACAACTTGCAGCACCGTGTGCAGAATGGGACTTTTGGCGGGCTCAGCAGGGCAGAGACAGCCTGGACAATTCCTATTGGCTTTTGAAAGCCAATAGAATTAGACTCTATTCAAGAGAGTCTATTCTATTGGCTTTCAAAAGCCAATAGAATAAAAGGGAGTAGCATAGCTAAGGAAAAGGGGGGAAAAATGGCGGACTGCGTTATTTGGCGACCCCCATGAAATGGTCGTTCGACCCCAAATGGGGTCGCGACTCACAGGTTGAGAATCGCTGGACTAGGTAAAAGCTACTTATGGTAACTTTAAATCTTCCAACTGAAGATAGGATAGTGAAATTTGATTTGGTAACTGATAACTGATGAACTTCCCAAGCCTAAGACAAACAGGGAGAATTACAACCATGACCTAGATCAGGGGTCCCCAATTCTCGGGCCATGGCCCATTACCAGTAGGAAGTTCCATTTTCGTAAGCGGCATCCCCTCCCCCCCCAGCGGTCCACAAATTCAGAAAGTTAGGAGACCCCTCACCTGGATGACTGAGAATCTCTATGAAGATATTTGTGTCTTACTTTTGCTTCTGAGTTCAGGCACCCAAAGTTTGGCATGGAGCTGATAAGATCCCTGAATATGAGAGATTTTTACCTTTGCGAAGGGTAAAAGGATTCTTTGTCCACCTAAAAATATGAATCACCAAATAATTCAGGCAAAGGAAAAGCCATTGGGGAAGATCAAGCCTTCTTATACAGTACAGAAACAAATGATACATATGTGATATGTCAGAAAGTAAGTGATAAAACAATGAAATACATTGATTCTATGTTTACTTCTGGTATCTAATATAGTAAAGAACACCATTGCTTGCACTTCCTTTCTGGGTGCGGGCTGGAAAAATGTGTCATTAATTTTCATCAGAAAGGGGCTAGGAATGAGTCCAAAGGCCCTTTCCAGGGAACTTCACAAATTATTATAAAATTTCTGGTGAAAGAGGAAAAATAAACAAAGAAGAGAAGGGACGGCTCTCAAGTTCAAAATAATTAAATAGTTGCAGGATTTGGCCATTTTACAAGGCAAAACCCCAGCCTGAAAGCATTTATTATCTTCAAATGAGTCATAGGATATTTAGACAGAAGAGCGTTCGCTCAAGCAGCTGCTTGCTTGCACAGGGTGCTCAGAATCCCACATATTGTAATTCAGAGTTGAAAAGTTTTGTTTTGCACGCAAAGCAAAAGCATTTGGCACTGAGTGCAGGAAGCCACTTATAAGAGATGCCAAGCCATTTTATAATATAAACAACTTATCTAGTATGTCTGGTGTTGCTAGACATCGGATGTTTTTGCATTATAGCCATCTTTTACCTTTTGCTTTTAGAGTTAGATGATGCTGGGAGGGAGGATGTGAACGAGAGTCCAGCTAGGTATAACAACACTAAACCTAGCATGAGAAACAAGGTTATTGTAACCAGAGCTGATAAGGAATTGGCAGGCTGGAGAACTGGGGAGGAGGCCCATCCTTCACACTAATTGGGGAATGTGATTTATGACTGTTAATTGAAGGAGGGAATGGGAATTCAGTTTTTGGCTTCAACTATGCACTGATATTATGCTACTCAAAATAAAGATTCTTTAAGGTAAACAATGCCTGGAAGTTCTTTTGAAGAGTTTCATCTGTTGGAACCATGACATCTAGTTTTAGAATGTTCAAGCTTTACTATCCTAATTTTCTCATTTTCTAATTGGTGCATCTTATCTTGCTATCAGCATAAAATTGTCCTTGTGTTTCTTATATTAGTGACACTCTCACTTCTGTATAATGGAAAAGCACCAGCTTCTTTTCTAAAATGGAATTAATTTTGCCTTTTAAAAAAAAATTAACTACTTTAATAATTATCTTCTAACAATGGCAAGTCCTAAGGAAGTGATGGCGAAGCTTTTAGAGACCGAGTGCCCAAACCGCAACCCCAAACCCTTATTTATTGCAAAGTGCCAGGGCTGCATCAGCATTGTTGTGCCCTTGGGGGGGGCAGGGAGGCGCTTCTGAGTGCCACCTCTGGCATGCAAAACCCAGGAGCACAAAAATGGACCAGCATACTGCAAAGCGCAAAATCAGCTACCGCCATGCTGCAGGGTGCAGATACAAGGCACTGCACCGCACAAGAACGGGGCAGGGCTAGTGAGTATCACGCAGGCACTAGCCCTGCCCCTTTTGCAGTACGTGCGTGCTCGTGGCCACATGTGCGCATGGACGCATGTAAAATGCTAGTCAGCCGCTTCACCTCTTTTGTGCTGGGTGGGGCTCCTGCTCTGGGCAGTGGTGGCAGCCTGATGGATCTGCTGCTGGTGGCGGTGGTGTGCGTGCCAACAGAGGGCTCTGAGTGCTACCTCTGGCACACGTGCCATAGGTTTGCCACCACTGTACTAAGGGAACAACTGCCATCATTCTTTGAGGGCAGAGAGCAACAGACTACGATAAAATAAAAAGCTTCATTCTGGAAAAGTGATTGTTAAAATCAACCTGTTTCCTCTAAGAGAGAATGGTTTATTTAGCATATGGTATTTACAGAGGTCATGCAATCATTGATGTACAACTCTAATAAAACATATTAGACACAAATATAAGCTTAAATTAAGCATCAGCAAATATGTGTGTATGTATGTATCCAACAGAATAACAGTGTTAGAAGGGACCTTGGAGGTCTTCCAGTCCAACCCCCTGCTCAGGCAGGAAACACTATACCATTTCAGACAAATGGCTGTCCAATCTCTTCTTAAAAGCTTTCAGTGTTGGAGCATTTACAATTCTGAAGGCAAGTTATTCCACTGATTAATTGTTCTAACAGCTTCTCTCCTTGATTAGTTTCCATCTGTTGCTTCTTGCCCTACCTTCAGATGCTTTGTAGAATAGCTTGACCCCCTCTTCTTTGTGACAGCCCCTGAGATATTGGAAGACTGCTGTCATGTCACCCCGTCTTTCTCTCCATTAAATTTGGCTTCTCTTCATTATAACTAGATGTTATAACATAACTGAATACAACGATAATGCAAAGGAATGGGAGGCTATGACGTCACTGCCCCTGCTGGAATGAGAGAGGGGGCAGGAAACCCCGCACGGAATCTTGGCGGGAGAGCCGTTAAACTGTCAGAGAAAGGGAGAGAATTGTCAGGCAGAGCCTGTCAGAGGGAGGGAAGGGGGGGGGCTGGGGGTTTCTGAAGGGCCCAGGGCGTATTTAAGGCACCGTTCTGAGGAGAAGAAGGGAACAGAATTTTAAAGGGGTTTTGCCCTTAGGCACAACTGCGAATTGTTCTATCCAAATCGCTCTCCGAACTGTTAAGAGGAGAGAGAAAAGCTTCCTTCAGAAGAGTGATAAAATACGACTCAAATGTGTGTGTGTGTGTGTGTGAGAGAGAGAGAGAGAGAGAGGGGGGGGGGTAAGATGATGTCACTGCCCCACCTGGAATAAGAGGGAGGGGAGGAAAACCTGTGCGGAATATTGGCGGGAAAGCCGTTAAAAGGAGTTGGGGTGGGAAGAGTCTATCAGAGCACGACGGAGGAAAGGAGTGGGGGTGAATATTGGCGGGAAAACCGTTAAACGGTGGGGGGTGGGAGGAAGGGGAAGAGAGTGTCAGAGCACGAAGGAGGAGGGAGGGAGAGCCAGAGGGTGCAAGGCGGAGGGGGGGGGAAAGGGGGTTATATGAGGGCTGAAGAGTTCCTATCCTTAAAGCAAATTTACCTTGGTCTCAATTTTTTAAAAAAAGAGACTCAAAGAAAAAGTTAATTAACCTTATTTCCTCAGAAAGTAACACCAGCGCTTTTTTTTGTAAAAAAAAAAAAAGTGCTGGAACTCACACACATCATACCTACCTTGCCTACCCTACAAGGTTCCATCCAAATAAAGGTGCCGGAGATCTGTTCTGGGCGTTCTGTGACAAAAAAAGCCCCGAGTAACACCATAAAATAGTATAGGGTCTCCTGCTTGAGCAGGGGGTTGGACTAGAAGACCTCCAAGGTCCCTTCCAACTCTGTTCTTCTGTAACTAATGGAACATTTTTCAACATTACATTGCTTAGCAATGGCAATCCTGGGCAGTTCCAGTTACTTTTGAAGCCCCACTCTGATCCAAGCCATTTCTGGCTTCCTCTCTCCCAGCCTAGCACTTCTTGGGACTGCCTCCTCTTCAACTCCCCCCCCCCACCTATTCCCCCCATCCCTGCCCTTTTGGCCGCCCTGCACCCTACCTTGCTGTGGTTTCGCATGCTGCCTGCATCCCACGGACGGGCCTTCGCTTGTTTGTGTAGCCTGGTTTCTGGCATGCCATGGCCTGGTGCCAGTCCATGGCGTGGGGTTAGGGACCCCTGACTTAAAAAAAGCTTAACAAGATTTTTAAGTGAGAAAGTTATAAATGAATTAAGAGTCCAAATTTGGAAATTTGAAACTTTTATTATAACATTTTGGATTTAACTATATAAAATAATCACCTTTATATAGGAACCAGAATTATTTTGTCTTCTATAAGTAGGCAAAAGATTAAAAGTCTTATGATTTAAAGTGGACATTTGATTGGTAAGGGTCAGAGGCCCTGGCTATTAGCAAGTTATTAGGCGCTTTTGCAAGTGAGCCATGAATTAGCTTCAGCCAGACCTACCCCATTTTAATCTGTTTGTGCTTTTGCTGAAATTCAGTCAGCACTAGCTTTGGCATCTGTTAGCAAAGAGCTGAAGGGCCAATCACAAACGTTTCATGTGTAAGTAGTGTCAGTCCCGCTGGCAGGATGTGGCTTCATAACTGGGTTGAAGAATTTTGCAAGTGGGCCCAATACTGTAAAAAGGAAAGATAGCATGGCTTTTAGCTTAGCTGTGGTCAAGAATGCCTGGACAGAGATGCTGAGGTAAAAGGGTCATCTTAGCATTTAAAAAATATAGTCAAATATAGTCTTTACCTAAGAAAGTGCAACCTCTTTGTTTATTTGGGGAAATTAGCCTAAAGTGTGCATGTATTAAATAAATTAGGAGCAAATGATGAAATATCAGGAAATTCGGATCTGTTTATGTAGTTTTATGATATAAAAACAGCTTGTCGAATACCAATAGGGAGGCTTGATTTGGCTCCAAACATACCTTTCTTTTATTCTGCACAGCAATGAAGTGTTGAACCCCACTCTTCTCTCTATGCATGATTGTTGCCTCATTGCACCAAGTCAAATGAATCATTGTTGGGCTGAGCCAACAAGGAACTAAGGATATCATGCAAAAATGTCTTTGGTTTTGATTAAGATTGGAATTTTTAATATGACACAAAATGTTTGAAATGTTGAAGGAGCTTCTTTGGAGAATGGGACTAGAAATTAATAGCAAAATCAGTAACAAAGTCTGCTTGTATGGATGGACAACGTTTAAAGGAGGTTAATGAAATAATTACAGATGTGAAACAAATCTTGCCGGATGCAGAAATAAAGGAATCAGAATTGCTGAAGTTAAAAACAGTGTAGATTACAAGACAGAAAAGGTATATAAAATGGAAATACAAATGATAATTTAAAGAATAATTTAGATCAGGGCAATGGGGAAAAAGTCATGATACGTCGCGACACGTCACATGGTGAGTTTTTTTATGATTGTATATTGGGTTTTCATTTTTGTAAGGCACTCAGAGTCACTGAGACTGAGTGGCAGGCTATATAAATTTTTTAAATAAAATAAATATATATAATATATACAAGCTGGCTGGCGTTTTAAAAATTAAAGGTGAAACGCAAATGATAAAACCAAGAGAAGGATCTGCATAATGTCTTTTTACTGGATTTACAAAAAAGCTTGTCAAACAAGTCACACTCTTTACTGTAATTAAAATCTTTAGATATGCAACCAATCAAATCATAGTGTATGCAAAATATCTATGTGTGTGTACACACACAAACACACTGTTTGCATACGCTATGATTTAGCTGTTCTCCTGTATGGGTTCTTTAATGGGAAGTAAAGAAACAGGAGAAGGAAGGACTCCCTGGAGAAGAACCTAATGCTGGGAAAGATGGAGGGCAATAGAAGAATGGGATGATAGAGAATGAGGTGGCTGGATGGAGTCACTGAAGCAGTAGGCGTGAGCTTAAATGGACTCCAGAAGATGGCAGAGGACAGGAAGGCCTGGAGGAATGTTGTCCATGGGGTCGGACACGACTTTGCAACTAACAGCAACAAAGGAAACAGTTGGCTCTAAAACCTGTTTCCATGGATATAAACATTTTCTCCTCTATGTTGTATCCCGTGATGATAAACAAGACTAATGTTCATGCTTAAGTTTTACCCTTTCATCAAAGTTTTCTCCTTTGATGAAATGTAAGATTCTCCTTTCTAAATAAAGCTCTTTCCACACTGCATGCAAGTATATGTATGCCCTTTAAAGCCCCACATGGCTTGGGATCAGATTATCTGAATAACCGTCTCTCCCTGGCTACTTCCTCCTGACCTACCAGAGCAGGGAGGCAGGGGCTATTGACGGTCTCCTCTCCTAAGGAGCTACATCTGGGAGACCTGGAGAAGGGCCTTCTCTGTAGTGGCTTCCTCTCTTTGGAACTTCATCCCCATGGAAAATAAACTGACCCCCACTTGGACACTCTTTTGCAAGGCCCTGAAGACCTGCTTTTGCCAATGGGCCTGGGGAACCCAAGTTGGGATGGAGACCATCAAGTGGCTCAATTGACCAATTTCTATTGCTAGGGGGGTGGGGGGTGGGGGAGTATTGTATTTATTTGTTGTATATTGGGTTTCTTTTTTTGGGAAGTGCCCAGAGTCACTGAGACTGAGCAGATAGCCATATCAATTTTCTAAATAAATAAGTAAATGTGGTTTCTTGCAGGGGACTTGTGTTCCATAAAACTAGAAACAACTTAGAAACGAGGTTTTTAAATTAAAAGCCTGGAAAGACTAAAACATGAAGAATGGCTGCAGGACATGGGTCTGGCTAGTCTAAAGAAAAGAAGAAATAGGGGAGACATGATAGCAGTATTCCAGAATTTGAGGGGCTGCCACAAGGAAGAGGGGGCCACATTATTCTCCAAAGCACCAGAGGGCAGGGCAAGAAACAATGGTTGGAAACTGATTAAAGAGAGAAGTAATCTGGAATTAAGGAGAAACTTCCTGACAGTGAGGACAATTAACCAGTGGAACAGCTTGCCTACAGAAGCCATGGGCGCTCCATCACTGGAGGTTTTTAAGAAGAGGCTGGACAGTCACCTGTCTGAGATGGTATAGGTTCTCCTGCTTGAGCAGGGGGCTGGACTAGAAGACCTCCAAGATCCCTTCCAACTCTATTCTATTATTATTATTATTATTAAATTTTCTGACAGTGAGAACCATCAACCAATGGCATAGCTTGCCTTCAAAAGTTGTGGGAGCTTCATCACTGGAAGCTTTCAAGAAGAGACGACTGCCATCCTGCTTGGGCGGGGGGTTGGACTAGATGACCTATAAGGTCCCTTCCAACATTTTTTATTTCAATTTTTTATTTTTTAAACCAACAAAACAAATTAAGGTCCCTTCCAACTTTGTTTATTCTACTCTACTCTACTCTAGTCTACTCTACTCTACTCTACTCTACTCTACTCTTGTTGTTGTTAATTGCGAAGTCGTGTCTGGGTGGCCATTTAAATTTGATAGGTAGATCAAAGGTGGGGCCTCACTCACTGGCACTCCCTGATAAATGACAATCAGGTGCTTGGTTGTCTGGAGAGGTGTCAGTGGTGTGTTCGCAGGACAGCCAATGGGAAACCAGAAGAAAAGAGCACCTCTGATTGGGCGGATCTCAGGTGACTTTGGAAAGTCCCCAAAGGGAATCTAGCCAGAAAATAATATGGACTTTGCACAACCACATATATATATATATACACTGAACTGTGCAATTGTTTTGTTTGTTTATTCTTTGCTAGTTTTATAATTTCTCTGTTAGGTGGTGCCAACACAGGGCCTCTTAGTCCATTTCCTGGTAGCAGAGAGAGAGAATATGGAGTAGAAGAATATAATGCATTTAGAAGGCAACAGAGTGCATTTAGAAGCAGTGGAACAGCCTGCCTCCAGAAGCGGTGAATGCTCCAACAGTGGAAGTTTTGAAGAAGAGACTGGACAGCCATTTGTCGGAAATGGTATAGGGTTTCCTGCCTGAGCAGGGGGTTGGACTAGATGACCTCCAAGCTCCCTTCCAACTCTTCAGCTCTGACTGAATCCCGGACAATCATTTCAGCAGTTCCAAGAAGGCTCCCCATCCATTTGCACCACTCAGGGGACCCCGGAAGACACAGGCAAATCTCCAGGCGGCCTCAACAACTCTCTAAAAGGAGGCAAATGACCAGCGCTCTGCAAGAAGTATAAATCCTTCCATTTCCCCCACCATCCAGGCAGAGCAGAAGAAGCTTCTTGGATGAAGAAGCCAAACGTCTTCAAAGAAAAACAAGAAAGTCCAGTTGCCTCCTGGGGGGGGGAAAAAAAGCACCTTTGGGACCGGAAGGGCAAAGTTGATCGTCAAGTTGATCGAAGGAGACGGAAGAAGAGCGAAGGAGGAAACGGTGCGCCTATCGCGGGAGAAGCAGCAGCAACAGGCCGCCTCCCCCCTCCCCAGCGGCCGCACCTGATCTAGCCTCCGGCCAGGTACTTTCCACTCAGGTGTGTCCGCAGTCTGGGAGACGGAGCGATCGCGCAATATTGTCGCTTTTGCATCAGCCGCAGCGCTTGTTCCGAGACTTGCGCTGCTGGGGAGGCTCTTCCTAAAGTCGCTTGCTCGCGAGAACCCCCTCGGGCCTTCGATCGAATGGATCGCCTGGTTCTTTTCCACTTGATCCCCTGGAACTTCGCCCAGGGAAGGATCCCCCGAGGGCCCGCGGGACGGAGGGCTCCAAACCGCAAGACGGAGACGGGGCTGCGCTCCCTCCTCCGGGCGCTTCTTTTCCTCCTCCTGCGCGGCGGCTGCTCCGGTGAGTAGCTGGGGGGGAGAGCGCGCGTGGGACCCGTAAGGAAAGCCAGGGGAGCGGAGGAGAGAGAGAGAGGAGGGGCGGGGGGTCTTCGTCGCAGGGGCTTGGGCTCGGGGCGATCGCCTCGCCCCCGCTTGGCCTACACGCCAGGACTGTTGTTGCTGCCGCAAGCAGGAAAGCACGGCGAGGGGACGGGACCGATTCACAAGTCGCGGATCGAGAGAGCCGCGAGCCTCGTGGAGCAGGTGGGTGGGCGCGATCGCCGTATAAACGGAGGCACAATCACGCGAAGCATTAGTACCGCTTTGTAAATCCATAGTAAGGCCAGCTCTGGAATCCTGCATCCAGTTTTGGTCACCGCGTTACAAAAAGGATGTTGAGAGGTTGGGAAAAAGTGCTAAGAAGAGCAACGGAGATGATTAAGAGACAAAAACGTATGAAGAACGGTTGCAGGACTTGGATATGGCTAGCCTAGAGAAAAGAAGGACTAGGGGGGACATGCTAGCATGTTCCAGTATTTGAGGGGCTGCCGCAAAGAAGAGAGGTTCAGCTAATTTTCCAAAGTACCCGAAGGCAAAGACAAGAAGCAATGGATGGAAACTAATCAAGATCACGTGAAGTATCAATACCACTTTACATTGCCTTGGTAAGGCCACACTTGGAATACTGCATCCAGTTTTGGTCACCATGATGTAAAAAAGATGTTGAGGCTCTAGAACAGTGGTTCTCAACCTTTCTAATGCCGTGACCCCATAATACAGTTCCCCATGTTGTGGTGACCCCAAAGTGGGTGTGGCCACCAATAAGAGGGAGTAGGACAGCTAGGGAAAAGGGAAAAAATGGCGGACAGCGTGGGTTGGCAACCCCCGTGAAATGGTCGTTCAACCCCAAATGGGGTCCCGACCCACAGGTTGAGAACCACTGCTCTAGAAAGAGTACAGAGAAGAGCAACAAAGATGATATCTTACAGGGCTCAGAGATTCCTCCTTCATGGCGTAGTGCTTTTATTTCTTTGATTCCAAAAGAGGATCAAGATCTTACTTTACCAAAGAATTATAGACCTATATCTCTTTTAAATGTGGACTATAAGATATTTGTAAAAAACTTAGTAAATAGGTTTATGAGGGTTGTGCATCATCTTGTGCATAAAGATCAATCTGGGTTTATAACTGGTAGGTATATGAAAAATAATGTTAGACAAATAATTAATTTATTAGAATACTTAGACAAGAATAACCAAGTCCCTGCAGGGCTGATATTTTTAGATGCTGAAAAAGCCTTTGATCAATTGAATTGGCATTTTATGTTAAGAGTAATTGAAAAGATGAATTTTGGTGAAAAGATATTACAAGCTCTTACGGTAATATATCAAAAACAAACGGCACAACTTATTGTTAATGGAGGTTTGTCAGAGGTATTTACAATAGAAAAAGGTACTAGGCAGGGATGTCCACTATCACCGTTGTTGTTTGTCTTAACATTGGAAATATTGTTGATCAAAATTCGAGACTCGTAGGAAATTAAAGGAATAGAAGTTAATAAAAAAGAATATAAGTTAAGAGCCTTTGCAGACGACTTGGTGGTTACTTTGTTGCAACCTATTCTGCAGTAAAGTTATTACAGTTAATTCATCAATATGGTTTGGTTTCGGGTTTTAGGATTAATGTTAACAAGACTAAAATCCTACCTAAAAATATGACTATTCAGGAGAAGCAGACTTTGGCTAACTTGACGGGTTTTGAAATTGTTAACAAGGTAAAATATTTGGGGGTGATGCTATCTGTTTCTAATGCAAAATTATTTAAAAATAATTATGATAGGTTGTGGGTTAGTGTACAGAAAGACTTGAAGAATTGGGAGAAGCTGCAACTATCTCTCATGGGAAGAATTGCAGTGATAAAAATGAATATTCTACCCAAGTTTCTTTTTTTGTTTCAAATGTTACCGATTTTGAAGAATGAGACTAATCTAAGTGAATGGCAGAAGGGTGTTAATAAATTTATTTGGGCAGGGAAAAAGCCAAGGGTTAAGTTTAAAATTATGCAAGACTTCCGTGAGAGAGGTGGACTCAAGGTACCAAATTTGAAATTATATTATGATGCGGTGGTTTTAACACTAATTAGTGACTGGGTAGATTTGACAAATCTTGAGATACTCCATCTAGAGGGATGGGACTTACTTTTTGGGTGGCATGCCTATTTAATATTCAATAAAAAAGTGGATTGGGCTTTTAAATCTCACATTATTTACTTCTTTACTTAGGATTTGGAGAAAATATTATAAAAGTGATTTTAAAGTACCATTATGGGCTATACCCTGGCATGCGATAGAAGGAATAAAAAGAGGTGTTAAAATGGACATGGTGTCTTACAGACAGCTACTCAGATGGGATGGACAAAATTGGCAATTAAAATTACGGGAGGAGTTAGCACAAGAAAATATTATTTACTCTTGGTTTCAATATAGGCAATTAGCAGACAGATGGAAGGTGGATTGCAAGGTGGGTTTTCCTAGAGAAGATGAAAATCTTATTAAGCAAGTGAAGGATCAAAGACAAGCCCATATTAAGAGAATTTATGGGGTGCTAGTTGAATTGGACTCAGAAACGGAATTAGTTAAAGATTGTATGATTAGATGGGCCCAAAACTTTGGTGAATCAGTCCCATTGGATACATGGGAAACCATTTGGGTAAGAAATGTCAAATTTACACAGGCACAGAATTTAAGGGAGAATTTTTATAAAATGTTTTATAGATGGCACCTTGACCCACAAAAAATGTCTTTCATGTACCCGGACTTACAGCCTAAATGTTGGAGATGTGGTTGCTTGGATGCCACCTATTACCACATTTGGTGGTCGTGCAGAGAGATAAAAGCATTTTGGATTAAGATATGGTGGAATATTCAGAGAATTTTTAGAAGGAGGGTAAAATTTACTCCGCAGTTATTTTTGTTGGGTATCGTTACTGATTGTGATACAAAGGAGGTTATATTGATGTTAAATTTGATTACAGCCGCAAGGCTGTTAGTAAGACAATATTGGAAGAAGGAATCTTTGCCTACACTGCAGGAATGGTTTTTTAAAGTGTCTTATTTGGCGGAAATGGCAAAGATTTCGGCTTTCTTAAAGGAACAAACGCAAGAGAAATTTCTTGCTGTTTGGGATAAATGGATAGAATTTATACAATTTAAATTGGATATAAAAAATATCACATTGCTTTTTCATAATTCTTATTTTTATATACATATACATATATTTCAGTCTTATTTTTTTTTCTTTTTTATATATAATTTTTTTTAATTCTTTTTTAATTAAGCCTATATTCTGCTCTAGGAAGCTCAGGGGGGGGAAGGGGGGGTGTTTTGGGGGGGGATGGGGAAGGGGATGTTATGTTTAGTTTTTTGTATATGTTGTTTTCTGGTTTTGTATTGTTATATTTTTTTCTGTTTTTTTGTAAAAACTTATAAAAATTTTCAATAAAAAAAAAAGATGATTAGGGGACTGGAGGCTAAAGCATTTAAGGAACGGCTGCTGGAATTGGGTATGTCTAGTTTAATGAAGAGAAGGATGAGGGGGGACATGATAGCACTGTTTCAATATCTCAAGGGCTGCCCCAAAGAAGAGGGAGTCAAGCTAGTCTCCAAAGCACCTGAAGGCAGGACAAGAAGCAACGGATGGAAACTAATCAAGGAGAGAAGCAACCTAGAACTAAGGAGAAACTTCCTGACAGTTAGAACAATTAACCAACACTGGAAGTTTTGAAGAAGAGACTGGACAGCCATTTGTCTGAAATGGTATAGGGTTTCCTACCTGAGTAGGGGGTTGGACTAGATGACCTCCAAGATCCCTTCCAACTTTACTATTATTATTATTGTTGTTATTATTGTTGTTGTTGTTATTATTATTATTATAATTAATCAAGGAGAGAAGCAACCTGCAATTAAGGAGAAACCTCCTAACAGTGAGGACAATTAACCTTCAGACATTGTGGTGCTTTATCACTGGAGGGTTTTAAGAAGAGACTGGACAGTCACTTGTCCAAGATGGTATAGGATCTCCTGCTTGAGCAGAGGGCTGGACTAGAAGACCTCCAAGGTCCCTTCCAGCTGTACCCTGATTCTGATAGGTTCACTGATGTTGTAGGCAGCCCAGGGTTCCTTATGGGGAGATGGGTGGCCATTTAAATTTGATAGGTAGATCAAAGGTGGGGCCTCACTTACTGGCATTCCCTGATAAATGACAGACAGGTGCTTGGTTGTCTGGAGAGGTGTCAGTGGTGTGTTCGCAGGACAGCCAATGGGAAACCAGAAGAAAAGAGCACCTCTGATTGGGCGGATCTCAGGTGACTTTGGAAAGTCCCCAAAGGGAATCTAGCCAGAATATAATGTGGACTTTGCACAACCACACACATATATATACACTGAACTGTGCAATTGTTTTGTTTGTTTATTCTTTGCTAGTTTTATAATTTCTCTGTTGGGTGGTGCCAACACAGGGCCTCTTAGTCCATTTCCTGGTAGCAGAGAGAGAGAATATGGAGTAGAAGAATATAATGCATTTAGAAGGCAACAGAGTGCATTTAGAAGCAGTGGAACAACCTGCCTCCAGAAGCGGTGAATGCTCCAACAGTGGAAGTTTTTAAGAAGAGACTGGACAGCCATTTGTCCGAAATGGTATAGGGTTTCCTGCCTGAGCAGGGGGTTGGATTAGATGACCTGCAAGGTCCCTTCCAACTCTGTTATTCTTCTCTCCTCCTCTCCTCTCCTCTCCTCTCCTCTCCTCTCCTCTCCTCTCCTCTCCTCTCCTCTCCTCTCCTATTCATAAAATATTTAGAATACAAAGCACAAGAACGGACACAGTCTAGAATGGCTCCAATTTTAGATGCAGGGCTTCCGTCATATATGGTCATGACCACCATAAAACAATACTTACTTGGGGTTATAAAATAATTGTGGAATGATCTGACTTAATGCCGCCCATCTTGTGAGACTATGCATATCAAATCTGTATTTTAATTTCTTTGATTGTTGTGAGCCACCCAGAGTTGTGGAGATTTGGGTGGCAAGCAAGTTTATTATTTCTTCACAAGATTAGTTGGTGAAGGGATTGTTTTACTGCACATGTAAATGAAAAAGTTACCATACTATACCACAGTAGTGTGGAAGGAATAGAATAGAATAGAAAATAGAATAGAAAATAAAATAGAATAGAATTGGAAAGGACCTTGGAGGTCTTCTAGTCCAGCCCCCAAGCAGGAAAACCTATACCATTTCAGACAAGTGACTGTCCAGTCTCTTCTTAAAAACCTCCAGCGATGGAGCACCTACGATTTCTGGAAGCAAGCTGTTCCACTGGTTAATTGTCCTCGCTATTAGAAAGTTTCTTCTTAATTCCAGGTTGTTTCTCTCCTTGATTAGTTTCCATCTGTTGTTTCTTGTCCTACCTTCTGGTGCTTTGGAAAATAAATTGACCCCCTTCTCCTTGTGGCAACCCCTCAAATATTGGAATAGTGCTATTCCAATGGTGGCAAACCTATGGCACGGGTGCCAGAGGTGGCACTCAGAGCCCTCTCCGTGGGTACACGTGCTTTTGCCCCAGCCTCACCTCCCCCTGCGACCCCCTGCTCTCCAGCAGCCCCCCTGAAGGAGAGTCGCCCCTGAGCTGGGCCCACATGGAGCAGCGCAGCCAAGGACATGGTAGCCAGGCAGCATAGACAAGGACTCTGGCCTTATGCCCCATAATGCACAGTTGATGCTGCAGGGCATGGGTAGAGGACGTGACTGCCATAGCGCTGCTGGGCTGCCTGGGCGATCTGTGGCGGGCCCTGGAGGCGGTGAGTGGCCCTGTGGGCAGGCGGGGTGGATGATGGGGGGTGGAGTGGGGGCGGGGCAGGGGGTGGAGTGGGGGCGGGGCCAGTTTTGGGGCACTTGGTCTCTAAAAGGTTCGCCATCACTGTGCTATCCTGTCACCCCTAATCCTCCTTTTCTCTAGACTAGAATAATAGTAGAATAGAATAGAATAGAATAGAAACAGGAACAGGAACAGGAACAAACAGAAATGAATGGAATGGAACGGAACGGAACAGAACAGAACAGAATAGAATAGAATAGAAACAGGAACAGGAACAAACAGAAATGAATGGAATGGAACGGAACGGAACGGAACGGAACAGAACAGAATAGAAACAGGAACAGGAACAGGAACAAACAGAAATGAATGGAATGGAATGGAACGGAACGGAACAGAACAGAATAGGAACAGGAACAGGAACAGGAACAAACAGAAATGAATGGAATAGAATAGAATAGAATAGAATAGAATAGAATAGAATAGAATAGAATAGAATAGAATATATGGAACGGAACGGAACGGAACGGAACAGAATAGAATAGAATAGAATAGAATAGAATAGAATAGAATAGAATAGAATAGAATAGAATAGAACCTTGGAGATCATCTAGTCCAGCCCTCTGGTGCTTTGGATAATAATTTGACCCCCTCTTTTTTTTGGCAGCCCCTCAAATACTAAAATACCGCTATCATGTCTCCCCTATTTCTTCTTTTTTTTAGACTAGCCAAACCCAAGTCCTGCAGCCGTTCTTCGTATGTTTTAGTCTCCAGGCCTTGGATCATCTTACTTGCTCTTGTCTGAACCAAAAGCAATCAGCCGAGTCACAAATAAATGCCAAATAGTTCATCTGAAATTATTATTTGCGCTGCTTGAGACTTCTTTTATCCTGTATTTCCCTGCTTATATAACACAGGTAGTCCTCAGCATAACAGTTCATTTAGTGACCACACAAAGGCATTGAAAAAAAGCGACATAGGACCGTTTATCCTGCCTAAGGCCTTGGTAGCTGCCCCATGGGCACATCAGCAAAATTCAGACGCTTGGCAACTGGTTCACACTTACGACGGCGGCTGTGTCTCAAGGTCATGTGACCCCTTTTTGCCACCTTTTCATAACCGAAACCAATGGGGGAAACCAGGGTCACTTAACAGCCGAGTTACCACTTTATCAGCTGCAGTGATTCACTTAACTGTGGCAAGGGGCGTCGTAAAATGGGGCAAAACTCACTTAACAATTTTCTCGCTTAGTGACCTAAATTTGGGGCTCAATGGTGGCCATAAGTTAGGGTTACAGAATACAGGAATGGCTAGTGCCTACTCCTACTATAGAAAGGTAAAAAGTTGAGATTTGATTTGATTTGATTGATTTCTTTTAGAAATGTTTTATTAAACATTTCTAAAATCAAATCAAATCAAATCTCAACTTTTTACCTTTTATTAATTTTTTACAATACCCATCTTTAGTGTACAGTGTGTTGTCTTGGTTCATATATTTTGAGAAAAACAATAGTAGTAAATTAAAAGTCAATAATTATTTTTTGTAACTGCATTATTAATATATTAATAGTATATTTCTTCGATCTTTCGTCCAATAGTATTCTTCCTTCTTCAATCTGAAACAAATATTATTCTTAATATTTTCAATGCATAAATGGTTAAATGTAAATATTTTTTTCATGCTTGTACAAATAATAACGTCCATGTATGACATTTTTTCTTATCAACTTGTGTTGAGATCTTATTTTATTTATTTATTTTAGAAATGTTTTATTAATTTTTTACAATACCCATCCTTAGTGCTTAATGTACAGCATGTTGTCTTGGTTCATATATTTTGAAAAAAAAAAACAATTGTAGTAAATTAACAGTCAATAATAATTACTTTTTGTAATTGCATAATTAGTATATTAAGTAATAGTATATTTCTTTGATCTTTCTTTCTCCCAATAGTATTCTTCCTTCTTCAGTTTGAAACAAACGTCATCCTTAATATTTTCAGTGCATAAATGGTTAAATATAAACATTTCTTTCATGCTTGTACAAATAATAATGTCCACGTATGACATTTTTTCTTATCAACTTGTGTTGAGATTTTTATTTATTTATTTATTTATTTATTTATTTATTTTAGAAATGTTTTATTAATTTTTTACAATACCCATCTTTAGTGCCTAGTGTACAGTGCGTTGTCTTGGTTCATATATTTTGAAAAAAACCCAATAGTAACAGTCAATAATAATTACTTTTTGTAATTGCATAATTAGTATATTAATAGTATATTTCTTTGATCTTTTTTCCTCCCAATAGTATTCTTCCTTCTTCAGTTTGAAACAAACGTCATCCTTAATATTTTCAATGCATAAATGATTTATTATAAACATTTTTTTCATGCTTGTACAAATAATAATGTCCATGTATGACATTTTTTCTTATCAACTTGTGCTGAGATTTGATTTTAATGTCTGGTTTTACTGCAACAGAGAGTTGGAAGTACATTGCTTTTTGTTTCTTCCTCTCCCATTCTTCACACCTTTTTTGTTTTCTCTTTTTCTACTGTTGCCCCTGGCTATTTGCTTTTGGATTTTCACCTTTTATGTTGTAAATGAATAAAACTAAATTAAAAAAAAAAAACAAAATTGTGGTCGTAAGTTGAGGATCACCTGTAAGCTTTTCAGTCTTCAGAAAGTTTAAGATCCCAAAAGACAGAATTGGTTAACATCAACAAAAAGACACCCCCCCACACCCTTTGAACGGTGCACAAGTGCTCCTATCTCACAACTTTGTCCTTGTTTTCCAGATGGACACACACACTCTCTGTTTTATCTCTACACCGCCCTGTCAGAACCCGTTGGGGACTTGCCCCAGTTCACAGCTCTGGGATATGTAGACGGCTTCCTTGCTGGTTCCTACAACAGCCTTACCAAGCGGGCCGTGTCTCAAACCCCTTGGATGAAGAAGATTGAGGGAGAGGACCCCCACTTCTGGGACTGGATAACCAACAGAGCCTTCCATTCTGGGCAGCGGTTCAGGAAAGACCTGGAGGATCTCCTGCGACAGAATAACCAGAGCCAGGGTAAGGCCAGGAAATCTCCCATCCTAGACTAGGCCAAATCCAAAAATGCCAGGGAATTTCTAGGAATCTGACACTCTTGACAAATCAGCCGTCAATAGACACATAGACATGAACAACACCTACAGACTATGCCAGGGGTAGGCAACCTTGGCTCTTTTATGACCCGTGGACTTCAATTCCCAGAATTCCTGAGCCAGCCATGCTGAGGGGAAAGGGAGAGGTTTCCAAGCTGAGCCATGCTGGCTGAGGAATTCTGGGAGTTGAAGTCCACGAGTCATAAAGCGGCCTAGGCCTAGGCCAGAGGTAGGCAACCTTGGTTCTTTTATGACTAGTGGACTTCAATTCCCAGAATTCCTGAGCCAGCCATGCTGAGGGGAAGGGGAGAGGTTTCCAAGCTGAGCCATTCTGGCTCAGGAATTCTGGGAGTTGAAGTCCACGAGTCATAAAAGAGCCACGGTTGCCTACCCCTGGGCTAGATATAAAATGATTCATATAAGGGCCGTTTACTAATCCTTTACAGTTATTGAATCTGGGGGGTGCTAATAAATTCTGATTTGAAGGCAGGGGATTGGGCTGCATGCAGGAGAGGCGGATCCTGCAAGACGAGGCGGAGGAAGAAATAGTTGCAGGAATCTTCAGAGCAAAAGGAAAGGGGGAAAAGGCATGGAAAATCTAACATTCCCCCATATTTCATATTATTACGAGGTGGGCGACAGATAAATTTGATAAATAAACATTTTTGTCTTCCTGTCTGGAAAATAATAATAATAATAATAATGATGATGATGATAATAATGATAAAGTTGGAAGTGACCTTGAAGGTCATCTAGTCCAACCCCCTGCTCAGGCAGGAAACCCTATACCATTTCGGATAGATGGCTGTCCAGACTCTTCTTAAAAACTTCCAGGGTTGGAGCATTCACCGCTTCTGGAGGCAAGTTGTTCCACTGGTTAATTGTTCTAACTGTCAGGAAGTTTCTACTTAGTTCTAGGTTGCTTCTCTCCTTGATTAGTTTCCATCCATTAACATTGGGGAGGGGGCAAACCAAAAAGGTCTGCCATGAAAATCTGCCGAGAAAGGTGTTGTGTTTTTGTCGGCTCTTGGCGACTGCCAGGACAAACCCCTGCAGTTTTCATGGCCAGGGTTTTGATTTGCCATTGCTTCCTTCCCAGAGCTGAGAGAGAAAGATTGGCTCAAGGTTATCTCGCTGGCCTTGTGCCTCATGCGGGACTTGAACTCAGGGCCTCCCTGCTTCTGGCCTGGTGCCAAAGTGGCTCTCGTCTTTAAGAAGGGCGTTCAAGACCACAAAGCCACCTCTTCCATTAGATTACAAGTAGGGCCAGAATTGTCACCACAGGAGACAAGCTCACGATCCAAAAGGATCTTGACAAACTTGAGCAATGGGCCCTATCCAACAAAATGAATTTCAATGTGGAGAAAAGCAAAGTTTTACGTTTAGGTAGGAAAAATCAAAGGTACAAATATAGCTTGGGCGAGGCCTGGCTCAAAAACAGTATAACTGTGAGAGGGACCTTGGAGTCCTAGTGGACGATCACTTGACTATGAGCCAGCAGCATGTAGCAGCAGCCAAACAAGCTAATATAATCCTGGGTTGTATAAACAGAGGCATAGAATCAAGATCACACGAAGTATTAGTACCACTTTATAAAGCCTTAGTAAGACCACACCTCGAATACTGCAGCCAGTTTTGGTCACCATACCACAAAAAAGATGTTGAGAGTTTGGAAATAATTCAGAGAAGAGCAACTAAGATGATCCAAGGCCTGGAGACTAAAACATACGAAGAACGGCTGCAGGAATTGGGTTTGGCTAGTCTAAAGAAAAGAAGAAATAGGGGAGACATGATAGCAGTATTCCAGAATTTGAGGGGCTGCCACAAGGAAGAGGGGGTCAAATTATTTTCCAGAGCACCAGAGGGCAGGACAAGAAACAACGGTTGGAAACTGATCAAAGAGAAAAGCAACGTGGAATTAAAGAGAAACTTCCTAACAGCGAGAACAATTATCCAGTGGAACAGCTTGCCTCCAGAAGTTGTGGGGTCTCCATCACTGGAGGTTTTGAGGAAGAGATTGGATGCCCATTTGTCTGAAATACAACAGGGTCTCCTGCCTGAGCAGGTTGGTTGGACTAAAAGGCCTCTGAGGTCCCTTTCAACTTTTGTTATTCTGTGGAAATGTGGACCTGAGGCCTGGTGAAGGCGAAGGCATAATGAGGTCAGCCTCCAGCTGGAGGTGCCGAGCCAGGCCCAGAACTGGTGGTGTTTTCATCCGTGGCATCCGAAGAAGTCCTAAGGATGGACCCTCATAAGGAGTCCTAAGGATGGACCAGACGTAAGAGACATCAAGCCAATACTGAAGATCCAGGCTGTCACAACACTGGCAAAGATCAGTGAGGGAGAAGAAGCAGCAGGGAAGCAGCAGAACCTGAATTTATCCTGCTTGGGAGAACAGAGGCCTGAGGTGCCAAGCTGAGACCGGGGACGATGGTGGCAGTGGCAACGGAAAGACAGTGAAGAAGAAACGCTGTCAGAGGAGTCGTTGGAGAACCGGCCCAATACCAGCAAGCCTAGAAAATGGTCGCCAGAGACTGATAACCAGAATGTCTATGGAAGTTTTCAGTCATCCAGGCCGTGGTTGTCCCAAAGATGCTTTTTTCAAGAGGGAAGTGGACTTTCTGGTTTTACTTTGAAGACATTTCACTTCTCATCCAAGATGCTGCTTCAGCTCTCCTAACCGGAATTGACCCCCAGCCAGCTTCTCTCTAGCTGAGAGGAATAGTGTGTGTGTGTGTGTGTGTGTGTGTGTGCGCGCGCGCGCGCGCGTGTGTGTGCACGAACGTGCTTGCAAATCCCGCTGCTGACAGGTGAGATAAACCAGTTCTGGGATGGAGTAGATTGGGTGAATGGAGTTGTGAAGGAGGGAACTGAAGAAGCTTCTTGGATGAGAACTGAAACATCTTCAAAGAAAAAAAACCTACGGAAGGCCAGTTCCTGTTGGAAAAGCACCTTTGGGACCCCTGTGACCTGGGTTGGTTGAGAATCTCCATAGACACCTGGCAGACTTTAATCTGGCTTCACTGGGCACGGGGTCAAAGGTACCTTGGGATTTCATTGTTACCATGACAGCCCTGCCCCAAACTGTCCAGAGGCCGATTAATAACAGCAGTAATAGCCTGGATCTGGTTTTTTGTCGGGGCAATGGTGGAGGATTCTGGATTTGAAAAGAGATATGGGTTTCCCCACTTGCTGATTAGCCTCCATTCCGCAGGGAGGCTGGGTCGATTGGATTGGCCTATCCTAGGCAACTAATGAACCCGACTGGGTTCCAGAGGGAGCTTGTGTTATTCTGGAAAACCTGCTGTTCAGGATGTGTGTGTGGCCGGGGTGGGGGTGGGGGGAGAGCCCTCCACAACAGTCCCAGTTTCTCGTGTGGCCCCTTGGGAAAATTAATCACCCACCTCTATCCTAGAGTCACAGCTCCTGCTTGAAGAGCAGAAGGCAGCTGTGGGTAGGAGAGCTTTGCACAACTTCGGGTAGTGCATCATTTGCTCGCTGTCACTTAACGCTCTTGTAACCTCCTGCTTAGATGGCTGCAATACACTCTGCATGGGGCGATCCTTGAAGGCCATTCGGAAACTTCAACTAGTGCAAAATTGTGGCTGCACAAGTAATAATTGGTGCCGGTACAACATGTAACACACTAGCCTGTGAGCTGCACTGGTTGTCGTGTTACTGGGTGCAATTCAGTGTACTGGTTGTCACAATTAAAAATTATAGGGACCTATTACCTTATCTATTTGTTAAGTTGGAAATTTAAAAAAAAAAAAACTGGATAAAAGCCTAACTGGTGTCTGGAAAAAGATTTTATATGCTATTGGGGACATCTTGTGGCGAAGCCTGGTACAGCAAGTGAATTTCTTTGTAAGGCCTGCTTACTCCCTAGATTTGTCCTTGGTACTATCTAAAAAAGATAAGAATTTGAAACAACTGGGTTGTGAAAACAGCTTCTAGGAATAGTGGAGATGGACATCTGCTGACTTTTATTAAACATAGCCTCCACTAAAGGACTATCTCTAATCACCACAGAAATGGAGGAATTCTACCCGCAACTTAACTATAAACTCATACCTGAAAAAATCCTTGAAACCACTGAGCTAATGAATTCCAGAGTGAAAGACAAAGATGTCAGCTTAAAATTACAACTTGAAGCCCAGATTTCAACTGATAAATTTACAATCCAAAAAACAACAGAAAAGGAACAAATTAATATCAAAGAGGATTCTACACAACAACAGGTACAACTTATAGAGAACCTTTTCCAAGAGTCTCTATCCCTCCCATCAGATCCTACAGATAAGGCATGCTGCAGATCCGATCAGCCGAAGAGTGTTGGCTGGCAGGAATGAGAAAATGGCCTTTTTCTCTTACAACCTTTGCCTTATGGAATATTCTCCCATCAGAGATTAGAATGGCCCCAACCTGTTGGCTTTTCACAAAGCTTTAAAAACCTGGCTATGCACCTGGGGCTCAGAACGCGTTAAGGGTCCCGTTACTTGGTTTTACTATCAGTTCATTAATCATCATGGCTGTCATACTCATTTATTTGGTGGATGTTTTTTTACTGTTTTAACTTAATTTAAATTGTTTACACTGTTTTATAATTTTAGAATTGTAAGCCGCTCAGAGTCACTTGGTTGAGTTGGGTGGCTACAGAAAATTGATTGGACAAATGCATACATTAATAAATAAAGTCGCTTTCTTCAGTGCTGTTGTTAACTTTGAACGGTTGCTAAACGAGTGGTTATAAATCAAGGAATACCTGTATCTGATTTCCTGTCTCCATATGGAATGATCTAGGCCAGGGGTCTTCAAACATAACAACTTTTAAGATTTATGGACTTCAACTCCCAAAGTTCTTTAGCCAGCCATGCTGTCTGAGGAATTCTGGGAGTTGAAGTCCACAAGTCTTAAAAGTTGCCAAGTTTGGTAGACCCCTGAATCTAGACAAGAATTGTTCTTGAAACCCAAGACTTCTGGGAAGTTACGTCTTCCCAACCCATGGCATCTGGTTGACCCTCCAATATCGTTGCATCCATGCAAAACCGTGAACCAAAACAGTTGATATTTGCCCTGCTGTTAAGAACAGTGACCAGGATAGTTAGGATTAAGGTTAACCACCATCACAGCCTCTTCCCCCAAGTACTAAGATTTGAATGCAACTTACTGGTGATCTGGCAGGGTTATATACAATGTGGGATTTCAGATTTTATTGGGGCCTAATTTGACTTGTTTTGAGTAGTGTGAGTTGATTTGCTTTAATGGAATATTGTTTCTTATTTTAAGAAGTGATAAAAGGGCGGCGTATAAAGTGGATTGGAAGAGAAAAGAAGCTGAACAATGAAATTCTGACCGGCAGCTAAATATCCTACAATGGCCAAAATCGATGGAGAGCGTGAGCCGTGTTTACGATGGATGAACTATGCTATCTTGGCTTCTGGCTACCAGCCAGACCAAGATCCAAGGTTTACAAGCCAGAGAATTACCTGCCGGTCACCTGCCATTTTTTTCAATCTGGGGTAATGAATGGTAATACTAATTAATTTCATAAACTTTTCCTGAATGGTAAATGGGAGAATAAGACCAGTAATTAGGGACCAAAAGGAGGGGGTGTAACTAGGCTATGACAGCAGTCACCAACCTTTTCAGCTTGGTGGCCCAGTGTTGGAGGAGGGGATGGTTCTGTGAGAGTGAGAGGCATGTGCACGAATGCACTCAGCTCCATGTGTGCGAGGGGCAGGTGCACGCGCCTGCTACTTGCACAAATGGAGCTTTGTATGCGAGCACAAGTGTGAGTTCTCGCTGCTTGCGCAAGTGCGAGTTCTCGCTGCTCACGTGAGTTTTCACTGCTCACGCGAGTGCAAGTTCTTGCTCACGTGAGTTCTCGATGCTCATGCGAGTTCTCGCTGCTCGCGCAAGTGTGCGTTCTCGCTGCTCGCGCAAGTGCGAGTTCTCAATCACGCAAGTGCGAGTTCTCGCCCCTCGCGCGAGTGGAGCTGTGCACCACAAGTGCTCAACTGCCGCTCACACGGTCTGGTTCCGAATGGGCCACAGTCTGGGGGTTAGGGACCCTCACGCTATGACACGGTATCATACAGTGTTATAATTTGCTTACTTAAAATACTCTGGAGAACAAACCCAAGTCTAGAGAAAAAAGTAAAAAGGGTTTAAGGGTCATGCAAATCTCACTAGGAGGAGGTAGAATGCAAAACAATCAGCAGTGCTAGGCGGAAAAGTCAAAGGACCTACCTACTTTGAGAAGGCTTGGCTGACACCCAACCTGCTTTTTGCTTTCTTTCTAAACTCGAATAAAAGAGAAAACTTGGCAAACTGTGTGGCTTTTTATCCTGCTTCAATCAGAATCGGGAAGCTTGTCCTTGGGTCCCGGGTGACATGCATTTGTATCTATTTCTTATCTATGCACTCACTCATTCATTTTGAAGGAGAGCAATTTAGACCATCGTGATCCTAAGAAAAAAGACCCTTTATCCAGTTTTAGAAACTTCTCTGAAAGATGGGAAAGTTTATAACAGAGTAACAGAGTTGGAAGGGACCTTGTCGGTCAACTAGTCCACCCCCCCAATCAGGAGACCCTACCTACACCATTTCTGAAAGATGCCAATCCAGTCTCTTCTTGAAAGCTTCCAATGAGGAAGCTCCCACAATTTCTGAAGTTTGTAGGCCTGTTATACAAGGGGAGGAGAACAAATCAGATAATTTTGGTATATTGGTCAGTATTTAAGCAGGGTGGACTTTTTACGTTCAATGTCAGTGTGAGTGATATATTCATTATTTGTTCCTTTTTTGTACACCTGTTTTTTATTTTTATTATTAGTATCGGATGGTTGTTAACTTGTTTCCTCCTTTCCCCCCTCCCCTTTATTTTGTATTTTAACTTTGGAAATAAAAATAAAATAATAATTAAAAAAAACTTGGCACACTGGTGATGGGAAGAGTGGACAAACATCCTTTTCCTTTGCCTTCCTCTAGGTTGGTTAGGGAATCTGGAAATCGGAGCTAAAGTTTTCTTTTTGACAGAGCTTACACAAGTGTGTGGCGATGGATCGCTAATTTTGCTTTCTTTTATAGAGCTTCACGTCTGGCAGCGGCTGTATGGCTGTGAGCTGGCGGAAGATGGGAGTGAAAGAGGCTACGATCACTATGCTTACGATGGGAAGGACTTCCTCAGCTTCAACAAGGCCACCCTCAACTGGACGGCAATCAGTGCTGAGGCCGAAATGACCAAGAAGAAATGGGACGCTGAGTTGAACAGGGGCTGGCGCAAAAAGATATACCTGGAAGGGGAGTGCTTTGCATGGCTGAAGAAATGTCTGGAGTATGGCACAGAAGCTCGAGCAAGGAAGAGTAAGGATGGCAACACTGAGTATGAAAAGAGGGTGTCAATTTACTGCCCGGAGTCTTGATTGGGTGGTATGAAATACCACCACTGAAGAAAGAGCTGGGTGTCTCCTTCGCAAAATAACCAGAAAAAGGTGGCCTTTTGAAGGAAAGAGGAATTTAAAAGCTACTCTTTGGTGTTAAGCAGGCTTGGGCTTGCTTGGCAATTGGAAGGGAGACCACTAGGCAGGTTGAAAAAATGCAAAGGAAAAAAACAAGGGCAAAACCACTCACTTAGATAGTCCCCATACATGTTGAAAGCACTTTTTTGTTTTTTAAAAATGTGCGATGACCCAGGGCACAGCACAGAGGCAATGCAGTCAGCTGGCAATTCAAACAGCTCCAAATTTTCCCCAAATGCTCTCACTTTTGCTGGCAATCCTCCAACAACAGAACACACACACACACACACAGATACCCCTTCAGCCGACTCTGGCTGAAAGTAGGTTCAAATACAGTCTGATTAGCATAAGAAAGTACTCAAGGCCATAGAGATAACAAGGAAGAAAACATAAACTTAACCATTCTGTTTGAATCTTAGCTTGCCTGAGCAGTTTTTCAAAAGAGAGAATCCGAAATACAATCCGATAGTCAAAGTTTCCAGGTTTCCAAACAGAAGTCACAGAACAAAGATGATTAGGGGACTGGTGGCTAAAGCATATAAGGAACGGTTGTTAGAATTGGGTATGTCTAGTTTAACGAAGAGAAGGACAAGGGGGGACATGATAGCAGTATTCCAATATCTCAGGGACTGCCGTAAAGAAGAGGGAATCAAGCTATTTTCCAAAGCACCTGAAGGCAGGACAAGAAGCAACGGGTGGAAACTAATCAAGGAGAGAAGCAACCTAGAACTAAGGAGAAACTTCCTGACAGTGAGAACAATTAATCAGTGGAACAGCCTGCCTCCAGAAGCAGTAAATGCTCCAACACTGGAAGTTTTTAAGAAGAGACTGGACAGCCATTTGTCCGAAATAGTGTAGGGTTTCCTGCCTGAGGAGGGAGTTGGACTAGATGACCTCCAACGTCCCTTCCAACTTTACTACTATTATTATTATTAACAAGAGATCAGCAACAATACACAACACTCCAAGTAATCAGCGTTTGTTCCGGACAAATGCCCCCTCCCCACAGCGTCTCCTTAAATCTCAATCCCCAGGTGTGCCTTTTGGAGAAGGGCGGGATGTCTCCTCCCGGGTAATTGAACCTGCCTGTGTTGTTCCCTCCTCTCTCCACTCTCCATGCTCTAGGATCAGGTGGGGGTGGCCCTTGCTCATCGCCTGAACTCTGCCTCTCCTGTTCTTCCTGTCCCACTCCTGAAGGGCCCTGGCCTGCCTCGGCCTGCTCTTCCCCACATTCCTCTGAAGCCACAGACACCTCTCCCTCGGCCTCTATAGGGTCCCTTTCAGTTCATTTTCCTCAGCAGATTCAGGCTCAGACGGGGGCATGACAAAAAGGCATTTCTGGGTTGAAAGGATTAGCCAGTGACATCAGAGTACAGCATAGGTGGCACCATGCTCAGTAGTAGTAACTGAGAGGGACCTCAGAGTCCTAGTAGACAATCACCTAAATATGAGCCAGCCGTGTGCTGCAGCTGCCAAAAAGGCCAACACAGTGCTAGGCTGCATTAACAGAGGGATAGAATCAAGATCACGTGAAGTATTAATACCACTCTTCAATGCCTTGGTAAGGCCACACTTGGAATACTGCATCCAGTTTGGTCACCACGATGTAAAAAAGATGTTGAGACTCTAGAAAGAGTACAGAGAAGAGCAACAAAGATGATTAGGGGACTGGAGGCTAAAACATAAGGAACGGTTGCTAGAACTGGGTATGTCTAGTTTAATGAAGAGAAGGACAAGGGGGGATATGATAGCAGTATTCCAATATCTCAGGGGCTGCCATAAAGAAGAGGGAATCAAGCTATTCTCCAGAGCGCCTGAAGGCAGGACAAGAAGCAATGGGTGGAAACTAATCAAGGAGAGAAGCAACCTAGAACTAAGGAGAAACTTCCTGACAATGAGAACAATTAATCAGTGGAACAGCCTGCCTCCAGAAGCAGTGAATGCTCCAACACTGGAAGTTTTCAAGAAGAGACTGGACAGCCATTTGTCCGAAATGGTGTAGGGTTTCCTGCCTGAGCAGGGGGTTGGACTAGATGACCTCCAAGGTCCCTTCCAACTTTACTATTATTATTATTATTAGAGTTGCCCAGGAGACACCCAGTTGTCTCCTTTCATATCCCTGTTAAGGAGCTGGAGGGATTGATGGGAGCTCCCTTCTCCACCATGCAGTGGGCTCTTGAACGTGAGCTGGCTAACCTCGCCGCCATGTTCCTTCCACTTATGATAGTGAGATGGGTGGTGTCTTAAGTTTTTTATATAAATAAATACGATTGCCAAGAAAACGGAATGGTTGTTTCCTCGTAGGCCCCAGAGAGAAAATGCCTCTTAACAGGGATGGCTTCTCTGGGGGTGTTGCAGACCCAGGCGTCCTTCCATTCTTTCGGGGGGGGGGCCGTTCCCTAGGGCTTCCCCTGAGCCACAGAGCAGATCCATAGCTGCATCACCATGATGCAAATATCTGGGGATGGTGAATCTCGGGATCAAACATTGTGAACAAATGACATTTTCTCTGACAATTCTCTACATTCACTACACAGGAGCAGAGCCCCCAGTGGTGACGATCAGAAGCAAGACTCAGGCTGATGGCATGGAAATACTTCTCTGTCAAGCCCACGGCTTCTATCCCAGGGAGATCGATGCCTCCTGGAGGAGGGACGGAGAGGTCTGGCTGGAAGACACCCTCCAGGAGTCTGTGGCTCCCAACTCAGATGGGACCTACCATTACCAGCTCAGCGTCCGGATCGATCCCAAAGAGAGGGGCCGCTACCGGTGCCACGTGGAGCACGATGGCCTGCAGGAACCTTTGGATGTAGCCATGGAGGAGGCTGGTGAGAGGCTGGAAAAGAAGGCAGGGTGATTTGGCAGGCTCTCCCCGGAAGAGTCTGGGTGGGGATATTTACAGCAGCACAAAACTTAAATAGGGGAATATATAGAGAATCGAATCAAATCGAAAATATGGAATGGAAATAATAGAGAAAATAGAAAATAATAGAAAATAGAATGGAATGGAATGATTGGAATGGAACAGAACAACAGAACAGAATAAGAATAGAATAGAATAGAATAGAATAGAATAGAATAGAATAGAATAGAATAAGAACAATAGAATATATGGAATGGAATGGAATAGAAATAGAATGGAAGTAAAAATAGAATAGAATAGAATAGAATAGAATAGAACAGAATAATGGAATGGAATGGAATAGGAAATAATAGAATAGGAAATAGACTAGAATAAGAGAATAAGAATAGAATATAGAATAGAGTAGAATAGAATAGAATAGAATAGAATAGAATAGAATAGTGAATGGAATGGAATAGAAATGGAATAGAAGTGGAATGGAATGGAATAGGAAATAATAGACTAGACTAGACTAGAATAATGAACTAGACTAGAATAGAATAATGGACTAGACTAGACTAGACTAGACTAGACTAGACTAGACTAGACTAGACTAGACTAGACTAGACTAGACTAGACTAGACTAGACTAGAACAGAACAGAACAGAACAGAATGGAATTATTTATGGACCAAGTATGATTGGACACACAAGGTATTTGTCTCCGGTGCATAAGCTCTCGATGTACATAAAAGCAACAAGTGATAAATCATGATCATAGTCATCATAAAAATACATTCATCATAAATCATAAGATATAACATTTAGTGAAAATCACAGGATAACTAAATAAGCAATCAACATAAATCATACTAGGATACTAAATAAAACAATATAAATTGTAAGATCCAAGCAACAAAGTTATAGTCCTAAGTGTATAAGAAGATAGGTAATAGGAAAGATGAGAAGAATAATAGTAATACAGCCTTACTAGATAGATTGACAATGTTGTGGTAGTTAGTTGTTTAGCAGAATGATGGCATGGGGGAAAAAAAAACCTATCCTTGTGTCTATTTTTCTGTTGTGCAATGTCCGATAGCATCGTTTTGAGGGTAGAAGTACAAGAGAGATGTTATACAGGAGGGAACAAGCCTTGAAAGACACAAGGGCCTTATTAACTTGGGATTTGGAAATAAAGAAACAGAATATTGTACCAATATTAATTTTAATATTAATTAAACATTCTAATATTACTTAGAATGTTGGATGTAGATATTACAAGCATTACATTCTTTCAAATTGAGTATAACATTAGAAAAAAAAATGGATACAAGTATTTCAGTCACATTTCACATTTCTTTCTTCTCCCAGCTTCAACCGCTGTGTATTTCAGAATGGGAGGAATGGGGATTTCTCTCCTCCTGCTGGTGGTATTATATGGATGTATTGGTAAGTATGCTGTCACGCTCCAGGGAGGTTTGTGGAAAGAGGGAATTGCAGTTCTGGGTTTAGGCTCCAAGGCCTTGCTTTCCAACTTCTAGGTGTGTGAACTTCAACTCCCAGAATTCTCATCAGGGGCCATGCTGGCTGTAGAATTCTGGGAGTTGAAGTCCACACAGTGGAAATGGCCCATGTTGAAAAACAGTATTCTAAGGAGAGAGAAGGACTTCTCAGAGGATTTGCGGCTTCCAAACTCTCCAACTCAAAAGTTAGAGCAATGAAGAGATTTTAATTTACTTATATATTAAATTTATTTGCCACTTGTCTCACCGCCAGGTGACTTGCAGACCACAAGAGATGGTCTGAAACGTCTGAGCTGCCCCAGGCATCAAGAAATGTCCTTTGAATCAAGGTGTACGTCCATATCTGTATACTTCTCTGGCCAACGATACAGAACAGGTTTCCCACTGCCTTGTTTGAGGATGATTTTTCGGCTTCTCAAAGTGGTGGGATTCAAATATGTGAACAACCAGTTCTCTGTGGATGCCGCTTCCGGAAGTCCATTCTAGGCCTGGGCAATGAAAAATTAGCTACCGGTTCTGCCCAAGTGGTGCGAACCAGCTGAATCCCACCACTGGTTTACAGTCCTGAGATGTCCTGGTAGCCCCCCCTCCCCGATGCAAAGTTCCAAGGTGCTTTTTTGGCAGGCAGGTAGACCTTCTTGTTTTTCTTTGAAGACGTTTTGCTTCTCATCCAAGATGCTTTTTCAGCTCTAACTGTCCAGTTGCCTCCTGAAAAAGTACCTTGGGACAACCAGGACCTGGATGACTGAGACTCTCCATGGACATTCCCCCATGCAAAGAGCAATCAAAAGCCTGTGAAGCTTTGGTGAGATGCCATCCTTTTATAGGAAGAGTGTCAAGACTGCTAACATCGGATGTTCTTGCTTGCCATATCTGAAGAAGCAAACCTGTTTTATTTAGCATATATAGCACTTCTAGAGTTAAAGCAGATAATACTAGCCTAGTGGGTGGGAAAATATATTAGCTAACCATAACAATATCTGAGCACAGTATTGCCAAGGTCAGCTGTAATGAGAGGGGCATTTCACACTTCACATTAATTGGAGAATGTGATTGATGACTGTAAAATAAAGGAGTGAGTTATGCTTTGTCACGGGTGATTGGGGGAGGGAGGATTCAGTTTTTGGCTTAACTTTGTATGTGCCGAAGCTATGCAGGAATAAAAGGATTCTTTAAGGTAAATAAGCCTCAAAGTTCTTTGAAAAGCTGCTTCTTTTTGGAACCATGACAAAGAGCATGAATTAAGGCACCCATGAATTCAGTAGCTGATGTAAAGAAAGCCTGTTCCTTGACAGACCGATAGCAATAACAATAGCAACAGCACTTAGATTTCTGTGCTGCTTCATGGTCTTTTGTAGCCCTCTCTAAGTGGTGTACAGAGTCAGCCTATTGCCCCCAACAATCTGGGTCCTCATTTTAGTGATCTTGGAAGGATGAAACCTTGAGGTGGTCAGGGTCGAACTTCCTGCAGTGGGCAGAATTAGCCCGCAATGCTACATTATTAACCATGGCACCGCCACGGCTCTTCTATTGCGCTGACGTTATAGGTGTTATAAGAATGGGGCCACCTGAACAGGAGCCTAGGATTCCCCCCTCAGCAGCTTCTCTACAGGAGTTGAAAATCAGTTTTCCAAATTCTGATTTGGAACCTACAGCCTAAAAGAGAGAGGGGCCCTAAATAGGAGCTCAGTAGCTCTTATTTATTTATTAAGACTCAAGGCAGCATACAGAAGACTCTCTCCTTCTCTTTTTCCCACAATAACAACCGGCAAGTGGGTTAGGTTCACAGAGAGCGAGTGGCTTAACGCAAGGGTCCCCAACCCCCTGGACCATTGCCTACTACTGGGCTGTGGCCTATTCGAAACCGGGCAGCTGAGTGGTGGGCTGGCACATGCACGCACAGCTCCATTTGCTCAAGTTGAGCTGTGTGTGCATAGATCAGCTTGCTGCTCATGCAAATTGAGCTGCACATTCAAGTGCGTGCATGCATGCTGGCCCCACCGCTCACGCAGCCCAGTTCCCCCCCCCCCGTTGGGACACAAAGCTGCAAAGGTTGGGGACTGCTGGCCTAACGTTCCCCAACCGCTTACAGGAGGACTTGAACTCACAATCTCTCACTTTCTAGTCCCAACGCCTTAATCAATGCACCAAGTTGGCTTTTCTGCTTAATGCTGTCATGGTTTCGACAGATGAAACTCTTCAAAGAACTTCGAGGCATTGTTTACTTTAAAGAATCTTTATTTGAGTAGCATAGCATCCGCACGTACTTAAGCAAAGCCAAAATCTGAATTCCCCTCCCCTGAGCACATAGTCTCAAACACAATTCCCTCCTCTAATTAACAGTCATAAATCACATTCTCCAATTAGTTTGAAATGCAGGCTTTCCCTCCAGTTCTCCAACCCGCCATTTCTTATCATCTCTTACTTCAAAAAAACCTTGGTTCTCACACTGTTACAATATTGTTATGTCTAACTAATTCCCATGCACATTCCTCCTCCTCCCCTCCAGTATCATCTAATTCTAACTCTAATTCTAAGAGTAAACATAAGAAGGAAAATGGCTGCATCTCCATATGTAGTCAAAGCAAGAACATCCAATGTTAGCAGCGTTGACAAATGCACAGTGTCACGTCCTTCATTCCTGGTTAGATCTGTAGCCTGTCTCTTGGTCAGTGACTGGAGCTCCTGCGATGCTCAAGAAATATTTTGCAGTCCTTTCTTGGAAGCACCCTGTGATTTTCGACAACAGCTCAAACTTGGGAGGGGAAGGGAGGAAGAACATCAAGTGTTTTTCTTTTGTACTTTCAGGATATTGGACAAAGAAAAAGGAAGAAGAAGAAGGAGGAGGAGGAGGAAGAGGAGGAGGAGGAGGAGGAGAAGGAGAAGAAGAAAAAGAAGAAGAAGAAGAGTCCACCACTTCTGACGATGTTCTTGAATCAGTGATGAATTACAGGTAGTCTTTGACTAACAATCACAATTGGGACCAGAATTTGGGCCACTAGGCCACAAGAAAGATCGAAATTATGGAACTTTGAGTTCATTTAATCAAAGGAAACATCATTAGCATTTTCTCTAATGGTTGACTTAACACCTGGGGATTGGCTCATTTGAACTGACTGGATGAACTTTTGAATGGAGTTTTGCTTGGGACACTTTTAACCTATTGATCCGAACGGAAAACCCTCAGATCCTGTCTATTATGCTTGCTGTCAGCTTCTCCTAATAAAAGTTCCTTTTGGAATAAAGGAATTCCAACGGAAGAAGAGATCCTGTATAAAATCCTTTCATGTGCTGAGATGGACAGGCTTACAATGATTATGAAGGACAAGACAGAACTTGAACACTTTGAAATCTGGGACAAATTTTACCATTGGTATGAATTAAGAACTGCTCGGATCTCAAGTTAATGATAGGATTGAAATTATATATGGGTAAGAAGGTACAGAGCTTAGATATAGACAAATATTTACAAAATGCTCATTTTCCTAAGTTAACAGATGATCAGAGACAAGAGATTAATGGACTTATTACTTCAGAGGAAATTATTACAGCAATTAAGCAATTAAAAGCAGGTAAAGCACCTGGCACTGATGGATTGACATCAATTTATTATAAAGTCTTGATTGATGAGATGATAGAACCTCTAAAGGAACTTTTTAATAATATCTTACAGGGGTTAGAGACCCCCCCCGTCTTGGGGTAGGGCTTTTATATCCTTGATCCTGAAAGAGGATCAAGATCTATCTTTGCCAAAAAATTATAGACCTATATCTCTTTTAAATGTAGATTATAAATTTTTTTTCAAAAATTTTAGCTAACAGACTTATGATTGTATTGAATCAAGTGATACATATGGATCAAACAGGTTTTATAACTGGAAGATATATGAAGAATAATGTTAGACAAATTATTAATTTAATAGAATACTTGGACAAGAATAATCAGATTTCTGCAGGATTGATTTTTTTAGATGCTGAGAAAGCCTTTGATCAATTAAATTGGCAATTTATTTTAAGATTGGTCGAAGAAATGAATTTTGGAGATAAAATTTTACAGGCTTTTCGAGGTATTTATCAAAGACAATCAGCACAACTTATAGTTAATGGAGATTTATCTGAGGTATTTCAAATTGAAAAGGGGACTAGACAGGGTTGTCCACTGTCTCCTTTGCTGTTTGTTTTAACGTTGGAAATTTTGTTGATAAAAATTCGTGAATCACCCAAAATAAAGGGAATAGAGATTAATAAAAATGATTACAAATTAAGGGCTTTTGCAGATGATTTGGTTGTTACTTTGGTTCAACCAACTCATTCTGTAGTGGAGTTGTTACAATTGATAAATCAATTTGGACAAGTTTCTGATTTTAAAGTTAATAATAATAAAACTAAAATATTACCAAAAAATATGACTAATTTGGATAAGGATACTTTGGTTAGGTTGACAGGTTTTGAAGTTGTAAAAAAGGTTAAATATCTGGGGGTATTTTTATCTGCTTCTAATGCAAAACTGTATAAAATTAATTATGAAAAATTGTGGTTCAAAATACAGAAAGATTTGAATGATTGGAAAAAATTGCAACTATCTTTGTTGGGGAGAATTGCTGCGGTCAAAATGAATGTTCTACCAAAGTTTCTTTTTTTGTTTCAAATGATACCTATTTTAAAGAAAGAGGCAAATTTAGAAGAATGGCAGAAAGGTATTAATAAATTTATTTGGGCGGGGAAAAAAACCAAGAGTAAAGCTCAAAATTATACAAGATGTTCGAGAGAGAGGCGGACTCAAGGTACCGAATTTGAAACTGTATTATGATGCGGTGGTTTTAACATTGATTAGTGATTGGATTAATTTAACAAATGTAAATATACTCCTTTTGGAGGGATGGGATTTATTATATGGATGGCATGCCTATTTAATATATAATAAAAAGGTGGATATGGTCTTTAAGTCTCACGTTTTAAGAATTTCTTTGTTGCGAGTTTGGAAGAAATATTATAGAATAGATTCTAAAATTCCATTGTGGGCAATTCCAGGGCATGCGATAGAAGGAATAAGAAAAGGAGTGAAGATGGATAGCATTTCTTATAAACAATTACTTAATTGGGATGGGAAAAATTGGCAATTAAAATCTATGGATGAATTATTACAAGAAAATATTAATTATTCTTGGTTTCAGTATAGACAATTATTAGAAAGGTGGAGGATAGATCAAAAAGTGGGTTTGATTAGGGAGGATGTGATTTTGTTGAAACAAATTAAAGACCAAAGTCGAACTCATATAAAAAGAATTTATGGAGTTTTAGTGGAATTGGATTCAGAAACAGAATTAGTTAAAGATTGTATGGTTAAATGGGCTCAAAATTTTGAAGAGCCGATTTTATTAGATACATGGGAGATAATTTGGGTGAGGAATGTTAAATTTACACAAGCTCAAAATTTATGAGAAAATTTTTATAAGATGTTTTATAGGTGGCACCTTGATCCACAGAAGATGTCTCGCATGTATTCAAATCTGCAGCCTAAATGTTGGAGATGTGGTTGTTTGGATGCAACGTACTATCATGTTTGGTGGTCATGTAAAAATATAAAGGCTTTTTGGATTAAGATTTGGTGGAACATTCAAAGAATTTTTAATAGAAGGATAAAATTTACACCACAATTGTTTTTGTTAGGCATTATTGTTGATTGTGATGATAAAGAAATTATTTTAATGTTGAATTTAATTACAGCGGCAATACTGGAAGAAGGAGTTTTTGCCTACTTTAGAAGAATGGTTTCTTAAAGTTTCTTATTTATCTGAAATGGCAAAAATTTCGGCTTATTTGAAAGATCAATCGCAAGAGAAATATTTTTTGGTGTGGAAAAGATGGGTGAATTTTATACAGCATAAATATGAGATTAAAAAGTATTACTTAGCTTTTGAATAATTTATGTTTAAGGTAACGACTTGAACTATTGTTTTGTTTTGTTTTTATATATTGGAGTTAAAGTATTTAAAAATTTGTTTTTCTTGAATGTATTTATAATTGTTTGATGTTTATTCAAGTTGTAAGGTTTTTTTTTAGTTTTTATTAACCCTGTATTCAGCTCTGGGAAGGAGGGGGGAGGGTAAGGGGGGGAAGGGGGGTGGGTGGGAGAGGGGGATTATTTTATTGTAAAACTGTAAAAATTTTCAATAAAAAAAAAGGATTGAAATGTATATATAATTGTACATATAATTGTATTACGTAGAAAGATGAGGCTTATATAGAGGTTAAGAATGATGTATTATGTTTTTGTACCACGAGAAACAAACTGTTAGGAATACTTACTCTGGAATGTCACGCTTGTCCATTTTTGTTTTAATTGTATTAACAAATAAAAAACTTTTTTAAAAAAAGAAAAGTTCCTTTTGGAAGAAACTGCTTCCACGAGTTCTGCTTTCTTAGGATGAGGTCTTGAAGTGGGCCCTGACGACGTGTCTTTTATGATTTAAAACTACTGCTACTGCTGCTACTACTACTATTATTTGTATATATTGATTTTAGCTTTTTTGTACACCGCCCAGAGTCACTCTGCCTGTGAGATGGGCAGATATATATCTATATATATATATATATATGATGAATAAATAAATAAATAACATTTCACTTGCAGCTTTTCAAGGGCTAGTGTTCTGCACCATGTGACTTACCTCAGCATTATGTCTTAAGTGTTATGTCTCACAACTATTGAATTTCCTGGCAAGGGCATTTTTATTGTAGCAGCTATTTAATTTGTGACTGTGATGTTTATACGGTTAAATCCTTGCTTTGCATTTGCTCAGATGCCATTGAGTCCAAACTCACTCATAGCAAACACGTTCGTGAATATTGCCTGTATTCTATTTAATACCATAGGTTAAAATTTTGAAATCTGATATGTCTGTGAATTGTAAATTGTTTCATTCAATTTTGAATTTTTTTTAATACAAAGCATTAACTCTTAAATAATAATAAATAATAATAATAAAGTTGGAAGGGACCTTGGAGGTCATCTATTCCAACCCCCTGCTCAGACAGGAAACTCTACATCATTTCAGACAAATGGCGGTCCAGTCTCTTCTTAAAAACTTCCAGTGTTGGAGGATTCACAGCTTCTGGAGGCAGGTTGTTCCACTGGTTAATTGGAGAAGAAGCTGGTTTTGCTTCTTCTGTGCCAATGTAAATTTTCAGTAAAGTAGTATACTCTTGGTAAAATCACGTCCCAGGAATTTCTTTTTCTGGAAATACCAACTGGACAGTTGACAATATCAATCGTACAAAGTAGTTGAGGCAGTCACAAGAAGCCGACACTGATACAAAGGTGCTTAAAAAGAAAAGTAATGGGACAAGTTTTCATGACTCAGTCCCCGGGGGGGGGGGTAGAAGAACTACTAGAGCAGTGGTTCTCCACCTGTGGGTCGGGACCCCATTTGGGGTCGAACGACCATTTCACGGGGGTCGCCAAACAACGCAGTCCGCCATTTCCCCCCCCCCCTTTGCCTTAGCTGTGCTACTCCCTTTTATTCTATTGGCTTTTGAAAGCCAATAGAACAGACTCTCTTGAATAGAATCTAATTCTATTGGCTTTCAAAAGCCAATAGGAATTGTCCAGGCTGCCTCTGCCCTGCTGAGCCCGCCAAAAGTCCCATTCTGCAAACGGTGCTGCACCAGTTGAGTAGTCCTCGACTTACGACCGGTTGAGTCATCCTCGACTTACGACCGGTTGGGGGGTCGCAGCATTAAAAAGGTTGAGAATCACTGTACTAGAGTCAAGAGGCAGTAATAATTTGCACACAAACAGCTCATAAGGCCATACGTGGCAACATTGATAATATAACAGTTTTAAATTATCATATAAAATATTTCCATCTCAGTCAGAAATACTGCTAGTACACCTTATTTATTTGTCTGCCTGATTTATAACTCACCTTTATTTGTACAACTCAAGAGAGTGCATTAATTATTACTTAATTACGAATCAATAAAAGGAAGGCTCCATCTGTGAATTTTTAATCAAAATCACGGCACAAAGACACCTTAATGAGATCTGAAATCTTACTTTAAGGATGCTGTTGTATTTTCTACTAAAGATCATTTTCAAGAACAGCACCGGTTACAAAAATATAACAATTTAAATAAAATACACATATTCATTACACCAGTGGTTCTCAACCTGTGGGTCGGGACCCCATTTGGGGTTGAACGACCATTTCATGGGGGTCGCCAAACAACGCAGTCCACCATTTTTTCCCCCTTTTCCTTAGCTGTGCTACTTCCTTTTATTCTATTGGCTTTTGAAAGCCAATAGAATAGACTCTCTTGAATAGAGTCTAATTCTATTGGCTTTCAAAAGCCAATAGGAATTGTCCAGGCTGTCTCTGCCCTGCTGAGCCCGCCAAAAGTCCCATTCTGAAAACGGTGCTGCACCAGTTGAGTAGTCCTCGACTTACGACCGGTTGGGGGTCGCGGCATTAAAAAGGTTGAGAACCACTGCATTACACATTACAAACCTTCAGGAAGCTATAAATACAAATTCAGAAATACCAGCCATCTCATTAAACTCACACCTAATTTCAGAGCAAATATTCATATGACCTTTGCCTGATCTTTTGTCTAATAATGTAAAAATGACCAAAAGATCAATTTAAAGATCAATCCGACTGGTTTCCTAATGAATATGCCCAAATTTCAAATGTAACAGAACTTTTTAGTAAAGAGCCCTAAAGATATAAATAAAATCAGGAAAGTGCACAGAGAAATTTGATTTGACTTAAAGACATTTTTTCCTAATTAATTCTGTCCTATTTTATAACTTGGTAGTTTTACCTTGAAGAGTCCTTCACTTTAGAAGCCTCTCTCTCTCTCTCTCCTCCCCCCCTCCCTAACTCCCTATAATTTATTACATTCTGTACTTCTTCATGCTTTCAGATTGTTTTCCGTAGATGTCCAGGATACACGGACAATTCTCCACTCCTTGCAGAATAAATATTAACCAGAACTGTAAATAAAGGAATCCTTGAAAGAACCTGAGTAACAGCCAGGATTTCCCAGCTGTTTTTGACTGATTTGAAAGGTGAACCAGTACTGGATAGGAGGCCACTAGGAAATCTCAGGCTGCTGAAAAAAAAGACACCCAGAAGATGGCCAAGGCATAATACGTCAGTATTGCTGCCAAAAATGTACATTAGCACTATAAGACAGCCTTTGGCCACATCCCAGAAGTGTGGACTTCAACTCCCAGAATTCCTCAGCCAGCAAGTGTCACTCTAGGAGTTGAGCTCAACTCAAAGGAGACTTTCCTTAAAGGTTAGTCAGCCAGTTAGGAAGCCAGAAGAATAGACATTGGTGTTTCTAAAGGGAATCAGTGAACACTGAACGCTTGCTATTTCCTAGAACATCTTTAGAGTGGCATTGCTTAAATGGGGCTTTTATACCCCTCCAGACCCTCTACATTTATCATTATTTTTGCTTCATTGTTGTCTGTCTAAAAATAATTTCCAGATACTTCCACAGCAGGTAAATAGGATTATTTCCTACAAAAGCAAATAATTTCTTTTTAGCTTCACAAGAAACAGATTCTTTTACCTACATCCGTGGTGGCGAACCTATGGCACGGATGCCAGAGGCGGCACTCGGAGCCCTCTCTGTGGGCACACGTGGTGTTGCCCCAGCCTTGCCTCCCCCCATAACCTCCTCTCCAGCAACCCCCTGAATGAGAGTCGCCCCTGAGTGTGGCCCACGCGGAGCAGCGGAGCCAAAGATACGGCAGCCAGGCAGTGTAGACAAGACTCTGCCCTCACACCCCATCATGCAGTTGATGCTGCAGGGTGCGGCCAGAGGGTGTGGTTGCCATAGCGCTGCTGGGCTGCCTGGGCGATCTGCGGCGGGCCCTGGAGGCGGTAAGTAGTCCTGTGGGCAGGCGGAGGAGGGGATGGAGGGGCAGAGCAGAGGTGGGGCAGGGGGTGAAGTGGGGGCGGAGCCAGTTTTTGGGCACTCGGTCTCTAAAAGGTTCGCCATCACTGACCTACATCACTGAAAGAGAAACAAACGAGAGGATCCTGCATTGGAAGAGCAGCTTCCCAAATTCCCCATGTCTGGAGGAGGTCTTGGAGGGTAGTTGAACAAGTCACGCTGTAAACTTCTGTATTGTGGCTGTATTGTGGCTAGGAGTGAGGGTCATCAATTTGTCTGACTCCGGTTCCGAGGATTTATCTTCCGATGTTGGAGAAGTTTTCCTTTTCTTCTTCTGAACTCCTGCGATTGGGACAAAGAAATGGATGAATTGATTTGATTTTGTCTGTGTTAACTGAAAACCGTCACTGACCTGACTCACTGCTTAATCAAATCAGTGAGAATCTGCTCAGCTGTTTGCCCCATTTTACAACCTTGCTTGCCATGGCTATTAAGTGAAACACTGCAATTGTAACACGGTAGTTAAGTGAATCTGGCTTCCCCATTGACTTTGCTTGTCAGAAGGGCGTAAAAGGTGATCATATGATTCCAGGAGATTGCAACCGTCATAAACACATGCCAGTTGCCAAGTGGCTGAATTTTGACCACACGACCATGGGGATGCTGCAATAGTCATAAGTGTGAAAAATCGTCGTAAGTTACTTTTTCCAGTGCTGTTGTAACTCTGAATGGTCACTAAACGAATTGTTGTAAGCCAGGGATGACTTGTCCTCTCTTCCCGAAGCAAATCAGACTTACTGATGCACACGATGAGTCCAACCAACGCCAGCAGGAAAGCAGCCAGAACTCCTAGAATGGTGCCCACAGGGAAAGGGACTGCAAGGGGAAAAAAGAGTAGCAGGCTCAGAGCTTCCTGTTAAATAAAGCCTATCATGGTTCTGACATGTTACTCTTCAAAGAACTTTGAGGCATTGTTTACCTTAAAGAATCTTTATTCAAAATAACATGGCATCGGTACGTACATGGTCGAAGCCAAAATCTGAATTCTCCTCCCCTAAACACATAGTATCGAAGCACAATTCCCTCCTCCAAATAACAGTCATAAATCAAATTCTCCAATTAGTTTGAAGTGCAAACCTTCCCTTCAGTTTCATAACCTGCCATTTCTTATCTTCTCTTATTTCAAACAACCTTGAAGAATACTCTACTGCGATATTGTTATGTCTAACTACCGTATATTCCGGCGTATAAGACGACTTTTGAGAGCGCTGAAACAGGCGCCGAACTCGGGGGTCGTCTTATACGTTGAGTCGTCTTAAACGCTGGAAAAAAAGTAGTTTCCAGTGTATAGGCATGCAACTCGGCACTGATCGTCTTATATGCCGGAAATAACGTAGTTTCCGGTGTATAAGACGACTTTCTAGGCATGTGACTCGGCGTTGATCATCTTATATGCCAGAAATACCGGTAGTTTCCAGCGTATAAGACGACTTTCTAGGCATGCGACTCAGTGTCGATCGTCTTGCGACCCGGCATCGAACTCGGGGGTTGTCTTATATGTCGGGTTGCCCTATACGCCGGAATATACGGTAATCCCCATACACATTCTTCCTCCTCCCCGCCCCAAGCACCATCTAATTCTAACTCTAAAAGTAATACACAGGTTAAAGGGAAAATGGCTACATCTTCATATATTGTCAAAGCAAGAACATCTGATGTTAGCAGCCTTGACAAAGCCTTCCTATCCTTTGCTCCCTGGAATGTAGCTCACATTCCCCAAATAATCTGGGTTAATCTCCAGAAACCTGATCAAGATTGGAGCTGGAGAATTCTAAGAGTTCTCAAGGCCAGAGATGAGAAAAAAACCTCAAGCTACATCTGCCCTGAAAGTAACAAGGACTTGTCCAAGCTTGGGTCTGATTATTACTTGGAGGGGAGACCACTAGGAAATCCCAGGGCTGTATACTTCACTAAACAAAAATCCCGTAAGGCAATGGGAAAGTTCTCCTTCCCTTCCACATTTACCTGGAGGAGTCCACAAAATCAGCAAAGGTCAAGTCAAGTTTGACTTAATGTAGGCTTTACCAATTAATGTAGTTAGGAGTTAACTAAACTCTGCCCCCTTCCCATGCAGGTGTATTTCCTGCATTGCGGCAGCAAACACACAAAAACTTCCACTAGGATCTTCTAATCCAGATTGTTGAGGCGTCCCTCGAGTTTGCCATTGTTTATTCCCTGGGACAAAAGTCACTATCCAGACCTGGCCACCTTTTCTGTAAGGCCAGTAGCTCCTCTCCACTTCTGCCTCTCACCTGTCTTCTCCTCCCAGCCCATAACCAGGGGCTCTGCAAGGCTGGCATGCTCCACATGGCACCGATAGCGGTCCCTCTCCTTGGGATTGATCCGGATGCTGAGCCAGGCATGATAAGTCCCATCGGAATTGGGAGCAATGCTCTTCCGAAAGGTTTCCTTCTCCCAGATGACCCCGTCCCTTCTCCATGTGGCGTTGATCTCCTTGGGGTAAAAGCCAAAGGCTTGGCAGACCAGCGTCTCCAGCTTCCCAGAGGGATCCATCAAATGGGTGACTTCCACTGTTGGGAGCTCTGCAAAGGGATGAAATGAAGCAAAGTTCCACTTAGCAGTCCCTCTGTGGCAACACATAAGTGGGAAGCTGGACTGGAAAGGATTCTGGGCAATCAGGAACTGACTCTCCCCATTTATGTTAGCCCTGGGGTAGGCAACCTTGGCTCTTTTATGACTCGTGGACTTCACTTCCCAGAATTCCTGAGCCAGCATGGTTGCCTACCCATGCGTTAGCCTGTCCCATTAGATCCAGAAGAGAAGGGATGCTGCTGATACCATGGCGGGGTGGCGCAGTGGTTAGAATGCAGTATTGCAGGCTAATTCTGCCAACTGCCAGGAATTCTGCCAACTGGCTCAAAGGTGACTCAGCCTTCCATCCTTCCGAGGTTGGTAAAATGAGGGACCCAGATTGTTGGGCTCAATATATTGACTCTGTAAACTGCTTAGAGAGGATTGTAAAGCACTATGAAGAAATATATAAGTCTTAGGTACTATTGCTATCTGTCAGGGACCTACAGTTGATGGGCCAGTGGAACTGCTTGCCTTCAGAAGTTGTGGGTGCTCCAACACTGGAGGTTTTTAGGAAGAGATTGGACAACCTCTTGTCTGAAATGGTATATAGCCGTGGTGATGAACCTATGGCATGAGCCCTCTCTGTGGGCACACGCACCATCGCCCTAGGCCTTCAGCTGGGTTTTATAAAACCTTTTTGCTTTAGGCCTCCACCACCGTGTGCAAAAAAAAAAAAAGGTTCAATCAATCAATCAATTTCAACTTCTCGCGGGAAAAAAAAGATCTCACAAAGTTGGAGTTGATTGTTTGAACTTTTTAGTCCCACCCAGTCTGCCATTACCACCGTAGCCACACCCACCCAATGGGCCACGCCTACCCAGCACCCGATGATACATAAGTAGGTTTTGGGTTGCAATTTGGGCACTCCGTCTCTAAAAGGTTTGCCATCACTGGTATATAGGGTTTCCTGCCTGAGCAGGGGGTTGGACTAGATGACCTCCAAGGTCCCTTCCAACGCTGTTGTTCTGTTATTCAGGTCCCAGGCAACAGCCCTTTTCTGCCATGGTGCCCACCTATCAAACATTTTCTCTCCCCCCCAAATAATAGGTTAACTATGTCCCTTTTGAGGTTTCAGAAATCCCTCAAAACTTGGTTATGTCATCAGGTCTGGGAATCCCAAGGAACTGGAGACTTGTTTAATTTCTTCACTATTGAGATGAATATACTCAAGCTCTCTCTGCCTGAGGTTTGTATATTTTTAATTTCAATAGCCTGTCACATTTTACCCCAAACTCTCAAACTGACTTTCAGACCACACCTGTTTATTCTACAAACCAAAATCTACCAGAAGAGGAATTAAGGAAGACTAAAGAGGAATTTGCTACAACGAAAGAGACTACAGAACCAAGAACCAGAAATTCCTCCTTGAATCCTAAAAGTGATTTTCTGACTACATCGGACTATTCTACAAATCAAAATACACTAAAAGATGACTTTATGGAGGATACAGAGGAACTTATTTCACCTTACAAGCTTCTTATCTATATTTTTGAGGATCACAAAAAGCAAAGACTGACATTTGAATCTTTAAAGCACCATCAAGAATAAGAGAAAGAGAGGTTCAATGCAGAGGATAGGAGGCTTATTACTGCCTCAAATGGCATCACAAGCAACAAAGAGAGACTCATTGGTTGTAAGGGAAGCGTTGTTGTGGAAACCTGTTTGGCAGAAAAGAAGCCCAGAATAAGATTGAAAATAGAAACCTAAAATTATATATACTGGATTTAAGACATTTTAGAATTATGGATTGATCTAAAGATTAAGCTTTTGTGTTAGAAGTAAGAAAAATGGGTGATTATTAGAATATATATATTAAATAAAGTAAGAATGTATGTCTTGGAATAATAGGTTTATACGTATGAAAGTTATTATACAATGGAATGAAGAAAATTGAAGAGGTGTTCTAGATTAGGACTAAACTAATAATGAATTGAATATTATTTTAATAAGATGACGTGTTTTATCTGATAATAGGGATGTTATTAGGTCTGATAATTAATTGGATGAAATTAGAACCTTGTCTAATGGACTTAAATGATTTAAGGCTGATATTATTGTGTTAGCTTAAGAAACTGTTTGATTGATGGATTAGATATGTATTGGATAGATTAATATTTTATTTTAACCGGGAGATAGTAGTGGAAGGAGGAATAAATAGGATTTATGATGAAATGAAAGAATTAGGATAGATTTGGAAGGAACTCCTGAATTGATAATGTGCTTATTTAAAGTTAAATTTGATTATGGTCTTGTAATTGCATAAAGCTGTAAAACAGGTTTAGGATTATTAGAAATTTAAGTTAGAAACAGACTATTTTAAATATATAAGCTATTTGAGGGAAAGAGAGAGGGAATGTTTGATGTATTGATTAAGTTATCTATATATGTTTTGTTTTTGGATTCTTGACTACCCCTGTACCATGGTGTGTCTTGAGCACATTGTCTTAAAAATTAAAAAAATCAATAAAATTTGTTTTATAAAATAGCCTGTCACGTTAAATGTTGACTTTTTAATATTTTTAATTGTTCCTTTTATAGACAGGTAGTCCTTGATTATATAATTTTCAAATCGTCTGTTTTTCTCTGGCAAAAGGGAACCCACCAAATTTCCCTTCTGCTTGTTTTCAGCCTCACCTTTTCTTTCAAATGCTTCTTTCCCATATTCCAGGAACTTCCGCAGCAGTCCAATGCAGATCTCCTCCAGGAAAAGCTTGTTTCGCTGGAGTCTGTCTAGGTCGGCCTCCCAGGCCCTCTTGATCAGCTGTGCCTCATGATCGGTTGCTGTCCAAGTGAGGGTCTCCTTGTCAAAGCTGAGGAAGTCCCTTCCATCATAGCTGTATTGGTCATACCCTCCTTTGCTCCCATCTTCCCTGAGCTCACAGCCATACATTTTCTGCCAGATGTGAAGCCCTGGAAACAATAACAGGGAAATTCTGTTTATATATAGCACCACAGTGCAAACACAGAGTACAGTCACCATGTGCTTTACTGCTCAACTGTTTTAACCTAACAGGAAACAGGAAACTCTACTTGGAACAAAAGAGCATAGAGTACATACCATAGATCCAATGTGATGACCCAGGGCACAGCACAGAGGCAATGCAGTCAGCTAGCAATTCAAACTACCTTTTAATTACTCCAAATTTTCCCCAAATGCTCCACGTTTCTGGCAAGCCTCCAAACAAAGGAAGACACAAACATCTTCAGCTACCTCTGGCTGCAAGTAGTTTCACATACAATCTGATTAGGAGAGGAATTTACTCAAGGCCACGGAGATAACATGGAATGACACATACATCATAAACCTAACATGTCTGTGTGAATACACACTTGCGTGAGCAGTTTCAAAAGGGAAGCCAAAATACAGTCCGAGATCTTTGAACATCCAAGCAACATTGTTAGCCAGTCCAATGGTCAGAGTTTCTGGGTTTCCAAGCAGAAGTCACAGAACAAGAGATCGACAACAACACACACAAAACTCCAAAGAATCAGCATTTGTTCCTGACAAATGCCTCTCCCCACAGCGTCTCCTTAAATTTTATTCTTCAGGTGTGCCTTGTGGAGACGGGTGGGATGCTCTCCTCCTGAGTAGTTGAGCCTGCCGGCGTTGTTCCCTCCTTCTTTCCACTCTCCGTGCTCTAGGATCAGGTGGCGGTGGCCCTTACTCATTGCCTTAATTCTGTCTCTCCTGTTCATCCTGTCCCAATCCTGAAGGGCCCTGGCCTGCCTCAGCCTGCTCTTCCTCACATTCCTCTGAAACCACAGACACCTCTCCCTCAAACTCCATAGGATCCGTTCCAGCTCATTTTCAGGGAGGCATGACATCCAAACTTGTAAACACTGCCATCTACTGGCTGAATACTAATGTAGTTGTTGCATAGAAATACATTCCAACAATGAATTCCAACACTTATCAGGGAGAGGGGCAGGAATGGGGAGCAGCCTCCATTCTGGGTTGCCCCTCCCAACTGGGACAAAGGTTTGGGACAAGGAAGCTTCTAGAATTAAAAGGTGATGGGATTGATAAGAGTAAGTACAGCAACACTTCTTTGTTCCAGAATTATTCCCAAAGTAGAACTAGCTGATTTGGTCATTATTGTACCCCACTTTGGTGTCCATGCTAAAGACGCTGGGTGAAAAACTGAGAGACCGTGAGTTCTAGTCTAGCTGGGTGACTTTGGGCCAGTCTGTTTCTCTTAGTCTGAGGAAAGAAAAGGCAACAGCAAACTATTTCCAAAAATGTTGCCAAGAGAACTGAATGGCCTTGCTGGAATCAAGACTGTCTCAAATGGATCGAATACGATAAAAATTATAAATACATTCAGTGTATTCCTTTCCTCATTCTCATATACAAACTGTTAAGCCACTTAGATCTTTCTGAAAAATTGATTCACCTTTCTCTCCCACCAAGCACCTCCAACAAATGCCTCCTATTGATTATTGCCATCTCACATAGTATCATTATTTATCTTTCTCTTTGAAGACCGCCATCTCACATAATATCATTATTTATCTTTCTCTTTGAAGACAGTCCAGATAATGAGGAAAAATAGATCAATTGCACACACATAAGCAGAATTTGCAAAATGGCATGAAGCTCCATTTACACGAGTGGCAATTGCGCACGAAGCTCCATTTATGTGAGTGATAGGCACTTGCGCACAAAGGTCCGTTTATGCCACCGGTAGGCACTCATGTGCAAAGCTCCATTTATGGGAGCGGCAGGCACTAGCTCACAAAGCTCCATTTACACAAGTGGCAGGCATTCGTGTGCAAAGCTCCATTTACGCGAGGGGTAGGCAGTTGTATGTGAAGCTCTATTTACGCAAGTGGTAGGCACTTGTTCACAAAGCTCCATTCACGTGAATGGCAGACACTCACGCGTAAAACTCCATTTACGCAAGGGGTAGCCACTCGCACACGAAGCTCCATTTACATGAGCGGCAGGCACTCGCTCATGAAATTCCATTCACGCGAGCGGTAGGCACTCACACGCAGAGCTCCATTTACGTGAGTGGTAGACACTTGTGCACGAAGCTCCATTTACGTGAGCGGTAGGCACTCATGCACAAAGCTCCATTTACATGAAGCAATGTGCATACACCCACCACTTGCTCAAATGGAGTTGTGCGCACACGCACGTGCTTGCTGCTCACATAGAACCATCCCCTCTCACTCACCCCGCCAGTCTGCCAAACCAGAAATGTTGGGGGACCGCTGATCTACAACCAACAGGTAGGTAAACTGGAGTTGCCGCTGATTATCCACTCACCCCCAGTTTGGTTATATTGTTTCTTGAGGTTCTCCATATCTCTCCAAAGCCTCAGCTCATCGCTGCGGGCCTTCTCCGTGTTCCATGCCCAGAACTGGGGATCCTCTTCCTCCACTTTCTTCATCCAGGACAGCCGAGGTACAGCCCGCCTTGTCTTGCTGTCATAGTGACCACCGAGGTGGCCATTCAGGGAGGCCACGGCAGTGAACCAGGGGGTATCCTGCTTGGGTTCCCAAACTGTGGTGTAGAAATAGTGCAGTGTGTTGGAGCGGGAATCTGGGAAAGACAGGGGGACAGAGTGACAAGGTTGTCAGTAATTGGATCTATCTCAAAGCCATGTAAGGAACTTTCCTTTTTCTAGGTCAGGGGTCTCCAAACTTGGCAATTTTTAAGATTTGTGGACTTCAGCATGTCTGGCTGAGGAATTCTGGGAGTTGAAGTCACAAGGCTTAAGGTTGCCAAGTGGAGATTCCTGTTCTAGATCATGTTGTTGAACCAACCGGTCTATGCTCAGAGGCCTCCTTATCAAGCAGTGTGGAGAAAATAAATATGTAGCAAATAAAATGGAGGCTGCTTCCTTCTTCCACTCTGACTTTTAGATGTGATCTGGGTCAGACCAAGCTCATCTCCTTGCCAGACCCAAATTAACCCTCTCTGCCACCAGACAACCTCCCCCCTCTAATGCCATTTCAACCAAAGAATACAGGTGACACCACCAGCTTATAATACAGATAGTTTTTTAGGACTGGAATGTTAAGTCACACAGATGTAACTTAGTGGTGGCAGTTCCAATGGTCCTGTTGTCATTGTTAAACCAGGATCATATGAGTTGTTAAGCAAGGGCCTCCTTGTGACCATGACTTCCAGCTTCCTGTTGGTTTCCCCATTGATTTTGCCTGTGGGAAAGGTTGCCAATTTTGATCATGTGACAGTGGAGATGCTGCGTTGGCCATAAATATGTGGTCTGGTTGTACGTACTACTTGTCAAGGACTGCTAGAAGTCTGACTGCATGGTTATTAAAGGAAGACCACCTGTACAGCAGTGCCTATAGTCCAGGCCATGGTTTTCCCAGTTGCAATGTATGGCTGTGAAGGTTAGACCATAAGAAAGGCTGAGCGCCAAAGAATTGAGGCCTTTGAACTATGGTGCTGGAGAAGACTCCTGCGAGTCCCTTGGATTGCAAGGCGTTCAAACCGGTCAGTCCTAGAAGAGATCAACCCTGACTGCTCTTTAGAAAGGCCAGATCCTGAAGTTGAAATTCAAATACTTTGGCCACCTAATGAGAAGGAAGGACTCACTGGAGAAGGGCCTAATGCTGGGAAAGACTGAGGGCAATAGAAGAAGGGGACGACAGAGAATGAATGAGATGGCTGGATGGAGTCACTGAAGCAGTAGGTGTGAATTTAAATGGACTCCAGAAGATGGTAGAGGACAGGAAGACCTGGAGGAACGTTGTTCATGGGGTCGCGATGGGTCGGACACGACTTCGCAATTAACAACAACAACCTGTACAGCCCAAAGGCAGCCCTAATAAAGGAACTGCTATATAATCATTTGGATGCTTTTAGTGTTTTTATTGGTTTTACTATTTTTATTGTTTTAAAATGCTTTCAATAACTTTAACTGTAATGTTTTTTTTTTAACTGTAAGCTGCCCAGGCTATTGACTGAAATGAGCGGCCACAGAAATTGAACAAACAAAGAAACAAGCTGAATCAAGGACATTCCCCCCCCCCATTATCTTAACATTTCAGCTCCTTCTGTCCTGGCCACTTTTTACAGAGGCGCGATTGAGAGCATTTTAACAAACTCCATCACTGTTTGGTTTGGTGGTAGCAGAGTCTCAGATAGAAGGTCCATACAGAGAGTGGTGAGGACAGCTGAGAAGATTACAGTATAGGAAGCTCACTTCTCATAATTCAGGATACTGCTTATAAGAGCTATGTGCTTAGAGCTCGAAGCATTGTTAGAGACCCCACACATCCACTTCACGGTCTGTTTCTGTTGCTCCCCTCTGGGAGGAGGTTTTGAAGTATTTCTAGCAGGACTACTAGATTGTATAACAGCTTTGTTCCTTATGCCAGGGTTCCCCAACCTTTCAGAGTTGGTGGCCTGGAGTGAGGGGGAGGGGAGGGAGGAAAGAAGGGATGGTTTGTGGGGGTGTATGAATGCATGTGTGCATGCACAAACTCCTGTTGCTTGCACAGGTGGGGCTGTGAGTGCCCGTGCTGACACTTGCATGAGTGGGGCTGCAAATGTCCAGGACGCTCGCGGTGACGTGCAAGTGGGGCCATGAACGCCAGTGCCAACGCTCGCATGAGTGGGACTGCAAATACTAGCAATGACACTCACACAAGTTGGGCTGTGAATGCCCATGATGATCAGGGAAATGCTCATGTGAGCAGGGCCACAAACATCGTGATGCTTGCAGCAACGCTCGTGCAAGTGGGGCTGTGCATGTGTGTACGCGCACCCAGGTCAGCCACTCACGTGGCCCACAATGTGGGGACCCCTGCTTTATGCCATCCATCTTGTAAATTCTCAGGATTCTTTTTTTTTTTTTTGCCATGTATTCGAACTAGATTGTGATGTTTCTCTGTGTGTGTGTTGGTATATGTATAATGGTTACCTTTTGAGAGCTGAATGCAACAAAATTTAATTTTAATATATGCTGATTTAGTGTACATTTATAGTGACAATAAAGTTCTATTCGATTCTATTCCTGAAAGGGCCAGTCTGCCTAAAATTTACCCCAAATCTAAAGATAACCTGCTAGCTTTCCTAAACTTCCCCAAGCAAATCAGATTTCTTATCTTGCAGCCCTCAACTCTACAGCAGTCCTGGACTTACAACCATCCATTTAGTGACCATTCAAAGTTACAACGGCATTGAAAAAAGTGACATGACAGTTTTTCACCCTTACAACCATTGAAGCATATCCCTGATCATGTGATCAAGATTCGCAAGCTTGGCAACTGGCAGGTATTAATGACAGTTGCAGTGTCCCAGGGTCATGTGATCACCTTCCGCAACCTTATGACAAGCAAACTCATTGGGGAAGCCGGATTCATTGAACAACCTTGTTATCAACTAAACAACAACTGCGGTGATTCGCTTAACAATTGTGGCAAGAAAGGTCACAAAGTGCTGCGAAACTCACTTAATAACTGTCTGTCTTACCAACAGAAATTTTGGGCTCACTTGCGGTCGTAGGTGACTTCCTGTATACAAATAAAACTCTTTGCACGGGAATAAAACTTGGGTTTCCTCTTTCTTAAACCGTGCAGTAATTTTTGCAGTGAGCACGGTTTTTCCCTCAGTGTTATGCTCTGTATGCCTGGGTTTTCCCCAATGCAATCTCCTCGCTGGCCCCACATGCTGAACTGGGCATATTTTGACCAGGATTTGAAGGGGATGAAACTGAAGAAAATCCCCTCCCCTATCTGTCTGTTTACCATCTATCTATCTATCTACTCTTTGGTCTATTGGTCTATTCTCTCACTAATATTTTGCCTCTGTTCTATCTCTCCGTACAATTTATCTAATCTGTCTCTCTCTAATATTATGCCACTATTCTATCTATGTATCCATCCATATATCTTCTGTCTACCTCTCTCTCACCTCTCTATCATCTCTCTCTCTCTCTATCATCTCTCTCTATCGTATGTACGTATGTATGTATGTATGTATGTATGTATGTATGTATGTATACTATTAAAACAGTGATCACCAAGAGAATGCTTTAAGAGAATAAAATTTAATTAATCAACCAAGCTTTCGTCAAAATACATTTGACATCGTCAGGGTTAAAAGGCAAGTATAGGGAGTAGACTTATATACCGTTATCAAGCGTCCCTTTATCAAGCATCTGCTTCCAGCTCTTAGAGCGCGTCATAGGCCCCAGCTGTTCAGAATGTAACCCAAGCGTGTCTCCTTTAATACACATTCTTTTTGTTCCTAGCTCGCATTCCCTCACTCGTTCGGTAGCTTCAGGATTAAGTGGATTCAGGACTAAGGTCTTCCCCCTCCCCCATGTGCAGCTCCTCCATCACCCTGCATACGATCGAGGGTGGGGGGGGGGGTTTGGATTTACTCCAGTATCCCCGAGTCACAAATTCACCTCGGTCCTGCCCATTCGTCCCTTGGAGATGTATTACAGATTCTTCTCCCCCCCCCCACCCCATATTGTTCTCCTTTCTGTCTTCTGTCTAAGGGGAAGACTTTAGTCCTGAATCCACTTAATCCCAAAGCTACCGATCCAGTGGTGAGTGAGGGAATGCAAACTAGGAACAAAAGAATGTGTATTAAAGGAGACACGCTTGGGTTACATTCTGAACAGCTGGGGCCTATGACGTTACATTCTGAACAGCTGGGGCCTATGACGCGCTCTAAGAGCTGGAAGCAGATGCTTGATAATGGGACGCTTGATAACGGTATATAAGTCTACTCCCTATACTTGCCTTTTAACCCTGACGATGTCAAATGTATTTTGACGAAAGCTTGGTTGATTAATTAAATTTTATTCTCTTAAAGCATTCTCTTGGTGATCACTGTTTTAATAGTATGGATATTCCCAAGAGTCGTATTTTTACTTTTATTTTTAGTATGTATGTATGTATGTATGTATGTATGTATGTATGTATGTATCTATCTATCTATCTATCTATCTATCTATCTATCTATCTATCTATCTATCTATCTATCTATCTATCTATCTATCTATCTATCTATCCTATCTCTCTCTCTATCCTCTCTATCCTCACTCTTCCTATCCTATCCTATCCTATCCTATCCTATCCTATCCTATCCTATCCTATCCTATCCTATCTATCCTATCCATCCCTCCATCTACCTACCTACTTACCTACCTACCTATCTATCCTATCTCTCTCCTCTCCTCTCCCTCCATCCCTCCTCTCTCTCTCTCCTATCATCTCTCTTTCTCTCTCTTTCCTCCCCACCCCACCCCACCCCCAAGATGATACAGGAAATGCAAACACTCTGCCGCCATCTAGTGGCTGGCCGAGGTTCTCCACCCCACATTTGGCAGCCCTATCACCCACCTGCCCCCCGCCCAAATCAGGCAGCCCCTGTCGAGCCCCCGCAGGTCTGGCTGGTGTTTCCTGGAAGTTCTCTCCGCCACGCAGCTTTTCACGGTGAAAGTGAATGCAGTAGAAAACAAAACAAGCTGCATCGTCATTGCTTTGACACGCCTTGCGCAAAAAATCTAAACCGCCGAAAGCGAAAGTTCACTGAAGTGCGGGAAATTCCTCCCCAATTAGGGAAGGAGGAGAGGGGGAGGAAAAGTCCCCGAAGGGCTGCGTTCACACAATACGCCGAACCGGAGTTAACTCTCCGTTATCCCGCGGGTGGAACCATTGCCAGTTCCAACGGTTTTCTTTCTTTCTTTCTTTCTTTCTTTCTTTCTTTCTTTCTTTCTTTCTTTCTTTCTTTCTTTCTTTCTTTCTTTCTTTCTTTCTTTCTTTCTCTCCGCCTCCCTCTCTCTCTCTCTCTTTTTCTTTCGTTCTTTCCCTCTCTCCCTTTTTCTTTCCCTCCCTCCCTCCCTTTCTTTTTCTTTCTTTCTCTCTCCCTCCCTTTCTTTCTTTCTTTCTTTCTTTCTTTCTTTCTTTCTTTCTTTCTTTCTTTCTTTCTTTCTTTCTTTCTTTCTTTCTTTCTTTCTTTCTTTCTCTCTCTCTCCCTCCCTCCCTCCCTCCCTCCCCCCCAGCCCCATCTCGCAAGAGCACCGCATAAAAACCCCATTCAACCCGGAGCCTTCGGGTGCGCCACACCCCAATCGTCCCAAGCTAAATCGCTTGGCCTTGGGACCATGGGACCTGCAGTCTCACACCGTGAGTAAGCCCCGCACTCACCTGAGCCCCCCACTGAGGTGAGGACCAAGGCCATCGCAGCCAGGAGCCCCATCGGCGATGCTTCTTAACGCCCCCTCCCTCCGAAAAAGAAGGTCACCCTCGGTTCACGGTCGAGGAACTTGTCGCCGGAGGCACGATCGGTTGGCGGTTAAATTACTCAGCCGTGATAAGATCTCAAGTTCTGCAAGCCAGGTGGAACCCCAGGAGGAGGGGGGAAGAGGAAAGGGAGGCGTGGCTTAGCGGGAGTGGGCGGAGGAACGTTGACCGGGGATAAATCGGGTTCAGAAGAAGGCTGATTGCCTGGGAAGAGGAAGGCAGTGTTGGAAGGCGCTTATGTTTTCGTGCGAGCTCGGGGGAAACGTGTGTGTGTGTGGGCCGTTGAACTTTGTCTTGCAACCAACACTCTTTGCGGTGCTCCAGTGTCAGGCAGGTGCATCAGGTCACCACATGTCCTGTTTCCAGGCTCCGGTCTCCCGCATCATCCCTAAAAAATTGCTCTCTGTGCGCTGCGTTTCAAAATCTCCCTATAGCAGGGGTAGGCGACCTCGGCTCTGACTTGTGGACTTCAACTCCCAGAATTCCTGAGCCAGCTATACGTAGCTGGCTCAGGAATTCTGGGAGTTGAAGTCCACGAGTCATAAAAGAGCCGAGGTTGCCTACCCTGTCCTATAGGGTCTCTTGGTTGGGTTATTAGTTATTTATTAAATTTATTTGCCGCCCATCTCGCCCCAAGGCGACTCTGGGCAGATCACAAGGTGAAAAAGCAATGAAGCTATACAACATATATCAAATTATAAATTATGATAAAAAGATCAGAGGGAACAAGATGTGCAGGGGGTGAATTGGATGTGCTGTTCATCAATGGGCAGATCCCGGATGTTTTTGGACTGTTTGAAGAATACTGTGTCTCTTCCTTGGAAGTGTGTGGATTTAAATACATGTTTTTAAATCATTGTTTGAAGCAAAATGTCTGTGGCTTTTTACTCACATACAGGTCTTTCATAAGATCATAAAAAGATCGAGCAAAACTTGAAACAAGTTAGTTTCGAGTGGCAGATGATGATTGATGATTTTAAAAAAAACACCCACAGAAGAGTGCAACAACAGGGCTTCCCTTCCCCACGTCTTTTACTAGTGGGAAGAGCAAACAAACCATTTCAACTTTTCTGTCAAGATGACACTATAGGGCACTGCAAACTAGAACAACTATATACAAGGCCATTGTTTTCCCCCCATGCCAGTCACTCTGCTTAACAACTAATTCTTACAACACTGTCAAAATCTCTAGTAAAGCTGTATTACTACTATTCTCCTCATCTTTCCTATTACCTATCCTTATCTTCTTATGACTATAAGTTTGTTGCTTGTATCTTAAAATTTATATTGCTTTTAGTATCCTAGTATGATTTATGTGGTTTGCTTAGCTAGTATTCTATGACTATCACTAAGTGTTGCACTTTATGATTTATGATAAAGTGTTGTATTTTACGATTTATGATGAATGTGTTTCATGTTGTTTATGATCATGATGAATTTAGAACAGAATTTAGAATAGAATAGAATAGAGCTGGAAGGGACCTTGGAGGTCTAGTCCAGCCCCCAACTCAAGCAGGAGAACCTATGCCATCTCAGACAAGTGACTGTCTAGCCTCTTTTTAAAAATCTCCAGTGATGGAGCACCCACGATTTCTGGTGACAAGCTGTTCCACTGGTTAATTGTCCTCACTATTAGGAAGTTTCTCCTTAATTCCAGGTTGCTTCTCTGATCAGTTTCCAACCATTGTTTCTTGTCCTGCCCTCTTGGAAGGGAGGCCTCTCTAGGAAACCTCTCTCTCTTACCCTCTTTCCGAGGCTTCTCTTCCGCCGGAAGGGAGACTCGGACGCGAGTCTTAACGGCTTTTCTCCCGAGCAGGAGGAAGGCAGGTGAGTTGGTAGAGGCGAGACTCTATTGTTTCCCCCCCCCCCATGCGCTCCCAAGGTGTGAAACAGGAGGGAGGCAGCCGCCCGGCCGCTTCACGGCAGCTCCCCGGCTGCCTGCCGGCGTCTGCAGCGATCCAGGGACCGTGCCTAGGTGTCCGGGAGGCGCTTCGGATGGCTTCCTGCTCCACCTCTGGGGTCTCCCCTAACCCCGGAGGATCCTCCTGGCTGCTGGAGGGGTGTCGTGCCTGATTGCCGGTCTGATTGCTCCTCTCTATCATCTCTCTCTCATTTATCCTCTATCACCCCTCTCTGTCATCTCTGTTATCTATCATATCTATATCACCTCCCTCTCCCTCTCTCTCTCTATCATCATATCTATACCATCTATCATCCCTGTCATCTCTATCATCTCTCTCATATCTATATCATCTATCCTATCCTATCTATCTATCTATCTATCTATCTATCTATCTATCTATCTATCTATCTATCTATCTATCTTGTCTGTCATCCCTGTCATCTCTGTCATATCTCTCTCTCTCTCTCTCTCTCTCTCTCTCTCTCTATCTATCTATCTATCTATCATCTCTATCATCTCTCATCTATCCTCTCTATCATCCCTATCATCTCTCTCTATCATCTCCTATCTATCTATCTATCTATCTATCTATCTATCTATCTATCTATCTAATCTCTCTTATCTCTAGCATCTCTCTATAATCTCTATCTTTCTATCATCTCTGTCATCTATCCTCTCTCTCTTTATCATCCCTCTGTCATCTCTCTCATCTGTCCATCTTATCTATCTATCTATCTATCTATCTATCTATCTATCTATCTATCTATCTATCTATCTAATCTCTCTTATCTCTAGCATCTCTCTATAATCTCTATCTTTCTATCATCTCTGTCATCTATCCTCTCTCTCTTTATCATCCCTCTATGTCATCTCTCTCATCTGTCCATCTTATCTATCTATCTATCTATCTATCTATCTATCTATCTATCTATCTATCTATCATCTCTCATCTATCCTCTCTATCATCCCTATCATCTCTATCATCTCCTATCTATCTATCTATCTATCTATCTATCTATCTATCTATCTATCTATCTATCTAATCTCTCTTATCTCTAGCATCTCTCTATAATCTCTATCTTTCTATCATCTCTGTCATCTATCCTCTCTCTCTTTATCAACCCTCTCTGTCATCTCTCTCATCTGTCCATCATATCTATCATCTCTATCCTCTCTATCATCTATCTATCATCTCTATCATCTCTATAATTATCTGCCTGCCTGTCTGCCTGTTTGTCTATCATCTATCTCTTTCCCTCCCTCCCTCCCTCCCTCCCTCCCTCCCTCTCTCTGAAACAAGTAAGAAAGGAATTTAATTCTGGGAGGGAGAGTGATAATTCACAGTGTCCTAGATTTCTTAACTCTTTAGCCAGTGGACTGCCGACCTTCACAGGCAGAGGAAAACCAAGTAGATTCCTGCATTCCACTCAGAATTCTCCACTAAGAATAGGTAAAACAGACTTAAGTAAAGCTACAAAGAAAGGATAAATGGATAAAATTTATACAATTTAGATTGGGTATACAAAAATATTATATAGTTTTTTCATAAGTTTTATTTTCATATATATTATAGATAATCTTTTTATATATATAAATATAAAGTTCTTAATTTAATTTTTATTTTTACTTCTTAAGCCTATATTCTGCTCTGGGAAGCTCAGGGGGGGGGGGGAAGGGAGGGGGGGGTTTTTGGGAGGGGTGGGGTTTTTTTTTTTTATATATATGTATTGTTTAGTTTTATTTTTTTTGTATATGTTGTCTCTTGTTTTGTATTCTTTTTTCTTTTTTGTAAAATTTATAAAACTTTTAATAAAAAAAAAAAAAAAAAAGAAAGGCCATAAGATGGGAGCAGAGGAAACCCAACCATGTTTTTTCCAAAAGGCAACTAGATTTTTCTCGTTTTTTTCCCTTGGAAAAAGTTTTGCTTTCCATACAAGAAACATCTTCAGCACTGGACCCAGAAAGACCAGTTGCCTTTTGGAAAAAACACCTTTGGGACAACCATGACCTGGATGATTGAGAATCTTCATAGGCAGGGTACAGGAAAAGAACTGATACATTTAAGAAAGGAATCAAGGTATTTTTAGTTTATGATATAAAGTACAAAAATACGAAAGCAAATAGGAAAAATAAGGGAGGAAAAAGGGAAAAGAGAAGTGCAGAAAAGAAGGGAGGAAAAAAAGGCATTGACTTCAGAGTTCCTCTAGTTCAGTAGAATAAAGCAGTAACATCAAACCTCAGCTTTTTACTTATACATAATAGTATAAACTAGCCATTTCTGTGACAACAAATCTATCTATTCAGTAAAACTCAAAATCAATTTTTTTCTACCTCAAGCAAAGTCCAGAAGTGACTTCCAAGTAAAAACAAAAGTAGTGTTTTTTCCTTTGATCAAAGCAGTCAATTTAGCCATTTCTGCTAATTCCATCAACATTTGCAGCCATACCTCCATTGTGGGGGATCCAAATGTCCTTCCGTTTTTGTGCATGAAGTATTCTTGCTGCCGTCAAGATATATAACATCAAAGTTCCAATTTTTCCCCCCAATCTTAAAGTGAACATAAAAATAAAACCAGAAACTTTTCTTTTGGGTTTAATGGAAAAAGATTTGGAATCATGGTAAATAGTAGTAGTAGTAGTAATAATAATAATAATAATAATAATAATAATAATAATAATAATAATAATAATAATAATAGTAATAAGTTGGAAGGGACCTTGGAGGTCATCTAGTCCAACCCCCTGCTCAGGCAGGAAACCCTATACCATTTCAGACAAATGGCTGTCCAGTCTCTTCTTAAAAACTTCCAGTGTTGGAGCATTTACTGCTTCTGGAGGCAGGCTGTTCCACTGATCAATTGTTCTCACTGTCAGGAAGTTTCTCCTTAGTTCTAGGTTGCTTCTCTCCTTGATTAGTTTCCACCCATTGCTTCTTGTCCTGCCTTCAGGTGCTTTGGAAAATAGCTTAATTCCCTCTTCTTTATGGCAGCCCCTGAGATATTGGAAGACTGCTATCATGTCCCCCCTCGTCCTTCTCTTCGTTAAACTAGACATACCCAATTCCAGCAACTGTTCCTTATATGTTTTAGCCTCTAGTCCCCTAATCATCTTTGTTGCTCTTGTCTGTATTCTTTCTAGAGTCTACCATAAATTTACACCATGAAAATGGTAAGGCAGACAAATACAATAGAACCAGCAAACTTTATCAGTTTCAAGAGGATATTGGCAACAGGACACTAGTGGGACATTGATGGAATGGGCAAAGGCAAGGCAAGACATACTGTGATGCACATCAGAAAATTGTTCATAAGTTAGGATCTTTTTTTAAAAATGGTAATTGATCTTTCAGGTGGAGGAGTTATTGGTGGAGGCTGGACAGATTCTGAGGGGAAAGGAGATCTATTCATATATATGTTTTTTTTGTTCGTTTTTTCCATACATGCAATAGTAATTTTTCAATCAACGTGCTGTCTGAGTTTACATGCTAATACATATTTAATTCCTAATCCTTTCTTCTTTCCTCCAGCCAATGGTAAAATAAATTCCAGGTCTGATAATAGTCCATTTCTTCTTTTTCTTTCAGTTTCAATCTATACATCTCTGCGCGTTCTAATATTTTTTAAAAATTATTTCTTCATCTGATCGTATTCCTTCATTGTTCCAGTGTTGCGCAAATATAATTCTTGCCGCTGTTGTGACATGCAAAGTCAAGTATAAGCTTTGTTTATTAGTCTTTTCTGGCATTATACCTAATTAAAAAAAAGTTCAGGTTTAAAATCAACATGTTCTCCTAATGTCTGTTCTAGCCAAGTATATATCCTTTTCCAATAATTTTTACTTTTTCACAGAATTATCAGAAAAAGATTCATACATCTATTCAATTTCTGTCAGCTGTTTTTAAGAATTTCTGTGAAGAGCATCTCATTATTTACACCTGCCTGGCTGAGGAATTCTGGGAGTTGAAGTCCACAAGTCATAAAAGGGACAAGTTTGAAGACCCCTGGTTTAAATGAAGGATTCTTCTGAGAAGCCCAGGCTCCTTCCAAATAATTACAAATGTCTGTTTTACAACAGATCCTAAACTTGTCTGTATTTGTAGGTAGGTCAGCCTAGAGCAGGGGTAAGCAACCTTGGCTCTTTTATGACTTGTGGACTTCAACTCCCAGAATTCCTCAGCCAGCCATGCTGAGGGGAAAGGGAGAAGTTTCCAAGCTGAGCCAGGCTGGCTGAGGAATTCTGGGAGTTGAAGTCCAGAGTCAGAAAAGAGCCAAGGTTGCCTACCCCTGGTCTAGGAGGCTCACCGCTTAGAACAGGAGGACTTAGGACAGAGGTAGGCAACCTTGGCTCTTTTATGACTCGTGGACTTCAACTCCTATAATTCCTGAGCCAGCATGGCTCAGCTTGGAAACTTCTCCCTTTCCCCTCAGCATGGCTGGCTCAGGAATTCTGGGAGTTGAAGTCCACAAGTCATGAAAGAGCCAAGGTTGCCTACCCTGGCCTAGAGCTTCTTCACAAGGCCTTTCCAATTTCTATTTCCCCACTTTTCTCTCACAGGAACAGAAGGACATTGATGGATATCCCCCAAATGTTTCCCTTTTGGGATGGAGGAGAAAAAGCAGCTGGGCCTCCAACTCAGGTAGGAGGTATTTCAAAAGAGCAGGGGACAAAATCTTGTTATGGGGCCACTTCCTGAGCAACATCGAGAGCCCAAACTAATTGATCTACGTTTAAGACTGTTGTGGAAATACAAAGAGAAAGGGACATACCGTATTGACTGGCCTGGGAGGTTAATACTGAGGAATGCAATTAATTTGTAGAATTAATTAATTAATTAATTAATTAATTAATTTGTGGAAAGAGTTGGGTACTTTTCCTGTGTCTGTGGTAGTTTACGGTAACTTTTCACCTATGAAAATAGCCAGCTCTTTTGCTCATAAAAGAGTTCTAAAAATAGATAATTGAAACAATACGGCTACTATACAAAGTGCTGTAGACATCCATGGGCACATTAGATTTAAAACGATCATGCAAAGTACAGATTCCCTATGTAAAAGAATTAACATGCTGTCCCTGGGCTGAATGGCTGCTGCAATAAAAGGTTGCAAGAATATAAAAGCCAAAGTTGTGAGGAAGTTAGGGTGAGGGGGAAGATTTCGCTCTCCGAGCTTGTGGAGCATGAACCTTCACCCTCATCCTACACCCAAGTGACAGATATTTGCTACTATTGCAAAGTTAGGATTTCCAAAGTCATCTCCAATGCTGAATTCTTGTACGAAGCAAATGCCAAGCATAGGTCTGCTGTTGGGTAAGACTGATACAATTTACTCAACTCAGGCAAGTGGGGGAAGAGAATATCCCTCCCCAAAGATCTCTGCTGCATCAGTCTCAGTGGTGGGATTCAGCCGGTTCACACCACTTAGGCAGAACCGGTAGCTAGTTTTTTGTTGCCCAGGCCCAGAATGGACTTCCAGAAGCAGTATCCACACAGAGAACCGGTTGTTCATCTATTTCAGACATGTCAAACACAAGGCCCAGGAGCCAGATGCGGCCCGCAAAGTGGTTTCATGTGGCCCGCGAAGCCATCCTGGAAAGAGTGAGGGAACGGCCCCCGCTGCCTTGGCCCTGGCCCAGGCTGGCCGGGAGCCAATGTACAATTTTGTGGTGGTCATCTATGTTGAAACACATTCAGTCTTAGCTCTACAAGGCCGTCTGGAAACAGTGAGGAACCAGCCCCTGACCCGTCAGCCCCGCCCCCTGGGTGCATGCTGGGGAAGTGTCATCCTTTGTGAGGAATGAAGAAATGGACCATGCCTTGGCCCTTGCCCTGGTCCCAGCCCCTTCTGCCAGAGACCCTCAGATCTGTCCCACTCCTGCCCAGGCCCGCACAGGCACCCTTGACGCGAACGATGTAGAGCTGGCCACACCCACCCAGTAGGCCGCATCCACCCTGGCCACACCCACCCATCCCCCCCCCTCGAGGGCAACCACAATGCTGATGCGGCCCTCAATGAAATTTGAGTTTGACACCCCTGACCTATTTGAATCCCACCACTGATCATACTGCATCACCAGTAAGAGCCTCTTCAAATGGAGTTCTGCTTCCTCCATTCTCCAGCCTGGATGCAGCTAAGCTACATTTTGGACACTCAAAACATTGGCATCTTTGCTGGGGAGCCCACCATCGCGGTGACTAAACTTGGCATCCAGAGACAAAGCTGAATTGAGCTATCCTACAATAATGGGTCCATTCAGTCTGCGGCAAAATTCCGCTTTTCTGCTCTGTGGAAAAAAAAGGGAAGAAACACGGAAGGATTCCCCGGGACGCTCTGCTAAGGATTGTTTTCTTTTCTCTTTCAGATCTCTATGTCTTTTGAAGAGGTGGCTGTGTACTTCACAGAAGAGGAATGGACACTGCTGGATTCTAGCCAAAAATCTTTGTACAAGGAAGTCATGCTGGAGATTTCCAGGAATGTGGCCACTCTCGGTAAGGCCCCTCTTTGCTCTTACGTTCAGTAAATTAGGCAGGGGGTTTTGTAGTCAGAAGTAATTGGATGAAATAATACTTTCTGGAGCATTAAAAAGGGAATCATCATAATAAAATTGGAAGGAACCTTGGCGGTCATCTAGTCCAACCTCCTGCTCAGGCAGGAAACCCTATTTCAGACAAAGGGCTGTCCAGTCTCTTCTTAAAAACTTCCAGTGTTGGAGCACTTACAGCTTCTGGAGGCAGGTTGTTTCACTGATTAATTGTTCTAACGGTCAAGAAGTTTCTTCTTAGTTCTAGGTTGCTTCTCTCTTTGGTTAGTTTCCATCTATTGCTTTTTGTCCTGCCTTCAGGTGCTTTGGAGAATAGCTTGATTCCTTCTTCTCTATGGTAGCCCCTGAGATTTTGGAAGACTGCTATCATATCACCCCTCGTCCTTCTCTTCATTAAACTAGATATACCCATTTCCAGCAAACGTTCCTTATATGCTTTAGCCTCCAGTCTCCCAATCATCTTTGTTGCTCTTCTCTGCACTCTTTCTAGAGTCTCAACATCTTTTTTACATCGTGGTGACCAAAACGATGCAGTATTCCAAGTGTGGCCTTACCAAGGCATTGTAAAGTGGTATTAACACTTCACGTGATCTCAATTCTATCCCTCTGTTAATGCAGCCTAGCACTGTGTTGGCTTTTTTGGCAGCTGCAGCACACTGCTGGCTCATATTTAAGTGATTGTCCACTAGGACTCCAAAATCCCTCTCACAGTTAGTACTATTGAGCAAGGTACCACCTATACTATACTATAGTATATGTGTATACTATGTGTATACTATACACATTTGGTTTTTCTTGCCTAAATGTAGAACCTTACTTTTTTCACCATTGAATTTCATTTTGTTAGATAGTGCCCAGTGTTCAAGTCTGTCATGATCCTTCTGTATCTTAAGTCTGTCTTCTGGAGTGTTGGCTATTCCTGCCAAATTTTGTGTTTGCAAATTTGATGAGTTCCCTATCTATCCCCTCATCCAAATCATTGATGAAGATGTTGAAGAGCATTGGGCCCAGAACAGAGCCCTGGGGCACCCCACTATACACTTTCCTCCATGTAGATGTAGTTCCATTGAGGACCACATGCTGAGTACGGCTGATCAGCCAGCTACGAATCCATCTGGAAGAAATGGTCCTTCCTTAGATGCATGTTAGGATCTTTTCCCATTTGGGAGATGAGGATGGTCCTAAATGAGTTTTCGTGTTCTCTCTAATCCTATGAAGACCAAGTTAATCACTGGCTTGAAGAAATTGTGACTCCAGCCTGTCCAGCAGCTTAATTTACAGATGTATCTGTTCCTAACTAGGGGCATAGATTCGTGGAAAGGTAATTTCCTTAATATGTGGCAAGCCAAATGTGAAATTGGGATTATATAAAAATTGTATGGATTTAAATTGTACCTTACACTCCCAGAATTGTTATCTCATGATGCAATCTGTCCTTTTTTTTGTCTTATCCTGACAAATGAGCCATAGTGGCGCAGTGGTTAGAATCCAGTACTGCAGGCTATTCCTGCTGAATGCCGGCTGCCAGCAGTTTGATCTTGACCAGCTCAAGGTTGCCTCAGCTGTACATCCTTCTGAGGTCGGTAAAATGAGGAGCCAGATTGTTGGGGGCAATAGGCTGACTCTATAAACCGCTTAGAGAGGGCTGTAAAGCACTGCGAAGCGGTATATAAGTCTAAGTGCTATTCCTATTGCTATCCTTCAGTATATTCCCTCATTTAGATTTCATGATTGCTCGGCATGATCTTTGTTGAACAGGGGCTGTTCTTTGAAGGCTTGTTTCTAAAAGACTGGCAAGAACATTAATATTGTTTAGCATAAAAAAGATTGCTAATTTCTTTCATGCATAGCTGAGAAACAACTACCTTTTCCTGCCATACGTTCCAGCAAAGTTTGATGTATTTGTTCCTCTGAAAGAGAGTCATCTTAAAAGCAAGAAGTATAAGAAAGATTTTTCAACATTAATTAGGTTTATTTTGATCCAAGAATACAAAGACAAAAGAGGGAAACGATAATGATGAATTACGGATACATTTAATGGATTGTGTTGTCTAGAAGCTGTCTCAGTTTCTGCATATAATTTATAACAGAATTTTTTTTTCCCTTCAAAGGTTATGATCAAGAGAATGAGCATGACAAGGAGTCATGGGAAGTGCCATTGCAAACAATCAAGCAGGAGGTGGAAGAACTGATTATTGAAAAGCAAGGGAAACAAAGAAAGCAAGACAGAATCTACTCAAAGGATGGAAAGGAGAAATTTCCTCCTCTGTGTGTTGAACTCCCTAACTTCCCTATCCAGGCAGATCTGAAAAGAAAGGAGAAATACCCAGAATGTGACAAAAGAGATGACAATAAATTTGATTTCAATGAATATTGCAAAACCCAGACTAAATGGAAACCATATAAATATAGACAGCATGAGGAAAGTATCGATCTTCCCTTCCCTCATAATTTACCTGCAAAATTCTGTAGGAAAAATAAGCCACCTATGTTTTTAAAATCTGGAAAGAATTTTAGGCTGAACCACAATTATCAGAGTTGCTCTGAAGAATTTCACCTAAAGCAGAAACCACATAAGTGCTCTGAGTGTGGGAAGAGCTTTAGTAACAGCAGTGTCCTTACTTTCCATCTAAGGACCCATATGGAGGAAAAACCATATAAGTGTGTGAAACGTAATAAGACTTTCCGTGGAAACAGTATTCTTATTTTTCATATTGGTGAGAAACGTTATCAACGCATGGAGTGTAAAAAAAGATTAATTGAGAACAAAGACCTTACTCATCATAAAAGGACCCATATAGGGGAGAAATTATATAAATGCATGGAGTGTGGAAAATGCTTCAGTAAAAGTAGACACCTTACTTGCCATCAAAGGATCCACACAGGAGACAAACCATATCAATGCACTGAGTGTGGAAAGAGCTTCTGTATGAGTAGAGATCTTACAATACATAAAAGAATCCACACCAATGAGAAGCTGTATAAATGCTCTGAGGGCGGAAAGAGCTTCAGCAGTAACAACACACTCATTTTTCATCAAAGGACCCGCACATTTCAGAAACGATACGAATGCAGAGTTTGTGGAAAGAGATTTCATAACAACAGTATTCTAACTCGCCATCAAATGATCCATACAGGGGAGAAACCATATAAATGCTTTGAGTGTGGAAAGAGCTTCAGGTTGAACAGTGATCTTACAATACATAAGAGGATCCACACAGGTGAGAAACCGTATAAATGCATGGAGTGCGGAAAGTGCTTCAGTAAAAGTACGCACCTTACTTGCCATCAAAGGATCCACACGGGGGAGAAACCATATAAATGCCTGGAGTGTGGGAAGACCTTTAGTCAAAAAGGTACCCTTATTGCCCATCAAAGGATTCATACAGGAGAGAAACCGTATAAATGCCTGGAGTGTGGAAACAGCTTTAGTCAGAGTGGTGCCTTAACTGCCCACCAAAGGATCCACACCAGAGAAAAATCATTTCGACACATGGATTATGGAAAAAACATCAGCACAAGCATTCAGCTTACTTGTGATCAAAGGATCCACATAGGAGAGAAACGATCTAAACATTTGGAGGCTGGAAAGGACAGTATCCTTATGTCTCACCAAATATTCCACGTTGTACAGAAACCGTATAAATGTTTGGAATGTGGAAAAAATTTCAGCCTACACAGCATTTTTATAAAACATAAAAGAATCCACACAGGAGAGAAACCGTATAAATGTGCGGAGTGTGGAAAGAGGTTCTGTGAGAGCAGCAGCCTCATGACGCATGAAAGAATCCATACAGGAGAGAAACCATATAAATGTACCGAGTGTGGAAAGAGCTTCAGTAGAAATACTATTCTTAGTCGACATCAAAGGATCCACACAGGGGAAAAGCCTTATAAATGCACAATGTGTGGGAAAAGCTTCAGTTTTAACAGCGATTTTACAGTCCATAAGAGAATCCATACAGGGGAGAAGCCGTTTACATGCGCAGAATGCGGAAAGAGCTTTAATACAAGCCCTCAACTTACTTGCCATCGAAGGGTTCACACTGGAGAAAAACCGTATAAATGCTTGGAATGTGGAAAGACCTTTCGTCAGAACAGCGCCCTTACTTTCCACCAAAGGATCCACACTGGAGAGAAACCGTATGAATGTATGGAGTGCGGAAAGGGCTTTCGTCAAAACAGTGCTCTTACATCCCATCAAAGGATCCACATCAGAGAGAAAATATATAAATGCATGGAGTGTGGAAAGACCTTCAGTCACAACAATACTTTTATAAAACATAAAAGAACTCATATGGGAGAAAAACCCTATAAATGTGTGGAGTGTGGAAAGAGGTTTTGTGAGAGCAGTAGCCTCATGACTCATAAAAGAACCCATACTGGAGAGAAACCCTATCACTGCACTGAGTGTGGAAAGAGCTTCAGTAGAAACAGTAATCTTTCTTGCCATCAAAAGATTCATAAAGGGGAGAAACCATATAAATGTATGGAATGTGGAAAGAGCTTCATTTTGAACCATGATTTTACCATACATAAAAGGATCCACACAGGGGAGAAGCCATATAAATGTATGGAATGTGGAAAGAGCTTCAGTAGCAGCAGCGCCATTACCTATCATCGAAGGAGCCACACCGGGGAGAAACCATACAAGTGCGCAGAGTGTGGGAAAAGCTTTAGTAGCAGCAGTGCGTTTACTTACCATGAAAGAATCCACACAGGGGAGAAGCCGTATGAATGTATCGAGTGTGGAAAGAGCTTTGGTAGTAGCAGCGCCATTACCTACCATCGAAGGATACACACTGGAGAGAAGCCCTATGAATGTATGCAGTGTGGAAGGAGTTTCAGTAGCAGCAGTGCCCTTACTAACCATCGAAGGATCCACACAGGGGAGAAACCATATGAATGCACAGAATGTGGGAAAAGCTTCAGCAGTAACAGTGCTCTTACTAACCATCTAAGAATCCACACAGGGAAGAAACCATACAAGTGCAAGGAGTGTGGAGAAAGCTTTAGATGGAGCAGTGACCTTACTTCCCATCAGAGGATTCACTCAGAAGTGAAACGGCATCCCACGGTCCCCTGATTACCATTTGCAATCTTTACTGCTGTCAGTGGGGAAGCCAGCAGGAAGTCTCAAATAGTGATTACATGACATCATGCTTAACAAACTTATATACATGATCACTATCCAGGAAAAACTCACAGCCTGGCCACCTGCACATTCCTTTTATCGATCAAGAGAGCAACTTTCTCATGGTTCATAGTGAGCATGAAAAACTTTCTGCTGTAAGAGAGTGAGTGAGAGAGACAGACTCAGGATAAGATGGTTCCAAAAGTGACAGAATACATTGTTGCCATTTCTGTAACTATCATATTCTCTTCAATGAATCTTGTTCAGAAAACCCTGGGGAGGTTCTTGCTTCTTGTTGGGTTGGGCTGCCAACACCTTAGCAATATAGTTTCGCTTCTGCATGCCCTTATTCACCTGCAAGGGTAGAGACAGCAAGTAGCCTAAGGACCTTGAAATTAAGGTCTCTCCTTAAGTCATCTGGAAATCCTATCCATTCTGAGATGTTGAAGGCTGAGCTGTCTGAAGGCCTGAAATGTGGGTGGGGGTGGGGGGAATAAAACAATCAGGGCAAGGTGTCCTTTGAAGGAACTGCCCATCCGAGGGGCTCTGCAGAACTGAGACTGAGTTCTGGTGCTTTTGCAGCTGTCGCTACATTCCGACATTTTGAAATAGGCCATGAAAGAAATTTTTAGTAAGTATGGTGTGTTTTCTACAAAATTTGTGTTTTTGCTGAGTCAGGAGATTCCTCTCCTCAAAGCCTTGGTGAGGTTTTCCAGGGCAGTGGGGGTTCTCCAAGGGGTGCCATTCTACATCTTGGATGCATCTTAAGTCGTGTTTTGTGCCTTTACAACAGCAGCATGGAGGAGGTGGAAAGGGGCTTCTCAGCCTTAAAGACTATGGACTTGCAAGGTCTTAAGAAAATGACCATTTGGTCTATTGCAAAGCTCGATTTTCTGTTTTGGAAGTTTAGATGGAGAGATGTCCACTTCAAATTCTTGATCGTGATAGTGGTAGAACAAGATAGTGCTTTAGTGTATGTGCTCCTATACTTTGTGTGTATGCGCGTGCACGCCTTTCTGATTATCTGCACAATTAAATTATCTTTTCTAGGATTTTCCCAGGTACTGAAGACAAAGTGATCGATCTGTACTGCCACTTCTTTTCCTAAGATAAAGACAGGAACATTTCTCTTACTAGTTTTCAGGCATTTTCCTCTGCATTTCAGGAATCCTCAAATATTACAGTCAATGGTTGTAATCCTCAAATATCCTCAAATATTACAATCCGTGGTTCCAAATCACATCCACCAGTTTCTTTGGCACCTGGGATGTAATCCTTCTGGTTCCAAATACTGGAATTCATTCAGAGCAGCCAAGTCTTCCGTTGCCTGTTTTGACCTGCATTTTTCTTCTCCCTCCCCATAATGTGGAAAGAGATGCAAAACGGAAATTAAGTTCTTCATTTTCCTCCCTGTTGCCCATTACTATCTCACTATCTTTTCCAGCCAGAGGCTTCCTTGATTCCCCTCTTAATTTACCCTAAAAAAAACTATATAAAACAGAAATCACATACATTTATCAGATTTAGAAAGCGTTTTAATTTGCAGAGTTATGTTAATCCCCAGAAAATAGTGCTCACTTTCTGGTTTTCTGAAGATTTAGCTTGTCATTTCCCTTGGTCATCTTCTGACTATGGGAAGGAATGAGATCAGCCACAGAAAGACAACTTTTTGAGCAGTTGCTAAAGCAATTATTCCTCACCGCTTGAGCTTTTGGGGAAGAAACTCCTTATACTCTTATAGTCTTCGAATCTTATTAATAAACTCTTATGGCCTGTAATTGACCCACAGCCTCCTTCCGAGTAGTCTTTTTTCACTATCTGACCCAATCATCATGGACAGCAATATGGAGTGCCATATTTCATTCCACCTAGGCTAGGGGGACAAACCTACTTCAGGGGGTCAATTTCTGATTTCTTTTTAGCTAGTGCAGCCCTTGAATTCAGATCAACTCATTAAGAATCAATTAACCAGGAAAGACCAAGCAAAAAAGGTGAACAAAGAGTCAAGACTTCAACAGAATAGAAATAGATGTAAAACAGAAAAGGATATAGGGCTGATTGTGCTCTGTAGAAAAAGGGAGATTCTTTCACTGAGTGTCACCGCAGAAATATAGACAACAAAGAGGACAAATAAAATGGTTGAAGGAATCCCCAAACCATTTATTGCTAGAGTGGAATGGAATGGAATAGAATAGAATAGAACAGAACAGAATAGAATAGAAATTATTTTATTGGCTAAATGATTGGACGCACAAGGAATTTGTCTCCGGTGCATCAATGTACATAAAAGCAACAAGGGATAAATGATTGTAATAATGAAATACAATCATAAATCATAAGATACAACACTTAGTGACAGTCATAGGATACTAAATAATCAACATAAATTATGATACTAAAAAGCAACATAAATCATGAGATGCAAACAACATAGTTATAAGAAGCTTAGGTAATAGGAAAGATGAGAGGGATAATAGTAATACAGCCCAACTAGGTGGTTTGACATCCAAGGGCATAAGACATGTTGCGGGAATTAGTTGTTTAGCAGTGATAGCATGAGGAAAAAAACTGTCCTTGTGTCAGGTTGTTTTGGTGTGCAATGCCCTATTGCAGTGATGGTGAACCTTTTACAGACTGGGTGCCCAAAAACTGGCCCGCCCCATGGCCCTGCTCCATCCCCTGCTCTGCTCACCAGCAGGGCCACTCACCACAGATCGCCCAGGCAGCCTTGCAGTGCCATGGTGGCCATGCCCTCCACCCACACCCCGCAGCATCTGCACGTCACGGGGCGCAAGGGCGGAGTCTTGCCCCTGCTCCTGGCTGCCATGTGCTTGGCTGCGCTACTCTGCCTGGGTCACGCCTAGGGGAGCCTCTCCGGGCAGGTTGCTGGTGAGGGGGTTGCGGAGGGAGGCGGGGCCGGGACAACGGCACGTGTGCCCACAGAGGGCTCCGAGTGCCACCTCTAGCACGCGTGCCATAGGTTCGCCACCACTGCTCTACTACGTTGTCTTGGAAGAAGTTGAAACAATTTATGTCCAGAATGTGTGGGGTTTATACATATTTTCACAGTCCTCTTTCTGGCTTGTGCAGTATATATTTAGTAATAAATATATAAACATGTATGTGAGAGAGCCCAAGGGCGGGCGTCCAGCCAGTAAATATATTATTAAATATATTATTAAATTTAGTGGCTGAACGCTTTTGCCCTGGCTCTCCCTCATATCATATATGTTTATTATTAAATATATTATTAAATTTACTGGCTGAGTACCTTTGCCCTCACTCTCCCTCACATCATATATGTTTATTATTAAATATATTATTAAATTTAGTGGCTGAACGCTTTTGCCCTGGCTCTCCCTCACATCATATGTTTATTATTAAATATATTATTAAATTTAGTGGCTGAACGCTTTTGCCCTGGCTGTCCCTCACATTGTATATGTTTATTTTTAAATATATTATTAAATTTACTGGCTGAGCGCCTTTGCCCTCACTCTCCCTCACATCATATATGCTTATTATTAAATATATTATTAAATTTACTGGCTGAACGCTTTTGCCTTGGCTCTCCCTTACATCATATATGTTTATTATTAAATATATTATTAAATTTACTGGCTGAGCGCCTTTGCCCTCACTCTCCCTCACATCATATGTTTATTATTAAATATATTATTAAATTTACTGGCTGAACGCTTTTGCCCTGGCTCTCCCTCACATCAGATATGTTTATATTAAATATATTATTAAATGTATTGGCTGAACGCCTTTGCCCTCGCTCTCCCTCACATCATGTTTATTATTAAAAATAAACAGAGCAAAAAGAACAGAGCATGCGTAGAAGATCTTTGCCAGCCCTTGGTACCGAGCACAGGACAGGAGAGGAGGTAGCTGCCTTACGGGGCGCTCTAGCCAAGTGCGGTAAACCAAAGGGCTTATAGGGTTTTGCCTCTCTAGGAAGCAGCCCTCTCTGACCGAAATTGTGTGGGGATAAGGAGGCGGGGAGATCGTGGCGGGAACGACTTGTAGCTGTTCTCTGCCTCAGAAGTTCTGAGGAAGCGAAGCCCCGCCCTTTCTTGTCCCCCCTGCAACCAGGAGAGGGGCGGGGGGAGGGGGAGGAGAGGGGCGGGGCGAGGGGGAGGAGCGGGCGGGGGAGGGTCCGCCGTGACGAGGGTTACCTCAGAGGGAGCTTTCCCCCGTTCGGGCTGCGCCGAAGCGGGAGGCCGAATGGAGGCTCCGGGGTCTCCGGGGGCGGGAGCAGCAGCGGACCCGGCGGCCCTTCAGGCGGGAAACGAAGGCGGCGGTCCGAGAGGCCTCCCCGAGAGGCTCCGCAGCTCCGAGGCCGAGCGCCAGCGCGTCCGCAGCTGCCGTCCCCGGGAGGCCGAGGGGCCCCGGGCGCTCTGCAGCCGCCTGCACTGGCTGTGCCGCGGATGGCTGCGGCCTGAGCCGAGCGGCAAAGCTGAGATGCTGGACCGGGTGGTGCTGGAGCAGCTGCTGGCCCTGCTGCCCCCGGAGCTGGCGGGCTGGCTGCGGGAGTGCGGGGCGGAGAGCTGCGCCCAGGCGGTGGCCCTGGCCGAGGGCTGCCTGCTCGGCCCGCCGCCCTCCTCCGCCCCCCGGAAGCCCCCGGGAGAGGGCGGGCAGGTGAGACAAGTTAACCGCGAGAGATGCCTGGCGGAGGGAAGCGCTGATAAGATTTAGCAGTCTCTCAGTAAGAAATCACAGATATGAAGACGAAATTAGCGCAAGGTTTTCAGCAGCTCCTAATATTTTGAAGTTTGCTTCTTTTTCAAGCAAACGCTTTTGTTTCACACTGGTAAAAATTCCATGGGAGGAATTAGATGTTGAAAAGTTACATTTTTTTCCTCCTAGTTAATTTTTTTTTGGGGGGGAGGGGGAAAGAGGCAAGACACAAGGACAAGTATACAGTACTACATAGCTGCAATTTAGTACAAAGAAGCCACAACCAATGACAAAAAAGTTGTTAAATAAGATAATCTTTATTGTCACTTTTTACTGTGGGCACACTGGCCCACATTAAAAATGATGTTCTGTTTCCTGCTCTCAAAAAAAGTATACATCTAGCCATAAACGTACATAACACACATATACACATGCTGTATACATATACATACATGTGTGTGTGTGTATGTATATATGTATATATCCATGCATATATATACATATATACATACACACACACGTACATATATACATTGTATGTATATAATCCACACACATATGTATACACACATATACACACATACATATATATACACACATGTATATATTAATCACTGTGTACTAATCACTAGCGGGAAGAGGAAGCTTGAAAGTTCACAAGTTGATGCTATATGAACAAAACTGTGACTGAATCTAGATGTTCTTCAGATACCACAAAGCCTCCTCCCAGAAGGTAACAAGAAAATAAAAGATGAAAGTTATATATACATGGTCCAAATCCAATTTAGCTATTGTTTGAAAACATGTTATGGAGCAAAAAGATGGAGAGTTGTTTTTCCTTCCTCTTCAAGGCTTTTGGCTCCAGTAAGTACAATCGCTTTCCCAAGCGATGATACCCAGTAAAATACTTTACTAAATCACAACTTGAATATAGTTAAACCCATTGCTCAGTTTCAGCATAACTAATTAGAGATTAGCACAAGTATCTGGTTAGCCACTATGACAGAAATGGCTGCAGTTCAGGTGCCCTGCTGAGATGAGGTTTAGCATTTGTTCACTGAAAGTGGTAATCTTGGGAGAAAGGCCCATTTTCATAGTTCATCAAAGAGACTTCAGCATAAAAGAGATCTCAGACTATAATCAAATTAGGAGGAAAGTTGTACACTATTAAATTTGTTGTTTCTCACTGCACTTTGATCTTTGGAGCCTACTTTGATTTGTGTTTCTGAACTGCAGAAGGCAGAATGTGAAGGATGGATATGATATCCTTCCCACACATAGTAATAAAAATTCTCTAGTTCAGCTCATCCTTTCTATGTATTGTAGATAACACAAAACATTTATAATTAAACCGGATTGGGAATTTGAGGTGAGAAAAAAAATGAAGTATTCAAATTGCCTTTATTGACAGTCACAATGTTTTCAAGGAGCCCATTTCACCGCCGAAAGCATCTCCATTTTTATCCCAAAGTCAGTCTCTGAACTGCCATGCTGATGGTCTCTCCACTGCAAGGGGCACAGAAAAGCCATACCAAACGGAATGGGAGATTAATCCTGTCTCGCTCTAGAAATAAAAGTCCCCAAATCTAAAAGAAAATATTTCAGTAACAAAATATAAAACAGGCTTAAGTACATCCACATAGAGTGAAAGGCCACACTTTGTCAAGTGAAGGGAGAAGATAAAAAAGCAGCTCCCGATCATCAGGAAAAGAGGAAATAAGAAGAAGCAATGAAGTATTTCACAAAAGTGGCTGGCATTTATCCAGAAATAGCAGCTACCCACAGAATAGGAATTCTCAAGTTCTTTCATTTTGATTTGGGTTGGAAAATTACAATTGGAGATTGAAATGGTAAGGCAAGCAAATTGACATGATTACAGTTATTTGAAAGTGGATCGTAATTCAGGCTGTTCTTTTCAGTTGCAGGAGCCATTCATGAGGGAGATCTCAGCAGAACTCCAGAGAAGAGGAGATCAATCCAGTCCTTGTAAAGAGCTTCCTTTCAGGCGGATCCAACTGGGGACACCCTGCCAGGAAAGTGTAGGTTTCTTGTAAGAAGTTTAAACTCCTTTGGTTCCTGAGCTACTTTGCCAACCAAATTTTGAGTGGTGAACGTGGTATCTCGATAAAATGATTCAGGGAGTTTCACTCATTCAACTTTCAAGATTGTTCTGGGGATGCAAACAAAAGGTTGGAAGAGTTGAAAGGGTGCCGTTCTACAGCTTGGCTGCCTCCAAGCTGGGTTTTGTGTCTTTGCAAAAGCAGCATGGAGGAGATGGAGGGGAACTTCTCAGCTCTAAAGACTATGTAGACGTGCAGGGTCTATGTCTGTCCTAGAAAAGAATAATCTATATTGTCTCTTGCAAAGCTGTGTTTTCTGTTTTAGAAATAAGAAAGAAAATGTAAGAGAGGATTGTCTGCTGGAGAAGATTTTTGTTTTCTTTCTAGGACTCTGCTCCCTTTGAGGAAGTGGCTGTGGACTTCACAGAGGAGGAATGGGCACTGCTGGATTCTGGCCAGAAGGCCTTGTGCAAGGAAATCATGCTGGAGGTTTCTAGGAATATAGCCACTCTGGGTAAGGACCCTCTTTGCTTTGTATTCCATTCATTGGGAAAGATGTTTTCAGTGGGAGGTAAACAGGGATGATACCTGCATTCAATTGCATAAGGTGGTCAGAACTGTACCTAGCTACCAACTTTAAAACCCCTCTGAATCTCAGGAAATTCAGGATCAGAATGTTTAGTGTGTAACTAATACCCAGTGGAGGAGACATGGCCGCAAAGAGGCCCGAACACTTCCCCTTGATTCTGCACCGCCAGGGCCACCCTGGATGACAAATCAGCCAAGGCACTTCTTGGGCAATTTTGTTCAAGGTTGTCACCATAACAACTCTTCTGCAACATAACCTTGGCAGAAATGCTCACCATGACTTTGGGAAAGGCCTTAGATGCTCCATGGAAATTTCTGGGCTGATTGACCTATCAACAGCAAAGCTTTTGAGTTGAAAAATCCCTTGACTATGATTAGAGTCTCCTGGATAAAAATTTGCCCCCAGTATCTCCTCATTTGACACATGGCTGGTGCCTAGCTTAATGCTCAGATGGGTATATTTTTTGACGGGGGGATACCCCCATTTGTCATCATTGTAAATTCTAATGAGAATTCCTGTTGTTTTTTTGTTCCAAGCAGGTGATGGTGATGCTGATGAGCTGGAGAATGAGAATGACAAGCAGCCGAAGTTATTTTTTTTTTTTTTTTTTTTTATTGAAAATTTTTACATTTTACAAAAACAAATCCCCTTCCCATACCCCCCCCTACCTCACCCCCCCCCCCTTCCCAAGCTCCCAAACCCTCCCCTGGACTTCCCAGAGCTGAGTACAGGCTTAATTAAAAAAAAAAAAAAACTTAAAACACTTTTAAAACCTAAACAAATTTAAATACAATCATCATTCTATATAAGCTCCCTCCAAAAACACAAATTTAAACATTACTTTCTTTGAATATCTATATCTATAATATAAAATCTAATTTCTCCCTCTTTCTTTATCCTAAAACGAAAAAATAAACATACAAATCTTTGTTATACCATTAAAGCTAAATACTCTTAAAGAACTTAAAGTAAGTACATATTTCCTTCAATCTTCATAATCTTCTCTCCTATCCAAAAAGAAAAAAAAAAAAAACAAAAACTTAAAAAACCTATAAGTCCTAAACAAATCTAAGCACATTTAATTAAACAAATTATTTTGTCTTAAAAATATTAATAATAATATTTAAAAACTAAAAACACTTTTAAATCCTAAACAAATCTAAATACAATCATCACTCTATATAAACTCCCTCCAAAACCACAAATTTTTAAAATTTAAAACATTAGAATCCACTCACTAAAATAAGCAAATTATAATCCCTTCAAAACACAAATTTAAACAATATTATCATTAAAGGTTCAAAACTTAAAACAACAAAGTTAATAAACACATTAAACATTTCAATCTTCACCAATAACTAATTCCATCCATAAAAAACTACATCCTTATCAATCTCAATTATATTAGTATTATTAATTATTCACATTCCAGTTTTTTCCATTCTCCATTCTTCCATTCTTCCATTTCCCTTCTCCATTCTTGTATCAAACTCGTAAGAAATGCTGCAAGTTCTGCCTTAGGAGACTGCTCCAAAATTCCTGAATCTCCCATCGACTCCGAAGCCAATAAGGGTTCCTTAAATTCCTCCTTGTATTGATCTTTACAATTGTAAGTTGTACAAGTTATCCTCTGCCCGTTCCTCTCTTGTTGATGCCCCTCAGACTGAGATTTCCCAGTTTCCATTTCAGGCAACAATTCCACCCTTAAAGATTGCTCCAAAGACTTTGTAGGTCTAACATCTCCCAGAGATTCAGAAACCACTAAATATGAAACTTCCTTAACCTTCTTCTGTTGCTGCTTTTCTTTGGGATTATATACTGCACAAGTTGTCAAGCAGCCGAAGTTATTGAGACTACAAAGAGCAGTGTCTGCAAAGAGCCATTGCTTCTCTTTTACTTTACATAAAATACTGGATAGGAAACACAAACCACAAAAGTTTGCAAACTATGAGAGGGATTTCAGTCTAAGCAAAAAGTTGAAACTATGCCTGAAGTGTGGAAAGAGCTTCAGTAACAAGACTAATCTTTATCATCATCAGAGGATCCACAAAGGAAAGAAGCCATATAAATGCTTAGAGTGTGGAAAGACTTTTACTCAGAAAGGCCATCTTATTTGTCATGAAAGGATCCACACAGGTGATAGACCTTATAAATGCACAGAATGTGGAAAAGCCTTCAGTACAAACTGTAATCTGAGTCGCCATCAGCGGATCCACACAAGTGAAAAACCATATAGTTGCAAGGAGTGTGGAAAAACATTCACAGAGATTGGTGATACTATTTCCCATCAAAGGATCCATACAGGAGACAAACCATATAAATGCCTAGAGTGTGGAAAGAGTTTTATTGTCAACAGAGATCTTACTCAACATCAAAGATTCCACAGAGTGGATAAGCCATATAAATGCTTGGAATGTGGAAAGAGCTTCACTCAGAAAGGGAAACTTAATTCTCATAAAAGGATCCACACAGGAGAGAGACCATATAAATGCATGGAATGTGGAAAGAGCTTTATTGACAAATGGCCCCTTATTGTCCACCAAAGGATTCATACAGGGGAAAGACCATATAAATGCATGGAGTGCAGAAAAAGCTTTCGTCGGAACTCAGAACTTATTCATCATAGGAGGATCCACACTGGGGAGAAACCATTTAAATGCAAGGAGTGCGAAAAGAGCTTTGCTCGGAAAGGATGTCTAACTAGTCATGAAAGGATCCACACAGGGGAGAGACCATATAAATGCACCGAATGTGGAAAGGGCTTCATTACAAGGCGAAATTTGACTCACCATCAGAGGATCCACACTATTGAAAAACCATATAGTTGCAAGGAGTGTGGAAAAAGATTCACTGAGAGTGGTGATATTATTTCCCATCAAAGGACTCACACTGGGGACAGACCATATAAATGTCTGGAATGCGGAAAGAGCTTTTTTTACAACAGTGATCTTACTCGACATCAAATGATTCATACAGCAGACAAACCATATAAATGCTTGGAGTGTGGAAAGAGCTTCACTCAGAAAGGAAACCTTAAATCTCATAAAAGGATTCACACAGGAGAGAAACCATATAAATGCATGAAGTGTGGAAAGAGCTTTATTGACAACTCACGCCTTACTTTACACCAAAGGATGCACACGGGAAAAACCATATAAATGCATGGAGTGTGGAAAAAACTTTTCTTGGAACACAGAACTTATTCATCATAAGATGATCCACACTGGGGAGAGACCATATAAATGCATGGAGTGTGGAAAAAGCTTTGTTTGGAAAGGACATCTTACTTCTCATAGAAGGATTCACACAGGAGAGAAACCATATAAATGCAAAGAGTGTGGAAAGAGTTTTGCTCAGAAAGGATGTCTTACTCGACACCAGAGGATTCACACAGGGGAGAAACCATATAAATGCACAGAATGTGGAAAGAGCTTTGCTTGGCCAGGACATCTTTATTCTCATAAAAAGACCCATTCAGTGGAGAGACCATATAAATGCTTGGAGTGTGGAAAAAGCTTTAACTGGAAAAGAGATCTTATTCATCATAAAAGGATCCACACTGGGGAGAGACCATACAAGTGCATGGAGTGTGGAAAGCAATTTACTCAAAGAAGTGCTCTTATTAATCATGAAAGAATCCATACAGGGGAGAGACCATATAAATGCACAGAGTGTGGAAAAAGCTTTACTCAAAGTGGGCCACTTAATTCTCATAAAAGGATCCACCTGAAGGAGACACCATGAATGCATGTAGTGTGGAGAAAGCTTTAACAATCAAGACATTTACTCATGAAAGGATCCATGCTGGGGAAAATCCATATAATGCATGGAGTGTGGATATAGTTTTACTGGAAAAGAACATCTTACTCATCATGAAAGGATCCATGCAGGGAGGAAATGGACAAAGTGGAAAAGGCTCCAGTAGAAATTTATCTGACTCACCATTAGTCGATCCACACGGAGAAATCATGTAAATGCAGGGAATGTGGACAGAGCTATTCTCGTGAAGGACACCATAATTCTCATAAAAAGTGCACACAGAAGAAACCATATAAATCCATGGAAGGAGCATCAGAATAATCTTGGTCTCAAATATTTGAATTCATTAAGAGCAGCCAGGTCTTCCCTTGCCTACTTTGACTTGCACTTTTCTTCTCCCCACCCCCATGATGTGGAAAAAAAGATGCAAAATATGAAAAGCTATTCAGTTTCCTCCTTATTGCCTATCATCATCTCACTATCTTTTGCAAAGGGAGGACTGAGGGCTTCCTTACTTCCCTCTTAATTTACTAAAAAAACCTTCTATATAAAACAATTCACGTTTATCTAATTTAGAAAGTATTTTAATCTGTAGAGTTATGTTAATTCCCACAAAATACTGCTCATATTCTTTTTTGTCCTCTTAAGATTTAACTAAACAAATCTTGGCTTTTTCCTTTGTTATCTTTTGACCAGGATAAGGAGAAGTAAGATCAGCCCCAGAAAGACAACATCTTTTTGAGCAGTTTCCACCCAATTATTCCTCACCACTTGAGCTTCCCAACATATTTTGAGGAAGAAATTCCTTATGCTCTTACTGTCTTGGAACCTTACTAATAAAACTCTTTATAACCTGTAATTCTGTAGTCCGCTTTGGTGCATTCTTTTTTCACTATTTGATCCTGTCATCATGGTCAGCGATTCTGGGTCCCATATTTGAATCCACCCAGGGGACAAACCCACTTCAGAAGGTCAATTTCTGGGGTTATTTTAGGTAGTGCAGCCCCTTGAAACCAGATTAAGAATCCACCCAGCAAGAAGGATCAAGCAGAAAAAGTGAACAAAAGGTCAAGACTTCAACAGAACGAAAATAGATATAAAACAGGAAAAGATGTATGCCAGTCCTCAATTCCAAGTAGAGGACAGGAGAGGTGGTAGTTGCCTTAGGAAACGCTCTAGCCAAAAAAGGGGAGCTTACAAGTTTTTGTCTAAGAAGCAACACTCTGCCAAGCTTCTGAGTGGCCAGGAGGGCCTGCTGCCCTCCTGGAGCTGGCGAGCTGGCTGAGGGAATGCCCTGGCTGAAGGCATCCTTCTCAGGCATGCTGCCACCAAGGAGCCAGGAAAGAGGCAGCAGGTGAGAAAAGTTAACATTGAGAGATGCATGGTGGGATGCTGATGTATTTAGCAGACTCTGCAAGAAATCACAGATATTAAGGAGACATTGGGAAGAGAATAGGGCAAGCATCTGGTTAGCCACCATGACAGAAGGTCTTGTTGGAAGAAAAGTCTTCATCCTGGTTCATTCAAGCTGGGAATAAACATGGCAACTGCTTTGGGAAGAAGGTTGTACTTTATTAAAGAGGAGAGCCAGACAGGAAAATGGTTCTGGTAGCAAAGAGGAGAGAAAAAAAGGGCTGAACACATGTAGGGAGTAGGTTTTTATACCCTCTGAAGCTGGGGTGAGGCGAGGCAGGGTGGGGGGGGTCATTATCTCAGGGCAAGGCAAGGCAGGGGCCAGGGCAGCTGCTGCCTGACATCGTCGGCCCCCGCACACGGAGGCCAGTGAGCGCATGGGGGGCGACTGTCCGTCAGCAGCCACAGCCTCCCAGCCCCTTGACTGGCGCACTCTGGGGATCCGCAGCCCACCACCAGCAGTTCAGAGAAGTGCCCACAGAGAGGGCTCTGAGTGCTGCCTCTGGCACGTGTGCCATAGGTTCACCACCACTGAGCTATTCTATTCTTCGCTGCATCCAATCTGGTATGTATAGCATCAACAGTGTCTTTAATGGCTTTTTGATGGTCATGTTGATTTATTTAAATTTATTGGCTGCTCAATTCCCATGGGCCTTCTAATCTCCAGAATAAAAATGGTTACATCTAGTAGGTATAACTAGTCTCTTCTTTAAAATTCTAGTGGGAGCAATGAAAGTAGAATTTAAATGGTATCAGGAAGGATGCCAATAGCTGACCAACTTTGTTTGGGCTGGAAGTCCATGTAATCTAAATATTATTTTAAGGAAGGTTGGTTATTTACTTACTGTCCCGAAACAGCTTGCTCTTTCAGCATAAGTGGGAGGCAATTATTTTTTCTTTAATCTGACAGATCTGGGGGCAGGCTGAAGCAACCACAACAATTAATTACATTCCAAAAACTCCCCATCCTTCACAATAGTTACATTTTCCTTGGCCAAGAGTAAATCTGTTGTTGTTTTTCCCTTAACTGGCAGGCTTCCCCAGTTGTGTTGACAGGTTGATCACCTGTTTTACTGGAACTGCAAGTTAATTTTAATCCTCTCCCCACCTCCACAAACTGTCAATAGACCTGGGGACAAACATTGCTATTATCACTGAAACTTGACGAAATGGAAGCTATGATTATAATATACTAGTAGAAAGATATAATTTGTTCAAAAGAAACAGATCCAGCAAAAGAGTAGCAATACTGCAGTTGTATGTATGCATAGTATGCAAAGATGCTCCCCTCTAAGAGGAGGTTTTGAAGTATTTCTAGCAGGATTACCTGATTCTGTAATAGCTTTGTTCCCTATGTCTTCCGTCTGTTAAACTCGCAAGATTCGTGTTTCTTGCTATGCACATGTATACATAATCCAAACTAGACTGTGTTGTTTCTCTGTGTCATATAATATATGCGGGTATATGCACAATTCTGTATTTATTTATTTATTTTTGCCATATTTATGTAATGTATATGGGAGGTAGTGACCCTTGGAGAGCTGTATTGCAATGTAATTTCATTTTAATGTACACTGATTAGTGTACACTCAAAGTGACAATAAAGTTATTATTCTATTCTTATTGTGTATGTACAGTGTGTAAAGAATTACTAGAACTGCACAGAAATTTATGTACGTAAAGAATTACTACAGCTACACAGAAATACATGGTATCAGGGATGATTAGCAAAAAGTTCATCTACTATCTCTGCCTGGTTGGGTGGCCCTATAGTACTTTGAAGAACAAAGCATTTGGGTGAATATTTATGGAAAAAGAAATGTCATTGCTATAGGGCCACCCAACTAGGCAAAGGTAGTAGATGAACTTTTTGCTAATCAGTTAGCTGAAATGTGCACCATGCAGGAAACACGACTGCAGTAATGGAGGACTTTTAACTACCCTGACATCAGCTGGGAAACAAATTCTGCCATGAGCGGGAGATTGAATAGGTTCCTGACATGGCTAGCTGACAAGTTTATCATCCAAAAAGTAGAGGAGGGAACTAGAGCAGCGGTCGGCAATCTGCGGCTCTGGAGCCGCATGAGTCTCTTTCGTCCTTCTACTGCGGATCCCAGTCCTCCTCTGCCATTAGCAGTCCCACAAAAAAAAAAAAAAAAAGTGGGACTAAAAAAGTTCAATCAATCAATTCCAACTTCTTGCAGGAAAAAAAAAAAGATCTCGCAAAGTTGGAATTGATTGATTGAACTTTTTAAGTCCCATTTCTTTTGTTTGTGAGACTGCCCACAAACTTCTTTTCTTTTTGGGACTGCATATGGCAGTGGAGGAAGAGAAGAGGACTGCGATGGACCTGGAAAAAAGGTGCCGCGTGGGTTCCATTAGGGCAATGGTTCTCAACCTGTGGGTCGGGACCCCATTTGGGGTCGAATGACCATTTCACGGGGGTCGCCAAACAATGCAGTCCGCCATTTTTCCCCCCCTTTTCCTTAGCTGTGCTACTCCCTTTTATTCTATTGGCTTTTGAAAGCCAATAGAATAGACTCTTTTGAATAGAGTCTAATTCTATTGGCTTTCAAAAGCCAATAGGAATTGTCCAGGCTGTCTCTGCCCTGCTGAGCCCGCCAAAAGTCCCATTCTGCAAACGGTGCTGCACCCGTTGAGTAGTCCTCGACTTACGACCGGTTGAGTAGTCCTCGACTTACGACCGGTTGGGGGGTCGCGGCATTAAAAAGGTTGAGAACCACTGGATTAGAGGGTGCGGGGGGGGGGTGTTCTGCCAAACATACGGAGCTGGGGAAACGGGCTAGATGGGGGGAGCTCACAATGCCACTGCCATGAGGCTTTGCAGAGCCCCCCCAAGTGGCCATGATCCCCCCAACCAGCCAGCCAGCTATAATTGCCGATCTCATCATCATCTGCCCCTCCCCAGCTAGCCAGCCACCATCGCCAACCTACTCCTTACCTGACCTCATGCTCTTCTCCTCCTCCTCCTCGTCCTCTGCACTCAGTCGACTGCTAGTGGTTTGGATGGCTGTGCTCCGTCCAAGTTGAAGAAAGCTGCTTTCTGCTACGCCTCCACTTTCTGCATGAGAAGTGATAAATGAAGGATTAGAGGGGGCTTTTTTGGGGGGGGGGAAGCAGTTAATCTGTCTTTAAAAATTCCGAGAAGACTTATAAATGTGGCTTATTTTATCAGAGTTAAATGATATATTGGAGAGAGAGGGAAAGAGGGAGGGAGGAGAGAAAGAGAGAGAGAGAGAGAGAGAGAGAGAGAAAGGGAGGGAGGGAGAGAGAGAAAGAGAGAGAAAGGGAGGGAGGGAGAGAGAGAGAAAGAGGGAGGGAGAGGGAGAGGGAGAGGGAGGAGAGAAAGAGAGAGAGAGAAAGGGAGGGAGGGAGAGAGAAAGGGAGGGAGGGAGAGAGAAAGGGAGGGAGGGAGAGAGAGAGAAAGAGGGAGGGAGGGAGAGGGAGAGGGAGAGGGAGAGGGAGAGGGAGGGAGGGAGAGAGAGAGAGAGAGAGAGAGAGAGAGAGAGAGAGAGAGAGAGAGAGAGAGAGAATATATGTGGTTGCCCTTACTGGACTTTTAATAAAGAACGTTTAATGAAATATTTTGATTTTTTTTTTTAAATTAAGAGATGAGGTATAGGGATAATTATGCTGTATTTAAAGATGGTAGATAAGCTACTAAAATTGTTTTTACCTGTTGGGATGAAGGAGAAAGGGTTTTTTTCTCCTCTTCCTCCCGTCCTTTTCTTCCCCCCCACCGCAATTTTTTTCTTTTCTATTTTTCTATTTGTAGTTTTTATTGTTTGCACTGGCTTTTACTTTTTTCATTTATAATCCTTAATAAAAATATTTGAAAAACATTGTATACATTTGTTACGTGAGTTTCCCCCCCATTTTATGACTCCTCTGTGCCACAGTTGTTAAACTAATCAGTGCAGTTATTAAGTGGTAATATGGTGATTAGGTGAACCTGCTTTACCCATTGATTTTGCTTGTCAGAAAGCTGCAAAAGTTGATCACATGGTCCCAGGACACTGAAACCGTCATAAATATGAACCAGTTGCCAAGCATCTGAATTTTGATCACATGACCATGGGGATGCTGCCATGGTCCTAAGTCCTAAGTCCTAAGTCACATTTTTCAGGGTCATTGTAACTTTGATTGGTCACTAAATGAACAGTTGCAAGTCAAGGTCTATTTGCATTTTACTGCACCCAAAAAGTTGGAAGTCTGCTTGCTTGCTTTCCCCTTTATCCCCCATTTCTTTTCTCACTTTCCTACTTTTACGTCTCCCACTTTTCTACTGTCTTTATTTCTGTGTTTTATATTGAGATAACATTTACTAAAATTAATAAAAGGGTTTGCTGTAGCTGCCAAAAAAGCCAACACAGTGCTAGGCTGCATTAACAGAGGAATAGAATCAAGAATCACGCGAAGTATTAA